GAAAACCTGCCAGAAAACTCAGCAAGGTGGACTTTCCACCCCCACTCTCTCCAAGGATAGCCAGTACTTGACCTGGCCTTACCTTGAGAACAATTAACTCCACCTTAAATCAAATGTTCTTGACTTAATATAAGTAGTATTACCACACCTTTCCAGAAACCCCTCTGAGGATTTCTCTTCCTCTTTGAAATTGGTACTTGATACACTGCTGTGTTCTTGACTTTACTGCAGCATGTATACTGTGGAATGACAGGGACAAACCCTTAGCCTAAATAAAACGAGTCCAACACTGCACATTTGGCATTAGGCTTTTAATGGAAAAAGAGGCATACTAGAATTGATGGAAGCTCAGAAAAGACACCAGGATCTCCACCCAGTACAGGAGAAACCTCTTCAGGTGAACCTTGGTTGCTTGTCTGCTGCTGAAAGTTGTCAGCATTCATATTTATTTTCCTCTTGCAAGAGAATAAACCAGGGACTGAAGTATATGTTCTGATGCCAAGACGAGATCCAGATATGTGGAGTAAATTTGATGAAGGTTTTTCATGGAATTGTCAATGATCTATTCCAGGATGCCTCATCATATATGTGGCCTTGCAATATTTTGTGCTGGGGCTGTATCTTTATTTTTGCAGCATATACTGTACATAAGTTAGAAATGTTGAAAAAAATGCCACAGATTATAGAAAGATCACACATTTTGAAAATTTCTCTCAAGAAAATGTCACCCTATACAATGCTTGCACTTCTGCTTGGCCTTGGGTATTTCTAGAGTAATAGTAGGTACCACTGTAGGAAGAAATGGATAATGTAGTCCATGCAATTAGGTACTGAGATTTTTCCGTATATTTTATTTTTAAAATTCGATTTACTGCATGATAAGTGAAAACTTTCCAGTTTCAGTGAGAGTTTTCCACCAGCATTAGCAGCATATGTCACAATAAGCTGTTGAACTTTTTCAGGCCAGACGAAATATTATGTTTGTTTTAAGTATGAATAACTTTCCTACATCCGTCGAATTTCCCCCTTTTTTCAATGATCATTTTGCTTGCAACAAATAAAAACACTCTAAAGCATTTTGCATTTTTCCAAGAGCAGGGGTTCTTTTCCATTTCGTTTTATTTCCTCTTCAAAAACTTTTTTTAATGTTATACCTCAAAATTTCATGGTAAATGGGGTTCAATTTTTATTCATTTCTATTTTTAACTGGAATGGAGGAAAATGCATGGGGTTAGGAGGGGAATCTGTGCTGCTAACTGGAAGATAGTGGAGGGGGATAATAAGATCTATAATATAAGGGGACTTGGGCAGAGGTCTCCTTACCCTGCTGCTTTCTGAACTTGAGGCAGAAGATAAAAATAAATAAGAATAAGTTCCATAACATTTTGAGTAAGTGATGAGAAAAAAATATCCGAGGCAGAAACTATAGGTTTTGAATGATTTTGTAGAGCAGGGAATTTAATAAAATGGAGATAAACCCTTATTGATCTTGGAAAAATTTGATTAGGTTTTGATCTGTTGCCAACAAAATAATCATTAAAACATTTGGAAATTTCAGAAGATCTATGATTATTCATGTACAGTACATTTTATTCTGCCTTTATGGTGAACCCTTCAGGATGAGAAGCACTCTAATGTGGATAGAAGGTAGACTCTCTGTTGTTTGCTTCAATTGTTCCTCCTTTTATTTTGGTTCTCGGCAAACAGATGTCGCTTGAATCTTGCGTGTTTGAGGAGCTTAGCTGCCTCGTGGAACGGAAACGCAGTTGCGTGTCAAGCGCAGATGCCTCCTGCCCCGCTGGATTAATGGGATTTAAACCGATGAAATGAATGGTATCACAGAAGATATGAAGAGAGGGAATGTGGAAATCCCATTAAGGTGCAGAGTTGTTTTTCCAGCGTCGCGTTCGCTCGCTGAATTCGATGATGAAGTGATGAATTTTGCCGCGTCATTTTCTGCAGATTTACTTCACAAACGTGAAGCCTTGGATGCGATCTCCTGGCGTTTTGTATCACGAACTTTATTTCTCTCGTAGGTCAGGAAGAATTTCGTTCAGCAAAATTTCTTGAGCCTATTGATCGGTGTTCAAGTTCAGTAATTGACGATGGCGTTGCTATCGAGCGGAATGAAAGTCCTAACGTTGGACAACATGAATCCTTGCATCAAGACGATGGAGTATGCGGTTCGTGGACCTTTGGTGATCCGTGCTGTGGAGATTGAAAAAGAACTCCAAGCAGTAAGTTCGGCACCTGATTGCCTTACGCTCTCCTCAGTGGCCAACTCACCAATGTTCTTCTATATTTACAGGGGAAAGAGAAACCGTTCAAGGACGTCATCAGGGCCAATATTGGCGATGCGCACGCGATGGGGCAGAAACCGATCACGTTTCTCAGGCAGGTATGTCACTGTTCGTCAAATGTTAGTAACTTACGCGCCGAAGTAGAGTACCAAAAATTATCCCGAAGACTTTTACTTCGTCTTCTTCTTTGTTTCTGCTAGTGATTTATCACTCCACTAAAACCGTACCTCTTTTCTGGGAAAATACGACGTACCACTGGTTGACGAAAGCTGTTTGTTTCACAGGTAGTTTCGGCATGCGTGAATCCTGAGATCTTAGAGGATCCGAAAACTCCGGCCGACGTGAAAGACCGCGTTAGCCGCATTCTGAAGGCCTGCAAAGGAGGTAGCGCTGGTTCCTATTCCGACTCTCCTGGGATTGAAGTCATTCGTCGAGATGTTGCGGAATATATAAAAAACCGGGATGGTGGAATTGAGTCCAATTGGGAGAATGTTATTCTGTGTGGTGGGGCCTCTGACGGGATCCGAGGAATCATGAAGCTGTTGAACGTAGTCGGAGCAGATGGGAAGAAGCCTGGGATCATGATCCCGATCCCGCAGTATCCTTTGTACACGGCTTCTATCGCCGAATTCGACATGGCGCCGGTGAATTTTAGCACTTTTCCTTGAGAATTTTCGCACGAATTATTTGAAACCTTCTTTTTTAAATTTTTTCGGTAATTAATTTAATTTGTTCAGTCTTTAATTCTCCTCGAGATATCCGTTTCCTTCTACGTGCGTGAATCCCGAAATCCAATAGAAAGATCTGCTGATTTTTGAGGAGTACCAGCTGTATGAATCATGAAGACGTAATCGTTAAGATATCGTCGAAAATCACTGTACTACAGTATATGTGGAATTGGGGAGATTTTTCTATGGGGTTTCGAGCAACATCTACTCGGGTAGTGTCAATAGTGGTAATTTGGATTTCCAAGAATCGCCGTTTTATTCGTCCATTCCCAATGATTTTATTGCCTCTTATCGCCGTGCTGAAGCCGTAAAATGTTCTTCCGAAACCCGCTTCCAACCTTTATGACTCAAACCCGTCGTATTTTGTGGTACAGCACTGGTATTGACTTCGTCCCGTGAGCCTTGACGAAACTTGGCAAGAGAAACTATGAAACCGTTGTTTTCCTGCGTTCCGATCATTGCAATTATCTTAACTAGAACCAGAGCTAGACAAACAAAATGGCTCCATAAACATTCCGTGTAGCAAAGCACGAGAAATTTTTTTTATTGAGATTAATTAAAGTTTTAAATTCTTGATGTGATGCTTACAGTCAATCCTCGATTTAGTGCCACCTTCGCGTCGTCCCACAGATTTCCCCGGAATAAATCTCCCTCCATCGTGTTCAAGAGGGAACCCCTAATTTATTACTAGCTCACTCAATGCCTCAAAAAATTCTTTCTCATGACTGAAAAATGTGCCAGAATCAAAGAAATTAAGGTCTTTTTTAGGGATATCGTTGGGTTATTACTTTTAATAACATGCATGGAAAAATCTCAGGATAATCTTTAACGTTCGGTTTTGTAATTTTCCGTATTTTTGTTGTAAAATTTCACCAAGTGGAAGCTTTCCTTGCAACATCGGCGATTCGTTAATGATAGCGCCGCGTATAAAACTCAATTGCAAATGATACCTTGAAAAACAGCATTGTCCTTTCGCTAGACACATTTTAAAACTCAAATATTCTGTCCTGTTAAAAACTGTATACTGAAGTACAGTATGAAAACAGTAAGTCCAAGCTTCAAATTACAGTATCACGTGTGGCTTTCCCTTCTATGAAACAGACTCAGTGGACGTAAAAAAGCTTACAGTATTTTGTCTACCGTTGAAAGTTTGAAACCCTCAGCTAGACCTTGCTCCTCTTACAATGCCCCTGATTTAGTACCCCGCTTTGCCTAGTGTCACAATATGTGCATGGAAAAAATGTCGTCACCAAATCGAGGGTTGACCCTACAATACATGTTTTTCCAGATAAACTATTACATGGATGAAAGCAAGAACTGGGGTCTGGACATCACGGAATTGAAACGATCCGTGACTGAAGCCCGTGCTACTTCGAATCCGCGAGCAATCGTGATCATCAACCCCGGAAATCCCACGGGCCAAGTCCTCACTCGCGAAAACATCGAAGGCATCATCAAGTTTGCCCATGAGGAGAAACTGTTTGTCTTTGCTGACGAAGTGTACCAGGACAACGTCTACGACAAGGACAGCAAGTTTCATTCGTTCAAGAAGGTCTTGATGGAGATGGGTGAGCCGTACTCGAGTATGGAAATGGCTTCGTTCATGTCCACGTCAAAGGGTTTCATGGGAGAGTGTGGATTTCGTGGAGGCTATGCCGAGGTGATCAACTTGGACCCGCAGGTCAAGGCGATGTTTTTGAAAAGCATCTCTGCCAAGCTTTGTCCGACTGTGCTTGGCCAGGTTGGTGACGGATCGAATTTGAGAAGGAAAAACAAAAAAGATCTTCACTTGTTAGATTCCTGTTTTCGAGGCATGTTGGTTCACAGAAACATTCTACTTTACTATCAAGCAACAGTTCGACATCAATGTGTCAAACCTCTCCAAATGAAATACCCCAATTCAATTTTTTTGAATCTTCAAAGAACAATAAATTATAGACCTCTCTTTTCTTTCACAAGCCTCCCTAACTCGAATTTTCTGGCAGCCTTCTGCTATTTGGAAACTGAAAAAACCCATTCAAAATGTAAGTGGATGTCCTTCCCAAAGGAAGTTAGTTTCTCATTGGAGAATTGAACCAAGTTCAGCATCCTGTCAACTAATTCAAGTATCAGTTTAAGGTCCATTATATCACTAATTTCAGTTTCCCGTGGATTTTTTTTCTTTTTTTTTGCGACAAAACTGCTTGTTCCCTGAAGCGAGTTTTCTGCTGATTTAAACAATTGACCAGAAAAGATTCAACTGTAGTTTATTACTTCTTTTATTTGTTCTTTTATGTTTACAGTACAGAATTTCTTGGTTATTTTCGAAATTTTGAAGAATCGCCTCGAATAACTTTAGAAATTGGCGAAGAATATGCAAGTATTTGAAAGTTCAAATCGAATAGCGTTTGCTAAATTCGACGTAATCTTGCGAATGCAGGAAGATGCAAAACGAGAAGGGTGAATGCAGGTTGACTCAGCAACGATTTTCTCTGTACAGTACAGTACTTTATAACGCTTTTTTTTTTAAACCCACGGGGTTCTTTTATATAGGCCATAGGATTCTTTTCTACAAAGAATTTTTTCTGGTTTCTTGAATTTCGTTTGAGAGAGAGAATCCACCTTCATACATTTGCTATTTTTGTGCCCCGTGCGTAAATTAAATCGCGATGATTTTTGAAAAACTGTTGCGAATGATGGTATGAACTGTGCTTTTTGGAATAGTTATAGTTAGCTTATTTCGCCTGGATAAAGCCATTATCGACCTTTTTTTTTTAAATTCAAAACTCCGTGACAGACGCTTCCCATTACCTAAAACAGTCATTTGAGAATGTTATTTTCTTTTCAAGATAACGATGGATGTTGTGGTGAATCCGCCGAAGTCCGGAGAACCAAGCTACGAGAAGTTCATAGCTGAAAAGACGGCAGTTTTGGATTCTTTGGCCAAACGTGCCAAGATGGTTGCAGATACATTCAACTCAATCCCTGGAATCCGTTGTAACCCTGTGCAAGGCGCAATGTATTGTTTCCCACAGGTTGGTTCGGAGAAGTTTTGTCTGATCCTTATTTCTAACTGATTTTTTCGTATTTGTGTTCACAATGCGAAGATCACGATACCTGCAAAAGCAGTTGATGCTGCTGAGAAAGCTGGGCAAAAGCCGGACTTTTTCTATTGCTGGAATCTGTTGGAGAAGACGGGCATTTGTATTATTCCCGGCAGCGGATTCGGTCAAGTCCCCGGAACGTTTCACTTCAGGTAAAGCCATTGGTTTTTTTCTTTCGAAACCTGAGAACATTTGAGCTTAATCTGGAGATTTTCGAACTGGGGAAGTAGCAAATACAATACTTTCAAATCAAACATTTGTGGGCGTCAGAAAAAGTTTGTCATGTTTGTTTGAGAGTGCTTTCATTCGCATCACAATTAGTGGGAATATTTCTCTTGCGTGCAATTGCGTCTCAAACGTGCGTGCTTTCATTTACAATGGCTACGAATTTCAAATATCTTTGCAGAACCACGATTTTGCCGCAACCGGATTTGCTGGCATCAATGCTGGAGCGGCTGAAAGCCTTTCATATCGAGTTCACCAAGGAGTACAGCTAAAGGAATTTTCGGACTTGTGAAATTCATTGTCACCATCAGGAAACAAAAGACGTCAGTTGCGATAGGAGTGAAATATTCATGTACCGGTTTGAAAAGACTACTAGCGTCTTGAGAATCATTTTGATGAAATCTGCTACGAACACGCTAAAGCTTGGATTGTTTTCTTCTAGTCTTGGACCTTGTGAATCTACGAGTTTGAAAGTGATTTTTTTTGTGTGTGATCCACCTTCTGTTTTTTCCATTTTTGTTTGCATTTTCATGTTCACACCCTCTCGCCTAGGTGTTCGATTTGATTTTTCGGTTGTTTTTGTTCCAACGCATCAACAGCATTCTATCAACGAAGTGCAATGTGAGAGACCCGCGAAACTTGAGTGAGGAAATGACGATGTGAAGAAACGTTTTTACCAATGTATCCCTGAAACTTATAGGCATCAGCGTTCGTTGATGAAAATCCAAAGTGATCTGATTTCTCGAGTTCTTCCGGAAGACGCATTTTGTTTCAAAAGTCGCAGTGCTCATGGATGTCTATTTACAGGATTAGGAAATGGATATGTGAGAATGTAATCGAAAAATATAAACTATCTGGGTTGCAAGCAAATTGCTGCGTCTTTGTAATTTCCCTTGGTCTCCATTTTGGCTTGCATTTCCACATCATGTTTAAGGTACAATTTATGTATTGTCTTTTGCAGGAATGTTTTGTGCGTTGTGTTCTGGAAGACAGCAAAAGAGAGGTCTTGTCTGAACTGTGTTTTTATCTACAGTATTCATCTAAGCTTTCGACTGGTCTTCAAGTATGAGCACCACGTGATCGCTGTTGTAGTGGGACAGGTGTATGATGAATTTTTGTGTTGCTTTTCTTTTGAAGGTATCCGCCAAATTTAATCAAGTGTCATGTGCCCTCAATTAAAACTTGCACCTTATTTTTTTTAGCTCGAATGTTGAAAAAAATGCCATCCCTGCATAAGATGAGCACCTTAGTTCACAAAATTCATATTTTAAAAATCACTTGGGGTAAAAATCTAAATGCAAGCCCACTTGAGTGGAATTCAATATTGATGTTTCTTATGCAAAATATAGAATTGTTGAAGAAGATAACTTCTTAACACAATTTTCAAGTGGGGAGAGAAGTTTTTAAGTTGGTAAAAATTTAACAAAGATTTTCTGCTCAACTCTGATGCACATTTTATTTCAATTTTGCCCCTTTTGTTTTGGAAAAAGGTGTGTCTGGTACTTGTGTAAATACATTAAATACATTAAACTTTGTCAAAACTGGAATTTTCCAGTTTATACATGCTGTAGTTTGTGGTTTTAGGAAGGGTTTGGATTTTTTAGACATGTCATAAAATACATAAAATGGGGCTTAGGATATCATAGAAGACATGTTTTCTACAAAAACAAATCCTTTTATTTTATTTAGAGAGTAAAAGAGGGCGTTGTTCTGGTGATCGTAGTGGAGCGACTGTAGGAGAGAAAGGCCTTATGTAGAGTAAGGGCCCCGTACCAGAACCCTTATAGCGACATCTACCGGGCCCAATCAGAACTTCTTCCTAACATGTTCATCTCCCACCCAGACCTTGTCCTATGCGTGATCTTTATCTGGATCGGAGGAGAGGCGAAGGAGTTCCTGTCCAAACAGCGGCACTTCGATTTTGACTCTCGACGAGAACGATTGTTTTATGAAGCTGACTTTTGTGATTGTGTTTTGGTGTTACGTGTCATTGCGGAGTTGGACTGATTAAACTCTGCTATTTTGTGCAACGCTGGCCGAGGACTTATTCATAAAGCCTTACTGTAGACCTGGAATAGGACCTGAGGTTCATGCAAGTGGTTGCTCTCTGAATCTAGTGACTTGTGCTGCCATCTTTATTATTATGAAATTTCCCGGTGTTGCTGTAAGTGTAAACAGTGAAGTATTATATTTGCCCAGGTAAGATTTCTACTTTTTACTGTGTCACCGGCTACATTGATGTGGAAAACAGCAAGTGAACCACGTGTTACATCTATAGTGCGTGTCACGAATTACCTGCAGTCCTGAGTGCATTCTCGGATTCCCAGACGCTGGGATTAATAGTGAAACTCGCCGGAATGTGTAACAAGCGGCGCAAACCCAATTATTAATGGCGGGTTGTTGTGGAGAAAGAAATTCCGTGATCCTTGAAGTTTCTCAACGAAGCGTTAAAGCATACTGCCAGCCCGAGTACTGTACTAGCTGTTCGGTTCTCCGGGTCAGTGGAGTTTCGCCATTGATTTTTCCAGTCTCGATTCCGAAGACGAATCATGGAATTTGAAAGTGATGGGGATCGCGTTGTTGGGAAACGATCAGAGAAGGACGTTCCGAGGAATATGCAGGAAATTATAGACGGCGTTTACTTCCCGGTTAGTTTACGATGTCTGCGTGTAACTTGAATGGCGCGTTGTTGATGCGGTTGTCTCTGCTCCTGTTGTTGGCAGCGGACACTGTCGTGGTGCGGCGTGTGCTCTTGCTTAGAAGGAACGGAGAATGAGCAGCTCAAGAGAAATACGAAACGCACCAAATGCGAAGCCTTGGACGATATCAGCGGTATCATCCTTGGTTGCTCGGCGGAATGCGTCCCCAAAGAAACGCGGTCTTCTTCCGGACACAAATTCAAGGTTCTTTGTCGAACTCATCTCAAGCGTTTGCAAGGGCACATGTGTTGTCCTTTCTGTGACGTTTTCTGCACTCAGGTAAGGATTCAGTGATTCAATCCGCGCCTAATAGCTTTCATGACAATGTATCGCGTGCATTTTCAAAAGGGCACTTTCTTGGTTTGTTCTTGTGGGAACGAAGGATTCCACTTTTTCCACGCCGCGTGTGCTTTGAAATTTCATCACGATGTGAAGGATGATGTGCGATGCCCTCACTGTGGTCATCAGCCAAAAGAGGAAGGCTTTGATGAGTGGAGCTCAAGAATCGCAACAGATAGTCTTTCAGAAGATTGCAAAAATCGCCTGATCCATGTGAATTTTCTAAAATCGTGAGTGTCTCTTGCCGCTTTCCATGTACCGTATCTTAGTCTAGTTTGACTTCTATAACTGATTTATTCGGAATCTTTGATTATGTCCCTGTCCCTTGCTCGGACAGGGTATTAGAACGTCGTTTTAGAAAAAATTTATTTTTAGTGACAGGCGAAGGAACTGGCGAAAAAAGAAGAGGGAAGAAGACGTGAAGCGTCACCCAAGTGAAGTTTTCCCGATGGAGCCTTCAGATTTAGCAAGATGTGAGAGAGAGTTGGAAATAGTTCGTCGCAAGAGCATGAATACCCCAAAAATCGATTTATACGAGGCTTGTGAAAAGGATGATATCAGGAGCGTATTCATTTTACTCAGTAAGTGTGACTTGACTTAGAAACAATGATGTTCGACGCCCTGGACTTCTGGGAAAATGTACGTGTTTCAGAAATGCGGGTTTGTCAAGTGAATGAAGTGTTTCAAAACCGGGGCAATCGACGACCGGTTCATGCAGCTGCGATTCACGGAAATTTGGCTTTACTAAACATACTCCACCATTTGGGTGCCGATCTCAATGTAAGAGATTCAAAATTAATGACTCCAATGATGTACGCAGCGGAGAAGAACCACTATGAAGTTGTGGTGTTCCTCATGAAGAACAATTGCTCGCCTTACCTCAAGGTTGGCTCTTTCGCTTTTCTAGATGCTTAGGGATTTTTAATGATTATTGCCTTTTTTGCATTTATCAGAATGAAGATGGAAAAACGGCTTTAGCGTGTGCAGCGAAGAGTGGATCATTGGCAGCGAGTAAAGCTATAATTGAATTAACGTTGAAACCTCGACCATTGATGGATGTTGTGGATCGGGGAGGTTGGACTGCCATGGTTTGGGCTGCCGAGTTCGGCTCATTTCCAGTTGTCAAGTACGTGATAGAAATACCCTAATTTCTTCGAGACTCTTCGGGATCTTGAAAGTGAAGAAGGCGGGACTGACCCGTCACGAAATTACAGTACAGTCAACCCTCGATCTTAGTGCCAAAAATTTCCCTGGAACAAAGGTTCCTCCTTTGTTTTGTTCAAGGGAACCACCAATTTAGTGCCGACACTTTGTGCCACGTAAAATTCCAGGGCAAGGTTGAAAAATTAGTCGAAATCAATGAAATTCGGGTCTCTTCTCTGTATTTTCTTTGGTTATCACTGAAAATCACATGCGCAAGCTCGCATAAAAACCGAGGATAATTTTGAAAATTATATTCCTGAGTTTACAATGTTGAAAATTTTTTTGTTGCTGCATATGTCACCTTCCTTTTATAGATTATGTTTTAAAGAAAACCGGAGCTCTTCTTGGAACATCGACGATTCCTTCTTGATGGCAACTGATATAAAACTAAAACGCAAATGAAATCTTGAAAAATAGAACAGCTTTGCTCTTTTATAAGACACAATTTGTGATTGAATCTAATCGATTCTTTCATATTTAAGTAACTGAAATACAGTATTGAACCGTTCTTTTTTGTTGAAATAATTTTTTTTGGCTTTCTTTTTTATAAAACAGACTCAGTGGTCTAAATATTCTGTCAACAAGCTTATTTTGCATATACTGTACCAGAAACCCTCAACTAATCCTGGTTCTCTCTTCCGAGGCCCTCGATTTAGTGCCCACTTTGCTCAGTGCCACGAAATGTTCTCGGAAAAATGATGACATTAAATCTCGGGTTCACCGTACCGAATTTCTGACTTCTTTCGAAATTTAGGAATGAGAAAGTAAATTTTGGAGGAAACTGATAACTACTTTAGAAGAGGATGTGGTAGATGATGGGCGTGGTTTCACCTGACAAAACACGCCCCAGTATACATTTTAGCCCTGCTGGTTCCACTTCCAGGTACTTGTTATCGCACGGAGCAGATTGGCGAATAAAGGACTTGGACGGTAACATGATCCTCCACTGGTCTGCTTACGGAGGCAACAAAGACATCATGGAAGCCCTCTTGAACGTCGGTTGTCCCCTGGATTTGCAAAACAACGATGGCGACACAGCTTTGCACATCGGGGCTCGAAGGAAAACCGTGGACTGCGTCAACTTGTTGCTCAGACATGGGGCTTCGTTGTCGGTGAAGAACAAGGCTGGGCATACCCCGAGACACGCTGCTGCTTTAGTCTCGGACTCCATTCGCGATTTATTGGGACTGTCGGAAGTGATAAACAGTGATGCGATTGATGTGAGGAAAACTGAGTACGGGAAAAATGTGTTGAGTGGTGTTCACCGGCCTGTGTCGACTGTCCCTGAAGCTGCTGTGAAATCGTGAGTTTTTTTCCTCATATATTCTAAATTTTCTTGCCGGGGATAACGTGGAAAAAATGTCTCGGTTCTATCAATCTTGTATCGTAGAGATTTTCGCGAAGCCTTCGGGGCTCGTCCTTGATTTCACGTGCACTATGCGTGCATTCGAAATACTGTTGCAGTGAACGGAAATTTTGATTGAGTATAAGACGAAGAAATCAGTTCTCTGATGAATAAGCGATAACTCATGTGCCTCTTCTTCATAACTGTACTGTATTTACTTTACTTGGGCCCCCTCCTTTACAATTTTATTACCACGTTTTTATGAACTCACTTTCTTGTCTGTCTGTTTGTCCGGATCAAATTTTGAAACTCAAATTTCACTCACTTCCCGACTAGCTATCAAGCTGAAACTTTCAGGATAGCCTAGAAACTGATGACAATGCAATCTTATGTGAAAAAATTAATTTTAAGAATATTTTTTAAAAAGAATAAAATAATTATAGTAGATTTCTATAATAAAACTTTGAGCAGGTTTTCCTTGGCCCCAAGAAAAAAACCCATGGTGAACTGAATTGGTCGCAGAGGTCCGAGTTCAATCCCACCCCCTGGAACATTTTTTTTTCTAATTAATTAACACGTTTTTATAAACTCACTTTCTTGTCTGTTTGTTTGTCCAGATCAAATTTTGAAACTCAAATTTCACTCACTTCCAGACTAGCTATCAAGCTGAAACTTTCAGGATAGCCTAGAAACTGATGACAATGCAATCTTTTGTGAAAAAATTAATTTTAAGAATATTTTTTAAAAAGAATAAAATAATTATAGTAGATTAAAAAATTAATCTAAAAAACCACGTTTTCAAAAAGCAAAAAATAACCTTAAACGTGGTGCGCATGGAGATTGTTGGGAAGAAGTGAAATACAAATGAAATAGATGCGCACCACATTTAAGGTTATTTTTTGCTTTTTGAAAACGTGGTTTTTTAGATTAATTTTTTAATCTACTATAATTATTAGATGTTCGAACGCTTGGGAGGTGCTCAAGTAGTCATATTCGCATATTCATGAGATTTGCTTAAATACAGTGGAACCTCGATATTTCTAAAAAGAAATGCTGTCGATATTTTTTTCAAATCCTTGTCTGAATTCCCTTGAAAACGATGCATTGCAAATTGAAAACCTCCATAACTCGAAGGCTTTCCCCTTAGACCTCCATAATTTGAAATTTCTGATGACCTGTGGGCTATTATTTTATTGACACCTGAAAGAGAAATACAGTAAAATGCAACGACGTGTTTTTAAATGAAGTAAATGAGTAATTGGGTGAATGAACCTTTGACTCTGCATTCAGCATCCTGTCAACTAATTTATGAAGCAGTTCGATGGCCAGTGTTTTGTCAAAATAGAAGCGTTCAAGGCCTTTATCTGCCAAAATATGACGTCATGAAACTTGAGACGAAGTCAGATTTGTTCAGCAATTTTTCTTAGAAATATTGCGTCTTATGTTCGAGTTAATTTGGAAGTTCTTGTGATTGACTTGGATTTTTAGTCTTTAATTTTTTTCAGGTAATACTGTATTCCCTTCCACGCAAAATGTATTACAAATTAAATGGGTCGTGATGAGATCATTACTGTACTGTTTTGTACTTCATTTATTTCAAATCTGAAATGAAAGTCACGCTGGAGTGCGTTCTCTGGCGGAGTGTGTTGAAAATTTAAAACATAATCGAAAAACGAAAAAAATCCCTTTTCAATGACGTAATTTTGGCCCCCATTTCCTTGTCGACGGAGGAAAAAATGGAGTTCAGTATAAATTCTTTTGTCCTCTGTGGCTAATATTGAGAAACTGGCATGGCCACGAAAAGTAGGTAGAAGATCGAAATTGAGATGCCTCAGCATAAAATTTTAACGAATTTGGGATGGCCCCGTGCTAAAACGGATCTCTTTTTACGTCATACAGTGAGATACAGTAATTTTTTCACATGGATTACATATTTCTCACTTCACGGTAACATTTATAACACCATATTCAAGAAATAAAATATTTAAATTTAAAACGTGGCTTATACAATTCTCATTGCACTGTAACTTTCCTAACATCTTTTGTTGGAGAAGGAGAATTGTGAGTTTGTGACGGAACGTTGAAAAATCGCGTTGCTGATTGAAAACACTCGGCTGCTTCCTAATTAAAAAAAAATTAAGTGACTGGTTAGATTGCGTAACCAACAATGGACCATGTCATGTAAAATTGAACCTCCGAAGTGGATCTTTCATTGTAAAACAGTCACTAATCAAAAAGACTTGAAAGAAACGAATACACTTGCGTCCTTTTCAGAATTGCTGCAAAATAGATTAGTCAAGTGCTGTATTTCTAATTTGTGTTCCTTTTTTATTTATTATTTTTTATTCCAGATTCGTCGACACGGATGTGAGTCGTGGTCTCGAACGCTTCCGTGTTCCTTGGTTCAATTCCGTGGATAATGAAAAATTTCCGGTGGATTCCTTCGCTTACATTGCCGACAATTCTTCCGCCTTCCCGATGGATACAAAAATCGCCTCAACGGTGAACATGGTGTGTCTAGTGGGAAAACGTTTTTCTCCTCTAGCGTCAGTGATAGTGTTTGTAACTAATTTTGTTTTTTTCATCGTTCAGAAATGTAATTGCTCCGGCATGTGTGATGATCGATGCGCTTGTGTTGTGGAAATCAAAGAAGTTGACGGCGAAGAAGCCACAAGGTATACTTACTGCATGAATGGCTTGTGCACGCCGGAAGTCCTACGGGATTATCGTAAGTTTTGAAAATTATTGTTGTGCTCTTGCTGGAATGTGCTCTGGACTTGAGCGTTGAGTCGTTCTATGATTCAATCGAGTTCGAAAATAACGAGAAATACTGTACAGTGCACTAAAAGTAATCCTTGTGTAATCGACAGAGTTCTATTTCGAAGTGGTCTTTCAAATGTCTTTATTTTATTTGACTGAATGTCGGGAGTTGTGATGTCAGGTATTTTTTGAATATTTGAGGATATACTTTTGAGAGATAATATAGAAAATTGTTGGTAAATATAAGGCTAGATAAACCTATTTCGTGAATTAAAATGTAGATTTTCATGCATTTTTTCAAATCGCCCTGGCCGAGGAATCACTGGTTTTTTGGCATGCAACAGGAAGCTATGGGGCTCTAGAATCTGGATTATCTTCAGATTACTTAATACTGTAAAGAGTGATCGTTTTGTGCAATTTTTAAAAACATTTCAGAATGAATGAAAATTTCAGAATTTCAGATTGATTTCGGATGAAAGGTTCATCAGATTTTCAATACAGGAAAACAATGAGAAAAAACTCCATCTCGTTTTTTTCCTGCTTGTGAGTAGTAAGCAGAAATTCAGTGAAAAATACTGACGTTTTCTTGAGGGATGCCCCTGTGCATGGAAAAACATCCAAAAATGTAATTGAATATTTAATTACTCTCTTTAATAGTTCAATTATTAGATAAACTTACAGAGGAGAATTAATTCTTGTGACGACGCGCAGTAAATGTCCTTCGTGTACAAGCTGCTTTTTTGCTCGAATATGATTGTTCTTAACAAATGTTTTTACTTTGTTAGCCTCTTCATATATTGTGGAATGCGGAACTTCCTGTGGATGCAACCCTATGTTTTGCAACAATCACGTCACCCAGCAAGGCCTGGGCATTATGGTACAAATATTCAAAACTTCTACGAGAAGGAGGGGCTGGGGATTACGTTCGATTGAAGACGTTAAGCAACGTCAATTTGTGTGCCAGTGAGTGATTGCTATCTGTAAAATAAAATTAATCTCAATTTTTTACGTTTCGTTTTTGTAGATATGCCGGTGAATGGATCACCAGAACAGAAGCAGTTCGACGTAATGACATGAGCTATACGTTGGAGTTTCATGTTGAGGTGAAGAATTTCAATCCTATTGAAAAAATATATTTAAAATTCTGTTTCCGTTTGACCTTCCTTTTTTGAAAATTTACTATTTTTTGTCATGTTCAACGTTCACGGATGACAAATAGTTTTTGATAGATCATTGAAATGATTCCCAATAATATTGTTACCCTTAAAAATTTTGTAGTTTGTAACGGCGGACTCTCCTCTACAACGAAATTTTGGCGAGCACACACGACTTCGTTGTAGATAGCCTCTATGAGACAAAATAAAAGCGTAACACAGAAATTCGTTGCAGAGAGTATCTACCTGTATTATTTCCTCGAGTGTTGTTTTCTTTTCACTTCAATATCAAAACTCGTGTTCTAGAATGTCGGGCAGGTTTTTCGTGAATTACAGCTTTTTTAACCTCCCCGAATTTATTTTCGACCTTCAAGAAACATTGAAAATTTCAGGCGACACTTATTCTATCTTAAAATGAGGTTTTCGAATTGGAAAAACCTTTTTTTTAATTCCTTTATTGGAGAATCCCATTTCTCCGTCTTTGACGTTTTCCAGAGGGATTCAACGTCGATAGAATAAAATGACTGCAAATGTAGTTTACCGCAATTTAATTTTGGCACGCCTCTTTTTTTTCTAGGATGCTCTGTTGTTGGATGCAAAGTACAGTGGCAACGTTGGAAGATTTATCAATCATTCCTGCAAACCGAATTTGGCGCTCATCAGGGTGATGAAGGACAAAAGAGAGCACAGATTCCCAAGAGCTTGTTTATTCGCCTTGAGGGATATCAGTGCTGGAGAGGAGTTAACGTGAGTTTTCTGTGCTTCGTTCTGCTTAAATTCCTGTCAAATGAAGAAGAAAAATGTCTAATTCCCAGGTTGAATTATGGTGAACAATTTTGGAAAAGCGTTCCCTACTCGTGTCGCTGCCGGGAAGTTGATTGCGTTGCTCCTCCTCCGACCTGTTCCCCGGTCAAAGTGAAGAGCCAGCTTTTAAAGCCCAAGGCAAAGAAGATGAAGCCGAGTCTCGGAAGTGCGGATATTTGTATGGGATGAAATTTGCACTGCTTTACACGGTTGTGTTCACGCGTGTACCTGGTTTATAAATCCAGGAGTTTTCGAAAGTATTCGGCGACGGTGAAAACGTGAAATTAGGAATACCTTTAAATCTGCTGCACTTCGCTGCTTGTTTTCCGTTTGTTGTGTTTTTCGTGCGACGAGAAATATGAAAAGGTCAGGAGGAATCCGTTTGATATTTTGTCACAGATTTTAAGAACGTCTCTCTTCCGCCTTAGTTGAAGTTTTACGAGGCCGCTTGATGCGAGTGTTCATGGTGGAAACTATTGTTGTTGATCGTTCGTCAAAAGAATCAGAAAGTTCTCTGGCGATATTCTTTCTTTGAATTTTCCAGTTGAATAATTCGAGGAATGTGTTTCTCTCAAGTTTTTTAGTTGTTTTATGAATCCATCGATTTTTTATTCGTCGACCTCATGGAAGGTTGGGTCAGTCGCGTGAGGCAGTTTCTTTTGGGTAAAAGCGTGAATAATTTTTCCCAGCAATGGCTGGAACAGTGTACCGAATGGGTGCTGTCGGAAATCCAGTCGAATTCCTCGAATGTGAGTTGCGACTGACTCTTCAGCTGGTTCTTTGAAATGACGTATTTATTTTTTCATCTACGCAGCCCTCTTTAGAGGAAGTCGGAAACGGGGTGTTACAGCAGTGGCTAACTTCTGATTTGCACGATTGCTGTCTAGAAGCTGGGTTTCTACCGGAGATTCCTAATCGGCCTACCAAGGACCACCTGAGGGGTGGACCATTTTGCCTGCAGGTAGATGTCGCTTCAGGATATCACCCTCTACAATTAACTTCTATTCTTCTTTTTTCCCCGCAACAAAAATGCTTGTTTTTCTAACTTGAAACCTCCGTAAGTCGAAACCTCCGTAAATCGAATTTTGAGAGGTTTAACTGTATATGCAACAACAAACAATTTCATGGTTTATGAGTGACAATTTCAGTCAGGTGTTCTCTTTACGCTTATTAATTTTGTTCCCATGCATTATGTTGCAGTATTTGGCAGGAAGGGGAAGTACAAAGTATTGTTCTGCTTTTAATTACTTGTGTGCAACAATCTTGCTGGTACAGTCTGTTTCTAGCTTTTTAGGACTTTTAGGTGTTATTTTTATTTAGCTCTTGAGAGTCTAAGGAGGGCTGTGTAAATAAAAATAACACAATAACCAAAAGGTGGTTCTTGCTTTAGGATCTATTGTTTCAATGCGGTCCTTGGCCACTTCTGAGTTGGGCACCACTGCTTTAGGGCAAAGGGCTGAACAAAAGTTCTTCTCCCGAAAACAATATGCCAGAAGATGTCACGCAAGTGACGCATCTGAACATTTTTTGACCAAGTGACGCATAACTTCTTACAGTATTATGGCTTATTGGTTTTCGACCCATTTGACTGAATAATAGCAATTTACTGTACATATACAGTATACAGTAATGACTGATTCACTTTAGATCCCTTGAAAAATTGGTGAAAAATTGTTTTTTCCTGGGGACTTGTATGGAGTGAAATCGAAGGAAAAGCACTCGAGTAAGCTGAAGAATTTTTCCTTTAGATTGTGCAGATTGACGATTTATCCCAGTCTTCCTACGCCGCATTAATGGAGCTCGATTGTGGAATATCCGACAATTTGCGGGTAGCAGTTACGGATGATGAGACCCAAAACGATGGCCAAATTTTTACTCAACTCTTTGGCGAGTTCACTCAACAAGGAGTCAAATCCAAAAACGCGAACAAGTCTTCACGTTTAATCATGATGGAGGTGACGGACGGCGTCAAGCGTATGCAGGCGATGGAGAAGAAATTTTGTCCCGAACTTCAAGTCGATCTTCCGATTGGGTCAAAGGTTTGTGTTTCTTTCTCAAAGCGATGTCTTCTTTTCCAGTGGCGAATACTGTTGAATACCGTATTTACGGGGAAAATTTTACCCCTCAAGTCAAGCATCCCACTAGATTTTTCATGCCCAATATAAAATCCCGTTGTTAAGCAAATACAGTGCAAGGGTTTACCCACTTCCGCTTTGCCTTCTGTATTTCTAGAGTTGGTACCACTGTAAACGAAAATGATATGATGTAGCCCATGCAATTGTAAGGTTCTTGGATTTTTGCAGAAGTTTTTAAATTTACTGTATGATGATGAGAGAAAACTTTCCAGTTTTGGTGAGAGTTCTCCATTCATGTCACAAGCTGTTGACACTTTTTCAGGCGTAGCAAACAATGATTTCTCTTTTTATCGTACAATTTTCTTCATCTTGTGAAATCTCCAAATTTTTTCTGGGATTTTTTAGTCTGCAACAAAGAAAAACCCAGGTGCATTTGGCATTTTTCCAAGATCCAGGGTTAATTTCCTTTTTTATGTACTCTTCAGAGTCATCATCCAAGGCGTAGTGGAGAACTCTCACTGGAAATAGAAAGTTTTTACTTATTATGCAGTAAATCTAAAAAATGTTATGAAAATCTGAAAAAAGTCTCAGAACTTTACAATTGCATGGGCTACGTCATATAATTTTTTTTACAATGGCACCTACTCTAGGAATAGTAGGAATACTTGAGGCTGAGAAGGAGTGGGACAACCCAGGTACTGTATAAGCACCCACTTCACTGTCCGAAACAAAACCTGAGCCTTCTGGAATTCTCTTTTGCGTACCAACAGATAAATACATTTAATCAGTTACTTTTTGTGAACATGGTAACATTTCGTGCTTGGAATTGGGTTTATTTCTTACTCTTTTATCATTTCAGATATTATTAAACGGTCCTCTGGAAGTGAGAAGTGGAACAATTTTACTGGTGCCTGGTTCTGTCAGGATCCTTGGTGGACTCCTGGAGGAAATTGATCAAATTGCTGAAAGGAGGAAAACCCTTGAAGTCCGCTTAAGGTGAGTTGCCGCCAAATTTACTCCTGTAGTTCGACGACGCATAACTGGAAGCAATTGAATGTGACTGGATTATTCGCGCTTTTTAAAGTGCCAGTTTTATTTTTGATTGTGTGTGTGTGTGATTTTATTTTTTCAACAGGGAAGCACTCAATTATATTCAGAATCGACAAAGTGGCTCTGGGAACACGGTGTCCAGCTCTGATAGCAGTCGCGCATCGTGGAATCAACAGCGTCCTGCGGTGAATAACGTGGCTTCATTTAGACAGCCAGAAGCCAGAGTGAATCCGGTGAACAGTTTTGAAAGAGTTCAGCGAACGATGGATGAAACTGACGATGATTTTGGACTCGCTATGATCGCAGCTGCTGAGTCCGCCGAACGGCAATTTCAGAATATGCCGACGTCTCTTGGTGAGATTTCGTCGAATGACGTTTTCTTACCATTTTTTATTTGACTAGCCTTCACCAGAACTCTGTTGCGGCCGATGCTCGCGATATTCGATCATGAGTCGTACTGACTGAAGTGATGCGGCCTATGCAGTGGGTCCCTGTCCCTGCATAACGAAAATAATCCGTTGGTGAATTAGCCGTGTTATGCGGAATTTTTGTAACGTGAAAGTCGTGAAACGCATTTTTCAATACAATTTGCATTATTAATGATTTTGAATCGTTCCAGACACGCACCAAAAGACGATGATGAATCATAATATTTGTCTTTTATACAGCATTAAATTTTGAATTTAAAATCGATTATTATGAAATTGAAGGACATTCTGACAATTTGTTGCTCTTAACTTCCTGAATTTTACAAATCACAAGAATCGAAAGAACACCCTTCTTGCCTAATTCCTCCAGTTTTTTTTTCAAGCTCCGAAGCTTTGAACTGAAATTGGAGCATTTTTCGCCAAAAATTTGTAAAATGGAATCGAGTTATTGACCCCCTAAAAATTTGTTATGAAACTTTTTCGTTGCGCGGATCTTCAAACTCGAACATAGTTGGCACGGACTTCGATTTGAACGCTGATTTTAACAATCGAAATTAAATCAATGATTATAGCTTCAAAGGTACTAGGATAAAATTCTCAACGCATTATAGTATATTGCCAATAACCGATTTTCTGCAGAAATAATTACCCAGCAGCACGGGTGCACCACAGGAGCCCCGCAGCATCCTATCTTGTCATTTTCCTTTCCCCTTTTCACCCCCCTCCTTTTTAATTTTGGGAACATGTGCAGGCTCTTCAAGACCGCATGAAGTTTGCTGGTTAAATTTTTGCATCTTGCATTTCCTTCATTCATGCGAACAGCTCTTCAGAACAGCAGCTTAGGGGAAGAAATCGCCTGACAACTTTTTTGGATGAAGTTTTCATTTTATATGGTTCTTGTGACCATTCTGTGGCTCTTTGTACCATATGACTACAAACCATTTGAAAGAGAAGTGAACAAGCTTTCATTTTGTGCTTTTTTTCATTGCAACAGCTCAATTCACTACTGAGATAATTTAAATCCAAAATCGGTTCACTTTTTTTTGTCCCACCCTGTATAATGTACTGTGTATATTTTTCGGAACCTTTTCTCAGGCCGATAACTTTCGAAAATATTCTCCGGAATATTTGAGTAATTGTCTTAATTTTCCCATGTCAGGAAATGTACCAGAAGCAGACGACGAGTTCCTGGATGCCGAAGAAGAAGCGTTTCTCGCTGCAGCAGCTGCACAGGCCGAAAGAAACTTTCAGGACTCCGTGTCGCCTCCTCCACGGAACCCGGGTACTCCTCCTGTTGGTGGCAAACGACCACGAGAGCCGAGCCCTTCGTTGGGAAGCATTGGAGAGCAAGATTTTGACGCCGGGGTGTCCGTGAAAGGATTCATTGACGAAATGAAGTTGGAGATTGCCGAGGCGTCGGATTTAACGTCTGCTAGTAGACCTTACTTTCTCACCATGCCCGTGGCGTTGAGTGATGGACTGCACACAAGGAAATATCGTCTGGGAACGAAAGTGAGTTAACTGGCGAATGGATGAATATTTTTTCTTTTCCTTGCGGGTTTTACGCGTTTTGTTGACCAGATTTTATCTCTTTCTTTCCTGCAAAAATCATCATGTACTTACACCTCTTTGCAAAGAAGCCACTGGGACCAGTAATAAATTTTGAAAATAGAAATTCGTTGTAAAAAAAACTCATTCAACGTTGTGGCTATTGGTCAGGGATCTGAAAACGACTTCGTTATAAGGGATTTTTAGTTAAAGCGAGATTCGATGGAAGGAAATTCTACTGTCAATGCATAAAACGTGAAGTGATGTGAAAAAATTATTTTTTGTTCGAATGATGAAGTGTTTTTCCCTCCCATATGGTGAAAAAAGCTGCTCTCGCTTTTTCTGCCTGAATCTTTGTTTCTGGGCACGAGTATTAAGGTTTTTCGCTATGAAAATTCGAATCGGATAATGGAGCAATTATGAACTAGGCACTCACGTACCATCTTATTTTTGTTGGTGGGAAAGTGTGGTATGATTGTTGCAGTCGTTGTTTTTGGCCAGCATCCCTTACTTTTGGGTCGTGCGGTTTTCAATGCTGGTGTTTTTTATTTTTTTAATGCGCGGGATAAGGCTATAAAACTTATGAATATTTCAATGCACGCCCTTTCTTACAGGTGATAGAAACTTTGTGCGGTTTGGATGCACTTGAAATCGTCAATCTTCTGAAGATACGTGACCAGAAAACTCGACAAGTACGTTTATTTTCTGGCTGCTCGAGATTTTTAAAGGTTTCTTTCTAAAGTTTTTCTATTTATATATATATAGTTTTTATATATTTTTTTCGAAATTTTTGAAAAAGAATGTTGGAATAATGAATGTATCAACTGGTGTGATGGTGTGTGAGCTTCGATTATGAAGGCAGAAAATGCCAGAATCCCATACGATTGTGCAGCGAAACATATAATTCAGATGAATGGTTTCAAGGTTAGCAGATGTGCATCAGTTATTTTGAGGACGCTGTGATTGTTGGGATAACGGTATCTTTTCAATTCCTCTCCATACTTCCGCGATAATATTTTTTCGGGGTTTTTGTTCCTTGATTTTTTTCTTTTCTTTTTAATTAGGTTAATTTTAAGATATTTTCATTTACGCGTTTTCTTACCTAATGTTGTTCTGATTGCTGGAGGAAGTTAGAACATTTTCCAGACATTTCTGATCATGGTTTGCTTCAGGCGACACCTACGTGTCAATTCCGAAAGCTAGGTTGTGCATCGAAGTGAAAGAATCTCCACTATGGCGTACATTACTCGGGGGGAGCTGTTTGATTTCGAATTTCTGAAATCGTTGTCATTGATCTATATAAATTGTTCTCTTTTCCCCTTCCTCTTCTTCTGAAGGTGGTAACTGAGCTTAAGCGTAAACTTCGAGACGAAGTTTGTGGCAGTTTCACGCTGAAACGTTTCCCAGAACTGGCGGGTGATGCCGAAAAAGTGGTGATAGTCGACTATCAGCCAGGGTTTGATCCTGACCTGATCTCGAAATGGAAGGGGCGTCGGCTGTTGCAAAAACGACCACGTCCTGCCAATCAATAATGACAGTGATCTATGCTCTTGTTTCAGCATCGGTTTGTTTTTCTTCATTTTCAAAGCTAGCGGTATTTCCGCAAGTGAGAGTTTTTCCAGATTTTCGTACGCCGAATTTTTTTTTATGCTGTTTGGAGCGTTCGGAAACAAGTCTTACGGGTTTTCTTTTGAAATTTCATTAAAGCTTTGTGATTTGGATGAAGAGAAACCAAACTTTTTTTTATTTATTGCAGGGGAAGTTGATATTAAAAAATAATGGAAATGCAGCGAATGTTCGTGAGTGAGACAGAGTTGGAGGAGAAGCGGAAGAAGAGGCAGGAAGAGTGGACTAAGGTCCGGACTTCCGATCAGCCAGAGGGTACGTTACATTCATTGTGAACAAAACCATTCGGTTTCACTTTCTTTCTCGTGGATGTGTATTAGATCACGAGAAAGTCTTAAATTTTGCCGAATTTCTGTGATATTTTTCAGCTTGAGAAGATTAACCCTAATGTTGAGACCTCATTTTTCGAATTGTAATAAAATATTTTTCTCGAATTGAAATTTGTATTCGTTGTGCTTCAGTTCACTCGAGTTGATGAATAATCGTGTTCTAGTTTGTTGGATGCACAGTTTTATTTTGAACGAATGAAAAGGGTAATAAAATTGTATGTCATATTTTCATTATATTTTCCGACTCTTGTGAAGAAGTATCATTTTTAAAAAGTTTTTCAATGAAGAGGGAGGAAATGAAAGTTTTACAAGTTTAATGAGGGAATCAGTATTTTCCATTGATCAATATTTAGAATGAGTTTGTTTTGCTGAATGTAGGATAACATCGTAAGAAATATGTACAATTTCAGCATTCTTCATGAGAGACGAGAACCTCGGGAGATCCGTCTGAAGTATTGATTTGCTTAGATCAAACTTCATGAAGCGTTTTAGCGTCATTTTCTCAATTTTAATTGCGCTACTGTATTTTTGAGAATGGTTGCGTAACTTCCGGAAAGCAATATCCCAATAAATTGTCAATGAAAGGAACTGCGATCGAGATATTTTAGATTATTTCCTCTGAACGCGGAGGTTGATGGAAGGTTTTTCTGGCACAATTGGGATTGTACAGGTGATTGTACAGGGATTTAAAAAATGTTCAAACATAACAAAGCTCGTCTTCGAGGACTTCTTCTCCAACTGTTAGCTTCGGAAATGCTAGCTAACGTCCTTGTCTTTTATGCTTTCGTCCTCCTTAAGCTGCTCCGCGCGTTCGAGTCACTCAGTGCTTTCCCTTAATTTTGAACATGATACTGTAATTATTTTGAATATCTTGTTTTGTTCCTGTTCCGTTTAATTGTCATAAATGCGCTGCTTTCTCTCGTTCGATGGTATGTTCAAGCTTGAATAGGTGCACTGTAATTCGAATTTTAAAGATTTAACCCTGAATGGCAAAATTCTTCTGGCTTATTTTCGAACCAATTCCTAGGATATAGGGCAAAAAATAAAGAAAATTACTCCAGAAATAAAATGTTGAACAACTTCACTGTGATTACAGAATTCTGTTTCACTGTATCACCAGCGACATTTCATCCCTCAAAATAAACTTGATCCCATATTTATTCCGGTTTTTGGGCATGCGTTTCAAATTGTCGTTTTCTACTTCCCTGTAAGATTATTTCATGTGAAGTCCCGTGAAATTCACGACTGTAAACAAGTTATTTTTGCGAAGAAAATGCGTACGACTGTCATTCACTCTATGAAAAGCTATTATTCTAGTTTTTTAAATTAAACGTTTAAACGAGCTGTTTCCATGTTTGAATCAATGTCAGATCATAGCGGGAAGAATCTCCTGATTTTGAAGAATAAAATAGAATAGAAGCGTTTTATCCCACTTGAGTTTTCACCCCATTTTTTATAATTCAGCTTCTTTTTTGCGTAAAAACTTGAAGGTCTACGTTATTTGTTCATTAGAAAACCTCGTTCGAGGAATCGATGACGACGAATCGGATTTCCTCGGGACTGTCGACGAAATGAAGGAGAAGATTATCAGGGAGAAGGAGTTGGAAGAGCAGCGAGAACTCAAGGAATTTCACATATCCTTTTCACGATATCATACTCTTGCGATTATCGAATGCGCGGAAAGAAAGTGTAGGGTAAGAATTTTTAAATTTGAGGGGGGGGGGGGTTAAGATCATGTGCGACTTTTGCCTTGACTGAACGCATTTTATGAACGTTGAACACGAGCGAAGAGGCAAGCTGATTGAAGAAGAAGATGCGACGAGAGCGAATGGAGTTGCAACAGTTGCCAAACCGACTGTGGCACCGAAAAAGAGCCAACAACATCAACTGATTCTCAAGGGAGTCAAGCGCAAAGCTGCACCAGGTAAAAATCTTCTCAATTTTAAATTTAAATTAAGGTAAAAGTTTCTCTAAAAAAAATGGCGAGGATTGTCCCAAGACTAATAAAAATGTGAAGAAATCACATGAATTTCCTTATGGTGTTTTAGGCTTTGAATATTTTTTTAAAGATTTTTTAGTCTTTATTTTCTTGTTCACTTTCGAATGAGTTGACGCCTCTGGCCATAATGGGAAAGTCTCAACTTTTCATCATGGGAAAGTCTCAACTTTTCATCATTCAGCGTACCAAAGAATGTCTAAAATCCCAAGCCTGTATTATTTTAGCAATTAGCCCTAGTTACCTATTGGTCGTTCATCTTTCGAACTCTTCAAGTGACAATTCCTTCGTTTCCTTATTTTTTTCTTCAACGTTTCTAAGTAAATTCCAGTGGTCAGTACGGATCTGAACAGGTTAGAGCAAGGGTGTTTTGGAAACTCGTCAGACTTTCTCAAGTTCTCTTCATTCTTGAGCGTTTTGTATGTGCATTTTATCAAATCCGCTCCGAAAACGTTTAGCTGTCTTATTTTGGGGGCCCTGTGTTCTGACGGATCTGAAGAAAACTTTGTTTCCCGAAATCCATGTGCAACGAGATGACACGTCAAAACGGTCTGCCTTGACCATGTTGTAAAATATCGTTCGTGTTCCCTTCACTGCTTTGTTATCCAAAAACTATTTTACGAAAGTTGTTGGTCAATGATGATCAGTCGTTGAGTAGGGCTTTCTAATAATTAATGGAAAAGAGGATCGGAGATTTAAATCGTTTTCTGCGACTTTCGAAGGAAACGCAAAAGTTACTCCGTGAGAGTATTCAAAAAATGTTTATTTATTTATCTTCACACACAGTCGNATTCGTTGTGCTTCAGTTCACTCGAGTTGATGAATAATCGTGTTCTAGTTTGTTGGATGCAGTTTTATTTTGAACGAATGAAAAGGGTAATAAAATTGTATGTCATATTTTCATTATATTTTCCGACTCTTGTGAAGAAGTATCATTTTTAAAAAGTTTTTCAATGAAGAGGGAGGAAATGAAAGTTTTACAAGTTTAATGAGGGAATCAGTATTTTCCATTGATCAATATTTAGAATGAGTTTGTTTTGCTGAATGTAGGATAACATCGTAAGAAATATGTACAATTTCAGCATTCTTCATGAGAGACGAGAACCTCGGGAGATCCGTCTGAAGTATTGATTTGCTTAGATCAAACTTCATGAAGCGTTTTAGCGTCATTTTCTCAATTTTAATTGCGCTACTGTATTTTTGAGAATGGTTGCGTAACTTCCGGAAAGCAATATCCCAATAAATTGTCAATGCAAGGAACTGCGATCGAGATATTTTAGATTATTTCCTCTGAACGCGGAGGTTGATGGAAGGTTTTTCTGGCACAATTGGGATTGTACAGGTGATTGTACAGGGATTTAAAAAATGTTCTTTGTATTGTTTCGAGCAGAAGCTCCTGAAGAAGAGGTTGACAATCGAAGCCTTTACGATCGATTGCAGGAACAGAAAATACGAAAGCAGGAGGAATTCGACGAGGCGCGCAAGCTCAGTGAGTCACGTTTCCCTTAATTTTGAATATGATACTGTAATAATTTTGAATATCTGGTTTGTTCTTGTTCTGTTTAATTGTCATGAATGCGCTTCTTTCTCTCGTTCGATGGTATGTTCAAGCTCGAGTAGGTGCACTGTAATTCGAATTTTAAAGATTTAACCCTGAATGGCAAAATTCTTCTGGTTTATTTTCGAACCAATTTCTAAGATCTAGGGCGAAAATTAAAGCGAATTACTTTGGAAATAAAATGCTTAACAACTTCACTGTGATTTACAGAATTCTGTTTCACTGTATCACCAGCGAAATTTCATCCCTCAAAATAAACTTGATCCAATATTTATTCCGGTTTTTGGACATGCGTTTCAAAATGTCGTTTTCTACTTCCCTGTAAGTTTATTTCATGTGAAGTACCGTGAAATTCACGACTGTAAACAAGTTATTTTTACAAAGAAAAATACGTAAGAATGTCATTCGCTCTGTGAAAAGCTATTATTCTAGTTTGTTAAATTAAACGTTAACGAGCTGTTTAAATCAATGTCAGATCATAGCGTGAAGAATCTCCTGATTTTGAAGAATAAAATAGAATAGAAGCGTTTTATCCCACTTGAGTTTTCACCCCATTTTTTATAATTCAGCTTCTTTTTTGCGTAAAAACTAAAGGTCTACGTTATTTGTGGTAATCTTTTGGAGCAAGCTCCTTAGCTACTGCTGCTTAGCCTAAAGGAGCCCTGACAGCTGCTTTACTTCCTCTTCTAATAGTCCCTCTTCCTCAACCTTCTCGTCGCTCTTGAGTTCCTTAAAGTCATATCCTTTTCACGATATCATACTCTTGCGATTATAGAATGCGCGGAAAGAAAGTGTAGGGTAAGAATTTTTAAATTTGAGGGGGGGTTAAGATCATGTGCGACTTTTGCCTTGTGACTTGCGTAAAATACTTGCAACTTGTGCTCGCTTCTCCGTTCGACTAACTTCTTCTTCTACGCTGCTCTCGCTTACCTCAACGTTGTCAACGGTTTGGCTGACACCGTGGCTTTTTCTCGGTTGTGCATCAACTGATTCTCAAGGGAGTCAAGCGCAAAGCTGCACCAGGTAAAAATCTTCTCAATTTTAAATTTAAATTAAGGTAAAAGCTTCTCTAAAAAAATGGCGAGGATTGTCCCAAGACTAATAAAAATGTGAAGAAATCACATGAATTTCCTTATGGTGTTTTAGGCTTTGAATATTTTTTAAAGATTTTTTAGTCTTAATTTTCTTGTTCACTTTTGAATGAGTAGACACCTCTGGCCATAATGGGAAAGTCTTCACTTTTCATCATTCAGCGTACCAAAGAATGTCTAAAATCCCAAGCTTGTATAATTTTAGCAATTAGCCCGAGTTACCTCCTATTGGTCGTTGATCTTTCAAACTCTGCAAGTGACAATTCCTTCGTTTCCTTTTTTTTTTTTTCAACGTTTCTCGAGTAAATTGCAGTAGTCAGTGCGGATTTGAACAGGTTAGAGCAAGGGTGTTTTGGAAGCTCGTCAGACTTTCTCAAGTTCTTTTCATTCTTGAGCGTTTCGTGTGTGCATTTTATCAAGTCCGCTGCGAAAACGTTTAGCTGTCTTATGCCCTGTCTTATGTCTTGGGACCCTGTGTTCTGACGAATCTGAAGAAAACTTTGTTTCCCGAAATCCACGTGCAACGAGATGACACGTCAAAACGGTCTTCCTTGACCATGTTGTAAAATATCGTTCGTGTTCGCTTCACTGCTTGTAATGATCTACGAAGGAAATTATGTTTCAAGAAGTCAAAAAGCCTTGAAAGAACAAGCTATAATCCTGAAGCGTGTTCTTCTCGTGTTTTCACAGGTTTACTTACGATTCATTTTATTTCTTCGGGGTTGATGTATGGAAAACTATTGAAATAGTGTTTTCGTTGACTCCGTATTTTTGAATTTGCGCGAGAAATAACATTGCAAAGGCTGGCATACCTTCGAGCGCGGTGATGCATTTTATCGACAGAAATATTCGATTTATCCTCGAATATTTTATTCGTGATTTTCTTAATTTCTGAACAACTTCGAAAGTTCAGTATTAAGGTTTATTTAGAAGCAACGCAAGATTTGTTTCGTTGATGTATTGCTGTCGCCTGAATCTGTTCGTGAAGAATTTTGTCTAGATCTGAATGTCATATGTTGTTGACTTGTGGTTAATGATTTTTCTCCATTTTGTCAATTTTGTGAAGACCGGACGAAATCATCTACAATATCGAGTGATTTTTGTGGTTGTTACTTAATCTTCACTTGATAGGTGTATCATTAATTTATTGATGCTCGAGTAAACTGATTTTTTTCAGTCACGTAAGATGAGATTCGGGTGGCAGAAGTTGATTGATTCAATGACGATAGTGATTGAAGTGAAACTTCTACAAAAATTGACTCTGAAAACCGAATTCTTATTTGTTTTTGCAGAAGAAAGACCGGACGAAGTGACGAAGCCGTGTCGTATGGTGTTGCCAGGGATGGATTGCTACGAAGCGTCGTCCAGTGACGACAGCGACAGCGAACGGGATGACAGTGTGCGAAGTCTGTACATTTTCAACGACGCCGGGTCTTGCAAAAGTACCAAAAAACTCGAGAATTATTGCGTGTGATTTGATGGATTGATAGTGTTTCCTGGATGATGATGAAATTGCGTACCTTTTCTTTCTTGTCTTCTTTTTTTTTTGGTACATCTTTCCGCTATATGAAGCTCGTGTTCTTCCGAGCTTGAATTTCCCGTTGATTAAAGGGGTACTTAATCCGTTGATGGCTTCGAATTTTTTTTTTTTAGTTTTGTTGGAAAATGATTTTTTTTTTCTTTTTTGAAGCTTGATGAGGAATATTGTGGACACCCGAAAACAAATTACTTTGTGAGTCCATTCCCTGAAATGAAGAAAAAGACCTCTATTTCCTGCGCGGCGAAAGATTCGAGTAAATCTTTTTAGATAAACGAGGGAACTGAATGTTTGAAAGGTTCTTCCGCGTGCTGATTTGGTTCGTGTGTGTTCGGGCTGATTACGTGAACGAAGTTTTGGGTGAAAAGAAAAGCATTTTCCCAGTGCTTGAGTAATGCATTTGGCTGTTTTCAGTTATCTTGCGTCATGCTCAAAGCGATGTGATGTGATTGAAAGACTTGGGTTTTCTTTTCGTGAAGATTTTTGTCATTGTCCTTGAAAAGAGTGAAGCTACGATGCCACTTCATGGGGTGAGTTTATTTAATTTTCATTTATAACTGTACTGTACAGTGTTTTGAACCATACGTTTCGTTTTTTTCTAGGGATGAGCATTATGATGATGATGGTTTTTCCGAAGAAACCATGATCAGTTCGAAAGAAGGTGTACCTGACAAAAGTCAATCGCCGCCTCTGAACGGCATCGAAGATGACGAGGATTCGTCGGCTTCGAATGATTACTCGGATATCAGAACTGTCAATGATATCATCAGCAAGGTGTATTTCCCGGTGAGCAATCTTTCTTTGATTATTTAAAGATTTTCTTCCATTTTCGTATGTGTTTTAAAGGATGGTTTGAAGTCTTGTCGATCTATCTTTATCTGAAAATATATCTTCCCCTACGCAACGAAACTTGCGCTGGACGAGAACGAGACGAGAGCAATTTTGAATTAGCCCTAGTGTTTAGGTTTAATTAAGTTTGATTTTGCTCTAGATTTTTCTCTGCAGATTTTGGAACGTCAGGCGAAGGAATGCCAGATCCTAGAATTGTATTTATCGTTCTCTGTGTAAAATGACCAAAATAGTTTGTTTGAATTATGCGTGGAATAACGTTGCATAATTTCAAGGGCCTGTCTGTCGTCCACTTTTCTGAAGCCATGGTGTTTTCTTCGCTTAATTTCGTCTGAACTGAATTTTCTCAATTGATTCAAATTTTTCACTGGCTATCAACGTGTTGAAAAATATTGTTGAATCAAACAGAGTTGACTTTATTGGCAATTGAACCTCATTCCCTTGCTCTGTGTTTTAAGGAAGAAAAATGTTTATGTGTATTTTTCAAGCGCCGTTTTTTTTAGAACACGTGATTTTGTTTGAATTGGCAGATAATATTTGAAATGGCGTGGAATGAAATTAGACTGAACGGGATTTTGACTTCACAGTATTTAATTTCTTCACAGCCTGTTCTCGTTACTTTAAAAAATATTCTTGAATTGAACTCTGTTTAATGAATTTGGAATTGGACCTCATTTCCTCAACTTGTGTTCCATTATTAAATTCGAATTTGGGGGCCGTTATATTCAAGTGCCTTATTTTTTTCAAAACAAATTGTAACGAACTTGTGATTTGGTGTAAATTTGCAGAAATATTTGAAATGGCGTGGGAAGTGTCTTTGCCGAACGTCGTTGCTCGACCAGAGAAAGTCCAAGCAGAAGCAATGCGAAGCCTGGGATGACGTCAGTTGTGTTACTCTCCGTTGCACCTCCATGTCAACGATCGTCAATGCTCGTTCTTCGCGAACACACGCCGTAAAAGCTTTGTGCAAGAATCATTTTGCCCGCCTGAAAGCTCATGAATGCTGTCCTTTCTGCGATTCTTTCTGCACCCAGGTTGGTCTTTCGAATCCATGTAACTTGATGCATTTTGAACAACAACAAAAATAGTGATGAATTCGTGCTTGATGAATGTCAGAGTTCGGATAGACTTTTTATTAAATGGGCCTCGCTGACTGTGTCCAAAAAACTGATGGTTCGTGTTTGGAACGTTTTAATCCTTGAGATTGTTTCGCTTTTGTGCATTATATTTGTTTCAGCGTGGATAGATGTCGCTGACATTCTCGAAGGCATTTTTATCTTGGACACAGTCGTTTAATTCCTTTTGCTCGTTCCAGAAATGTTCTGTTTATTTTATTTAATTTTTCGTCGGGGAATGTTCGTAAGACATGAAAGTGGGTCCCCGCATAATGAAAGTAATCCATACCTGAATGAGTTTTGTTATGCCGAAGTTTCGATGCTTGAAAGGCGTTTTTTTTTTCGTGAGATCACACGGTTTTTTATTTGGTTGGTTCCAGCCACTCACCAAGAGTCTATAATAAACCTTAAATTTTTTTATTATTCCACAGAAAATTATAAATTTAATATTGCTCAGCATAGATTCGTAGTGATTCGGAAAACTCTTGCTCATAACTTTCTGAATTTCTCACATTTTAAAGACAAGCATGCGTGAAACTATGTTTTCTTTAATTTTGAAAAATTATTGTTTCAGATCAAAACTTTTTACAATTTTGGGCCAAAAAGATCGTTTTGTGAAATAATTTCGTTATGAGAGTAAATGCTTTTCCCGATAAAAATTTTTGTTAGCATTATTCCCAAAACATTACAACGCATTACCTTAGCTTTCTTGTCTTTCATACGAGGTGAAAATGCGCCAGAAGTGCTGCAGTTTTTACTGCAAAGAATTTTTTGTGGCACCTTAGATTAATAATTCAAGTTCAGTATAATGTATTTATATTTTTTTTAGGGAACCTTCCTGGTCTGTTCAGAAGTGAGAGAAGAGTTTCATTTCTTCCATGCCATCTGTGCCTTGAAGTTTTACCACGGCAATCGCAGCTCTGTCGTGTGTCCGCATTGCGATCATCAGCCGAATTTGGGATTCCATGAATGGACCAAACGTCTCATTTTAGATTCGCTCTCCGATTATCCGAAGAATCACCGGATACACGTTCGTCTCCCGAAAGAGTGGGTGATTTAAACGCTCATCGTGTTGTTCTTTTTCGCTGAAACGGTGATATTTTCAGGGATGAGAAGGTGATACAACCGAGAGGAACGAGGGCTCGGAAACGACCAGGGAAGTCTTTCAAGGAACTTTTGAACTCTTGGGACGAAGAGAAGATGGATCGAGTTATGAAGAAAATTTCTTCCGAGCGATTCCGTCCCTCGTTTAACTTGTACGAAGCGTGTCTTTTCGGAGATATTAAATCTCTCGTCTGGCTTTTGAGTAAGTGGCCCTTCTTCCAGATCATTTTTTGTAGTTCAGTACCATGATTCGTTCGATTTTTCGTTGTGAAGGAATTCTTCATCTTCGCCTCAATGCCCGACGATTACTCGACAGATGTCGCATGAATCACTAACATGATTTACTATTCAGTTGAATACTGTATAGCGTGCAATTTTGAATCACCGAGTTTGCTGAAAGTATTTTAAACGTTACTTCGCGTGTTTTGTTTTTAGATAACGGCGCAATTGCGAATGAAGTGTATCCAGATCGGAAAAATCGTCGCCCTGCTCACGCGGCTGCTTTTGGCGACCAATTGGCAGTCCTAGTCATTCTGCACAATGCGAACGCCGATTTGAATGCCCAAGACGAAGAGTCCATGACACCGATGATGTGCGCTGCTCGGAAGAACTTGTACAACGTTGTCGAGTTTCTCCTCAGGAAGAATGTTTCTCCTTACACAAAGGTATCGATTGAAGATTTGTTTCCCCGAGTTGTTTTTCACGCATTTTTTCTTGTGTTTAAATAATTTTTTTTAGGACGAGTTGGGTAAAACTGCTCTTCATATCGCGGCAGAATCAAATTCTTTTGAGGTTGTCAAAACGCTGGTGGAGTTCTCGCCGAAACCCAAGAGATTGATTGATATGACGGACAACGGTTCTTTCACAGCCTTGAATTATGCTGTGGATTCATCGCTTGTCCAAATAGTCGAGTATGTACATGTTTCTTTATATTTTTTTCGCTGTCAACTGAGCTTCTATAGGTGGCATTGTGTTTGTTAAATGCTTTAATCGACTTGCTCTTTCATTGAGTAACCCTTGACACCAGTCACAGTGCTACTCTTCGATCTTACTTCTACAACTCCAAGTAAGACCTCTGAACAACCGAATAAAAAAGTAATTAGATGGTTTACGACATCGTGTAACTCTAAAAGAGTTTGTTGGATGATGAATATGTCGAGATTAGGATAATTTCGTTTGATATTTTTTCTCAGATTTAAAGAACGTTTAACCCTTGTCGTTGTTGATTTTTTTCGAAGCTTCCGAGGTGAGTTTTGAATGCTATTTGAGTTTAAAACTGAGCCATGATTTCAAATCACTTCTCGGCCGCTTGATGCGAGTGTTTATGTTGGAAACTATTGTTGTTGATCGTTCGTCAAAAGAATCCGGAAGTTTTATGGCGATATTCTTTCTTTGAATTTTCCAGTTGAATAATTTAAGGAATGTGTTTTTCTGAGATTTTTAGTTGCTTCATGAATCCATCGATTTTTTTATCCGTTGTCCTCATGGAAGGTTAGGTCAGTCGCGTGAGACAGTTTCTTTTGGGTAAAAACGTGAGTAATTTTGTCGGAAATCCAGTCGAATTCCTCGAATGTGAGTTGCGACTGACTCTACAGCTCATTCTTTGAAATGACGTATCTATTTTGATCTACACAGCCCTCCGTCAAGAGAATCCGAAAGTTCTCTGGCGATATTCTTTCCAACTTAAAAGGTCATGTTATTAAATTCCTTACGCCAAAAGACTCTAAAAATCAACGAAGTACTTAGGTAGCTGAATAGTAGGCAATTGGAGTACCTTCCAGTCTTTGCCCCACTAAAACGCTAATATTGGCGAGCTTCTGGTTTTATTGTTCGCTGTGGATAATTTAAGGAACGCGTTTCTCTCTGGTCTTTTTGCTGTTTCCTGCTGAAATACTGATGATTTTTTGCCGCATTCTATGTCATTTCCAGGTACTTGTTGGCAAACGGGGCAGACCCAAATATTCCCGACGAGGAAGGCAACAGGTTGATACATTGGTGTGCCTTTTACGGTTCCGTCGAAATGCTGGAATCGGCGCTCGAAACCCGTTGCGATATCAACGTTCAGAACAAGAAAGGAGACACTCCGTTGCATCTCGCAGCCAGGTGTATGCATTACGAATGCGTGGACCTTCTCATTAGTCGCGGGGCAAATTTGGACCTTCGGAATTGCAAGGGATCGACCCCTCGGGAAACCGTGGGAAATGATCGGATGTGTTCTTTGTCGGGTTTGTTGGGTCTCACTGAGGTGCTGAGTTCGGATGCTGTGGATTTGCGGAAAGATGAAGATGTTGGAAATGCTTTAGTGAGTGCGGATCATCCCGTGCCTTCGGTTTCTTGCAATGCCGTGCAGATGTGAGTGCAAATTGCTTTTAAAACGTGTCTCTTTTTTTGTTGGTTTTGTGTCTTAACAAATTTACAACGGGTTCTTCCAAGTCTTGCGAGTTGCCGTAAAAATCGTCTCGTAAAAATACGTAGCCGGTAAAAATGTAAACTTATTATAACCTCCACTATGACATAACAAAGCACAAACTTTTATTAAAAGCGGAAGAAATTAGGGCTTTAAGCCGCTGATTTAAGTGAGCTGGCGCTTAGTTCCCCATCGTTTCGGTGTCCTTGAGTGCGGGTTTCCTTTAACGATACTCTCAATGGACCTGAATCTTAGCTGGCTTGACTGAAAATAACCGAAAGAAGTCTGAAATAAGCTGACCGATTCTTAACAAAATGCAATACTGTACACACTGCGTGTAACATTCAGGCGACATCTGGGTTTCTGCGGAGAAAATCGCTGGGTCGTGAACATCGGGCGTTTAAATCGATTTGACATTTTGTACTCGTGTAAAATTACCCATGGTTTTTGTTAAATGCTTATGTTCTACTCGAATTTTTTCATGTCTGCTGTAACAGATTCTTCTGAGATGTTGGTCCGTAGAAGCTTTCATGTCCCTATTGTTCTTGAAATTTCATTTCAATATTCTTTTTCTTTTCTTCAGGTTTTCGCTTGAGGACATCAGCTGTGGCCGAGAACGTGTTCGCATTCCGTGGATTAACGAGGAGGACGATGAAGAATTTCCGAGTCAATCATTCACATACGTATCTTCCATTGCATCGGCCATTTTTACATTTGAATAATATTGGAGGTGATACTGTATTGTTTCGTGTTTGAAAATAATTTTCGCCTTCTTTAATCCCGAAATTCGGCGACTAAATTCACTCGACCGCGAATCAAGGACATCGTTTCGGTGACCTTTAGTGCGGGTTTCCTTTAACGATACTCTCAATGGACCTGAATCTTAGCTGGCTTGACTGAAAATAACCGAAAGAAGTCTGAAATAAGCTGACCGATTCTCAACAAAATGCAATACTGTACACTGCGTGTAACATTCAGGCGACATCTGGGTTTCTGCAGAGAAAATCGCTGGGTCGTGAACATCGGGCGTTTAAATCGATTTGACATTTTGTACTCGTGTAAAATTACCCATGGTTTTTGTTGAATGCCTATGTTCTACTCGAATTTTTTCATGTCTGCTGTAACAGATTCTTCTGAGATGTTGGTCCGTAGAAGCTTTCATATCCCTATTGTTCTTGAAATTTCATGTGGAATATCGAAAAAGAAAAGAAGTCCAAAAGCGAACTCCTGTAGTCGACACCGGCTCTTGCACAAGCGTAAGGCACCTAATTGCTCCTCCTGCTACTTCTTAAAGGCTCAGTTAGTAAGTGTATGCATAGAAGGTACGTGTGTACGTTGTATCTTCAGCGTCCTCTTTCGTCCCTTGAGGTAACCTTGATAACGTTTGGTTTTTTTTTTTTCTTCTAGAGGTAATTCATTGAAAGGTTTTTTGAATTATTAGATATGTTTGTGCGAGGATGTGTGCTCTGAAAAATGTCCTTGCGTCGTAAAAGTGTTCGAGGATTCGACGGAAAAGAAAGTTGTGGGCATGCATACGTTGGATGCTGATGGACGGTGTTCTGAAGATGTTGTGTTGGATCGAGGTAATCGAGCTTTTGATTTGATTACTGGATTTCTTATAAAATTTGTGCTTCTTTTTCGGTGCGGTTAGCGCAAAAAAAATTACGACATACTCACTCTTTTCACGTCCTCTTAAAATAACGACACGATTAAAAAGAAAAATTGTTCTTACGGGCACTTCAACGGTTGAAAGGCTAGCTTACCTTGCGTTGCTCTTAGCCTAATTGATCGGTTTTTGTTTTAACAGATGGAGCTTACCTTGTGGAATGTAGGCCTTCCTGCAATTGCGATCCGATCCTATGCAATAACAAACTTGTACACACCGAGCTCAGAAATAAAGTCCAAATATTCAAGACGAAATTCAAAGATTGGGGATTGCGTGCTGGTGAGGACATTCGATCTCGAACCTTCGTTTGCCCGTGAGTTCATTTTTCATCGTCTTTCAACAATGAGCACTTGATTTTTTTGAATGCTTAGAAGTTCGAGTTTTTGCTTTTCAGGTACGCCGGAGAATGCGTGATGAAAGAAGACGCCTTGAAACGATGTGATCTCACGTATACGTTGCAGTTTGCGAACGAGGTACTTTATTTATTTTAAAGAGAGATTTTTTCTTATGGAAAACTAACGTGGATTTTTGTGCTCCATTTTAGAAATTTTTGTGGATCGACGCGAAAGAATTCGGCAATGTGGCTAGGTTTATTAATCATTCCTGTGAACCGAATTTGATGGTGATCCCGGTTCTCCGGGGAAGTGGAATGGTGAAATTTGTTGCTGGGCTCTTTGCCTTGAGGGATATCCGAGCCGGAGAAGAGCTTACGTGAGTGGAAGAAAAACTGAATGCAGTGTGTGTCCCCGCATAACGGAACTAATGAGTTTCGTTGTGCCGAATTTTCGTTGCGTGAAACGCGTTTTCCCCCATGATTACATTGATATTAATTCAATTTGTTCCAACTACTCACTAAAAGAATTTCTTTTTCCCGCTGAAAGAACGAGATAAATCGTGCAATTTGTGTATTTTTCAGCAGATAATTGTGAATTGAATATTGTTCAGCGTGAAATTGAAATAATCCTCGAAACTCGTGATCGCAACTTCCGTAATTTCTAATATTTTTCTTTCTCATATCTTCTTCTCTCAGACAAGAATGTGTAAAATTATGCCTTTATTTTCTCTTTTTCTCGATTTTTAAAAATTCCTGAGTTTTAGTTGGAAACACGGTGAAGTTCGCGAAATTGTTGGGGTTCTATTGAAATTATTCTATCAAGCAAGTAAGCAATAGTCATTAAATGGTTTCTATCTCTGTCTTTAGACATGCTTTTGATTCGTTATGTGAAATAATTTCGTAATGAGAGTAATTTTTTCCACCTAAATAATTTTCGTTGAGCAGATTTTTCGTTATGTGGGGAACTCATTGTATTGTGATTGATAGTTCAGAAATTTATAAGGTCAATACGGCGGTTGATCTTGAAGTTGTCTCATTTTTATCTGCGCCAAATACCAAATACAGTTTGAACAGCACAGCAAGCAACAAAGCAGGAATACTGAACATAGAATTATTCTGGGTATATTGATGCTGACTTGTTGGTACGTCGTCTTCTGATTCTCTCGAAACGAAGAACTGTGATGTGTTATTCATCAAGAGCAATCATTAAAAATTTAAGTAAATGAACATGCGAAACGGAGCCGAACACGTTTTTTGTTTTTCCTTTTTAGGATGGACTACGGCAGCCATGTTCTGGAGCAGCGGGATTTTGAATGTCAATGCGGATCTCGTTCATGTGTATCTCTGAGAGAACTCTTGCCCGACGCGAATTCTTCCTGAAGACGAATTTCGACCTAACGTCGTTACGTTGCTGGGGAAACGTCCGATCGATTCGAATTTTTTTCGTTCACGTCCATGCGTTTGGTGCTGGATTCTGATCAGTTTTATCTGCTCTCTTCTGTTTTTTTGAATTTCTGTAAAGTATCTGAAATGTTTTCGGAAAACGATGGTCAGTCGTCCGGTTTTATTGCGCAGGAGATGATTTTGAGTAATTTTAGTCATGAACGAATGTCGCGATGAAAGAAACCCAATTCCTAAGAGGTATATCCATTAAGTAATTTACCAAGGATCGAGACAGAAGCCTGTACGGATACTTATTATTTGGAATGGGGTTCCAATTTCAGCAGAAATCGATTCGGGAACTAAGACAGAATTCATTAACCCCTATATTTTTACGCGAAATATTTTTGCTATTGATCCACATTTATGCTTTGAAGAATCTCAGAACGTTCGACTTCCGAATTATTCAACAAAAATGTCTGACCTTGATTCCTGTAATGGGGCATACCTGGCGGATGATCGCAAAATTTATCAGTATTCCTCGCTCTGTAATTGCTTTTTTTATTATGGTCATCGTTGTTCGTTGCGCTTGGTTTGAGTTTAAAATCGTTTAATTCGTCGACGAAGCAAAAACATGTTCGTAATTTTAATTCTGGCGCTTTCGTATTACATTAATATTTCATTTATCTAACTCCTGCTTTGATTATTTGTAACGGGTCGTTCAATTTTTTTTCAATGCCGCATTTTGGTTAAACTTTTCATCTTTGCTGCGTTTTTTTGTACCGATTCGTTTTAAATAGAAATGTTTTCAGGCAAATTTCGTCATTTTTGGAATTGTTTGTTTGTTTTTGCTGGAGGTGATCGATATTTTATTCATGTTATGCCACTCGTGTGTAGGTTTCTTTTTTTGTTGAAAAACTGGGGAAGTTCGGAATGCAGGCTGTGAAAAATCTGTGAATTTTCCGGAAGCTGCTCTTAATCAGTGGTGAGTCGCGATCGTGCGGTTTATGTTTGAATTTGCGGCTTCGGGAATTGCTTAAATTTTGGAAAAGAGGTTTTTAGTGTTTTTTTTTTTTTATTCACAGGGTTGTTGAGGCCATGGCAGCAGGCGGCGCTCTGAAAGTGTCGTTGTGGATATGTTTTTTTCTGTTTCTGAAGATAGATCCTCTGGAAGCGGAAAAATCATTGCGTTCTGATGGTCCAGGCGCACCTTCTGTGGTGCAACCTGTTGCACAGCCAGTGAGTCTTTGATCCAAATTAAATGTGAACCTTCCTTGGAGACTGTTGGGGTTTCGATTCCTGCAATTACTATTAAAAACCTCCCTTGCTCGAAGGCTTTCCCCCTCAAACCTCCTTAACTCAAATTTTCTGGAGGCCCTTTTGTGGCTATTTATTTTCCATTGATACAAGAATGAGAAAAAACACTAAAAAATGCAAATCAGTGTGTTTTGAAAGGAAGTGAAAGACTAATGGTTCAAATGAAGGTAGTGGAGTCAATTCTTGTGAAATTCCGGGACTTATAGTGGCTAGTTTAAAAGGGGTTGTTTTTAAGAGCAAAGGGGTTGAATTGAAAAAACGGACCAGGGAACTTTTCTACAAGGTTACATTGAGAACCTGCATTTACTTTCTGGGAAAATTATTCTATGTATGGATAAAGACAGAAATTTACGGATGACAGCATTGTCTCGTCATTTTTGAGCAAACCTGAATCTGTTCGTTCATAAATTAAGAGAGAAGGCAGCAGGAAAATGTTTTTAGCTTCGTCTGGTGATGTTGAGGCGAGGAAGAATGGCGTTTTATTTGAGTTTTCAGCTTTTTTCAAGTGTTCTTTGTATCGTGAATAAAGTAAATGTCCTTCTCCTTTTTTTCTGTTATGAAGGCTTTGGCGAACGTGACAGCGAATCATTCATCGTCAGTCAAGCATGCGACGAACAAAGGCTTTATGCACGCTTTCGTGGCTGCCCTGAGTATAGTAGTGGTGTCAGAGATCGGTGACAAGACGTTCTTCATCGCAGCCATCATGGCTATGCGTCATCCGAGGTCCACTGTTTTTCTCGGTGCCATGTCTGCCTTGTTCCTGATGACAGTTTTATCAGGCGAGTCCTGTTTCCTAATCTGGTGACTGTAAATACAGTGAGACTCCCAGATGCGGGCATAATTGGTGCGTCAAGAGTGTCCCTGATTCAAGTCTCGTTTTCCCATAGACTTACATTATATAATTTTTAATTGATGTTTTATGGGAGAAATATTCTCCAGAATCCCATGAAAAAAAAAATTTTGCCAACTGAATTGGATTGTGATTATTTTTTCAACCCAATAGGAACATATGGAGCATTGAAGAGTATACTGCTATACAGTTCATTGAAATGTTGGCATCTGTAAAAATAACATCCAAGTCACAAAAAGAGAAGGAAGTCCCACTGTGCTATAGGTAATTTTTTTATCAGCTGAATTGATGGGAAAGTGATGGTAAACATAGATCTTAGGGTTGGAAATACAGTGAGACCCTATCTGTTTCTTGCAATTAAGCTTAATAAAAGTCAATTTTCCTAAAATTTATTGGCAATTTCATCATTCAATATCCTCATGTCAAGTCAGTGTCCGTATGTTGGGCCTTTTTATGATTTTTCAATTTAAAACAGTACAGTGAGACCCCCACATTCGGACACCTTGACATGGGGACAATTCGACATAGGGACACTTGAAAACCCAAAAAATCAGGCCTGACATCTGGTCATTGGCTCGAGTTAGGGACACTTTTCTGAAATTTTCCCCAAAATTTAAACATTTAATTTTTATATCTTTCAATGAAATCGAAGCTAATGCATTTATATTCACAAAAATATGTCAAGTAAATCCACTCTAATTCATGATTAAAAGCAAGCTGATTTTGTGCTTCTTTTTTCATAGTTTTTTTTTATTTTCTATCTGTGCATATTCTAGCAAGACTTATTCTTTCTCCTTGCCTTTTGATAACAAAAGATCAGATTCTATGTGGTTGTTCTGCATTGTTGTTTTCTACAACTTGAAGTTGAGGGAAACCATTTTCATTAAATTTTTTTGAGGACTGATTTCTAATTTTTGAAAAAAAGGAGAACCAATTAAATACATTGGCATTGAAGTCTGAGGGAAAAGGAGACTCAACTTAGGGACATTCCAGCATAAGGACACTCTTGATGCACCGATTATGTCCGCATCTTGGGGTCTCACTAAGTATTTTTCTACAGGTTGTGAACCTCTTTTCAATTTTTCAAAATATGTATACAGTATTCTCTCTGTTCGAAACTTTCGACGGGTGGTTCTGATGATTTTTTAATCCTACTTTTTTTTTAAATCCTACTTGAACAAAGGGGAGTCTTTGTTCATTTTCTAAGGATTTCGTCTATTTGTATTTTTTTTAAACGACGTAACCGAGTTCCTGGCGTCAAGTGTGTCTATGAGATAGTTTCGTGGAATTCTCGCAATTTATACTAAATTGCAGAAGTTTCTGTCATCGAAATTGAGCGAGTCTCAAGAATTTTTGAAGGATACCCTCTGAAAAAATCTGCTCGAATTCAGCATAAATTGTCATTAGTCGACTTGTGGACGTGACCCTGCATATGTGAATGATATTTTCGAATTGTTGAAACTAAGTTTTGAAATGGGTGAGTATTGAGGACACGAATGTGGGAATATCTTCGTTTTAAAAAGTGTTTCATTGCGGTTTTGTGAGATTTTCCTCAAATCCGAACTCGAGGTTTTGATTGAGGCTAATCAGTGGTTTTTCGAATAGAGTTTTACGCATGAAATGGGTCAAAAAGATTTTTGATCTTAATGCATATGTTTTTTTTTTCTCTACAGCCGCTCTGGGTTATGCAGTCACTGTGATTCCCAAAAAATACACCTTATATATTTCTTCGGGCTTGTTCGCGATTTTCGGAATCAAGATGTTAGTGGAAGGAATGAAGATGAAGCCCGGAGAAGGTCAGGAGGAATTGGAAGAAGTGCAGTCGGATTTGCGACGACGGGAAGAAGTGCGTTTCAAAGGCATTTTTTGGCCAAGAACTTTCTTCAAAATGAATGATCCGTAGCCCCTTTTTTAAAATTTTTGAGTCAATTTATGGTGTCTGAAGACTTTTTCGAAAGTTTTTGAGTCAGCCAAAAGCCATGAGTTACATTTGTATCATTTTATTGATTTTCTTTTGTATTGTGGGAGATTCAAAACTTGAAGGCAGGAACGGATTTTGAAATTTTATTTCTTGATTAAGATATTGAAAATCATTTCTGCTGTAAATCGAATTCGAAGAGTATTGAGAATCTTGAAGAAGAAGGTTTTTCCGCATCTGACTTTTGGTGATTTCAGGCTGAGAAGAGCCCGGATTTGTTGGAGGCACCTACAGTTTCATCCCGAAGTCAACGATTCATCAAGATGACAGTCAGTGTTTGGAAATCTATCGCACGAGTGTTTTTGCAAGCTTTCACCATGACCTTTCTGGCTGAGTGGGGAGACAGGTCGCAGATCTCAACAATCGTCCTGGCTGCCACAGAGGTTTCAAATAATCTTTCATTTGTATTCAAGTCTTTAGTTGAGACTTTATTGTCCAATTTCTGCGTCTTAAGTCAATCCTGGATTTTTCGGTAATGTTCTTTTTTTTTCAGAATGTATGGGGTGTCACGCTGGGAGGCACAGTTGGACATTCATTATGCACCGGTGTTGCTGTGATCGGTGGGAGAATCGTGGCTCAGAGGATATCTGTCAAAACCGGTGAGTGAAATTTCCTGTGCATTGTATATTTATATGCAAGAATTGTGATTATCTGAATTTTAATACTAATTATCTTAATTTTTCTACTGTGCCGAAATTTTGATTCCGCAAAGTGACCTGTTATTTAATCGCGAGCCGATATATTCTCCTGTGATCAAGTATTTTTATCTGGGCGAATGTAATCAATGCGTGTCAGGTCATTTTTGACTTTTTTGTGTTGAATGAGGAATAATTTTTAGATGATTTTTTATGTTGAATAATCCATTTTACTGGCACTGCAGTAAGGACCCAGTACTCTGTGACTGTACAGGGTGGGCCAAAAAAGTGAGCTGATTTTTTACTTGAAATAGCTTGGTAGCAAATTGAGCTTTGGCTATGAAAAAAGCCTCAAGTGAAAGCTTGTGCAATTCTCGTTCAAATGGTATTTAGTTTTATCGTCCCAAGTGCCAAAGAATGGTCACAAGAACTGTTTAAATGAAGCTGCTGTTCTGGAGAGCTGTTTGCATGAGTGAAGGAAATGCAGGATGCAATGATTCAACCAGCAAATTTCATGCTGTCTTGCGGAGCCTGCACATTTTCCGAGGGGGTGAAAAGGGGGAGGGAAAATGGCGAGATAGGGTGCAGCCGGCCCCCAGTGGCCCACTGCATGCACTTCTTTTTTTATGAGATTTATTTTGAATTTTTGTGAATATAAATGGCTCGATTTTTTTTCTCAATAGATGTCAAAATTTGGAGAACAAAATTTCTTCCATTCATCTAGAAATGTTGGCATAGTGACTTTTTCAGAATATTGTCCGGATGTCTGGGCAGATTTTTTTCTGTTTAAGAAGTCCCTGAGTCAAATCTGTAGTTGGTCAAGGCCCCACTGTTTTTTTTTTATAATCGACGTTTTCGAATTTGCTTAGGTGTTGGAGAAAATTGAGTGTAATTTTTTTTTTCCTAGTTACCTTGATTGGTGGAGTGGTGTTCCTGTTGTTTGCCGTCTCCTCGCTGTTTGTTGGAGCGTAAGCCTGAAGGTGATCAAACCCATGGTGCTGTTTTGAAAAAGAAGAAAAGCACTAAAAGAGTTACTAAGTCTACGTCCGGGATTATTTCTGCGGCTGTGTCTGCTCAGCAACTCCTCTGTGTTCCAGTGATGGTTTTATTTTATTCAATAGAGTACTATACATTATTTTTTTTGCGGTTTGTGCAGGTTTCAGGGCGGGTGTGAAATTCGGGTCAATGCTGTGTTCTGGTGTGGATTGTTCTTTGAGCAAGAAAGCGGGTTTTGTTGCTTTACTTTCGCACGACGGATTGAAAGAAAAAATCGATCTTATGATGGTTTCCGAAGATAGAGTCGTTGGAACGATGGAAATTGGTGTTATTTTCTTCTGAACTTGATGATTTGCTCTTTTTCACGAGATTTTTTTTCTTTTCTTTTCAGATGTCAAAAGGGAGGCGTTATACTGGAATATTGAAGCTTGTGAATTATTAACTCTCAGCGAACGACTATTTATGAGTGGAAATCTGTTATTGTTCCTATACGTGCTTGAACATCGGCTTCGTAATGACGAGATTTATATGTGGAGGTCAAGCAGAATCATGGATACTAGGGGTTTTAAATAACATATCTTGAACTTTGACTCAAATTTGTATTGTGAGGAAACAAATTGGACTGTACAATTTTAAATCAAGATGCATTATTTATCTGTGATCCACTGTACATGCCTCAGGTGGTACCTTGCAATTTGACCCTAATCCATTGCCAAACTAGGGTCTAATTCAAAAATATCAATGCAAAAAATGGCCAAACCTTGGGCCATTTTTTTGTCACATTTTGGGATGGCTGAATTGTGAGGTACCTGTGCAGTGCAGTAGTAGTTGGAGCAAACTTGACTGGAAAATTTGCATGAACGTAAAGTATTATCAACAGGGCTCTTGAGGAAAGACATCAGAGTTCAGTGCATGCCATTCTTGGAACTGTGCATAACAATTTTTTTTATTGATTCTTTATTTATTTTTAGCGGAATGTAACCGGTTTTTCATACCCAAATGAAAAATCTACTATTATAAAGTTACTTGCCGTCCTCGGTTCGCAGTTTTTTTAATTTTCACCAGCCCTCCCTTCCTTCCTGCTCCTTACCTCCCTCTCACAGAGCCCCAGAGACCTGCAGGAGGGTCCCATTTCCCGTTTTTCTAAGTTTGAAAATTTGGGAAAAATAGAATTTTCGACCAAATTAACTTTTCAAAACTTTATAAAAAGCGCCATGATGTTTTCTAAATTTTCCTTTTTTAAATTTTGAAAAAGCTTCAAAATTGGCCAAGTTACAATGAAAATCCCAAAACATTTTTCAAAATCATGGATAATTTGAGAAAAAACACTTTTACATTTGTAATTTTAACTTTCTCAGTTTTCAACATTTCACTATGAAAAAAATACGTAAATTTGCAAAACATCTATGCACAAACTCTCCTAAAAAATAATTTAAATTGAGTAGAAAACACAAAAGTTATGATGAGCTGAAGTGAAAAACGGGAGGTCTCTGGAAAAAATCCGTTTTCTATTTTTGAAAGTTTATGAATTTGTAAAACACCAATCATTGTGCAAAATCTGTAATTTAAATGTTTAATGAGTGCACCATGATGGTTTCAACATTTTATTTTTTGAAACTTTGAAAAATATGAAAAACTGACCAAGTTAAAGTCAAAAATGTGAAACATTTTTGAAATTGGCCAGAAATGTAGGACAAAAGATTTCATTGTTTGAATTTTTATGATTGGATTTTCAACATTTGTGAATGAAAAAATTACTAAGTTTGTAAAACATCATTGTGCAGACAACCTCAATTGAAATTTTGAAATTGAGTAAATATTCAAGAAATCAGAATGAGATCCATCCTGATTTTCTTCCATTTTGTCAACTTTGAAATTTTGCCAAAATTTGAATTTTCAACCAATCTCCAAATTTGTAACAGTCTTGAATAAATAAAATCCCCCTGCTCATGTGCCAGTTGTGGCCCACCGGGCCACAACTGGCGCATTGAGCACAATTACAAAATTACCGTTGGTCCTTGAACAAGTAACCAGCTTTAGTACCATTCATTTTTTTAAACTTGATGCACAGAGATGTGACTGGGCCACACAACTGGGCATGCTCTCTTCCAGATCAAAATTTTAACATGGAAAATCTGTCCAATGCCCAGGTGTGGCTGGGCACCCTCAGCTTGTTCTGTAGTAAAGCTCCCGCATTAATAACTCAGAATGTTCCCAAATACGGGCAGGATCTCAAGAAAGGGAGATTTAGCCATATACTGTTGCAACCCAGTCTAATATAAGCCAGGTCTGTAAAGTTTTTGTTATGCGACAGGTTGAATAACTTGCAAACCGATCCCATTTAACCAAGAATGCGTGAGAAAAAAGCTGACTCAATTAATAAACTAAAATGATTAGAATTGATATAAGCAAATTGTCATAATACATATCTGTGTATTTCTGTTATTGGAAGGAAACTTCAGCTGGTCTGAATAAGGCAGCATCTGATTTTAGAAGGCATCCCTACTGATGAACTGGAAAGAAACCCGTTTTTGTGAACAGCGTCATCTATTTTAGAAAAATTAACTCGTCCTTCCCTGTTCAATCTTGGTCACCATGTATTGCGATTTTGGTTCGTTGGCAGCGAAACCCGTCCGGCGAATCTCCCCTCCCATGTATCGCATTTTGCGGGTATCCTCACGATTACTTCGGTGAAAATTAGGCGGTGAACTAATTGTTTCTCTGCGTTTATCGCGGAAAGAAAATGAAATACGTCCGTGTGTTGTGCGAGCGGTCGCCGTGCGCTAGATTTTCCACCTCTACCTATTGTCGACTGTGGAAGAAGAAGCCCGAGGAAGAGTTCGATCTTGCTCCAGCGCAAGAACTCCATCCGGTTAAAGAATCGAAACCTGTGGAGAAAAAGTCTGGTATTTCAGATTATCACCGGTGCCTGGCCCTGGGGTTGAATCCGGTGGAAGCCGGGATTCCTTTACCGTATAAACGAAACGCCGCCGCGCATAGGAGACGCCTGTTCGGGGAATTCGGATTATCGTCGGGTGTTCAACCTGGAGAAGTTTATCTTCCGCGGGAGTCCCTCAAACGTCACAAGATGTTGGAAGAATTAGCGAATCCCAAGTTGATCTCGGAAATGATGGACGAAATAAAGAGCCGTGAAAAGGAGAAGATGAAGCAGATCATGGCTCGAGAAGCCGAAGTTGAGCGTAAGCTTTCCCAGTCAGTTACCCTGCGAACCCAGTTGGAGGAGAAGATCAAGCGGAAAGAAGCAGAAATTCAAGCTCAAAAGGTTTGTGATAAAGAACTATAATTTTTCATAAATGTCTCTTTTGTTGCCCAAGTTCGATCTGTATTCGAAAATGTCGACTTGAATAAAGCAAGATTCTTTCCACGATTAGGAAAAGAAAGAGCGGATGATGGCCGAGATTCGAGAGCATTTCGGATACACCGTGGACCCGAAAACGGAGAAATTCCAGACCATGCTGGCGGAAAAAGAAGCTCTCGAAAAGAAGAAAGAGAAAGAAGCGAAGAAGAAGGAAAAAGAGGCCAGGAAAATAGCTAAATTGCTGACGCGAACAGTTGATAGTGCGTCATCCAGTGCGAAAACCCCTGAAACGTCGCAAGAAACTTTTGCCCAGCGTTCATGATAATGTTCCCTTAATAGTGCGGAATAGTGCAAAAAAAGTATTCGTGTCTTTTCAATGCTCTGACTAATTTTTCATGAACTGTTGTGCGATTTAAGTTAGCCAATTCATTTTATTTCTTTCAGAATTTCCGTGTGTTACTTAATATCCTTTCAAGTTGTAATTGAATCAACATGGGTAAGTTCCTTCTTCTTCATGTTTCGTTGTCGGGAGTCCGCAAAATATTGTATTTCTGTTCGTAGGAAAGCCTAGAGGATTGAGGACCGCCCGTAAGCATGTGGACCATCGCCGAGTACAGGTTTGGGCGGACAAGGACTACAAAAAAGCTAACTTGGGCACCCGATGGAAGGCTAATCCGTTCCAAGGCGCTTCTCACGCCAAGGGGATCGTTCTTGAGAAAGTGTAAGTTCTCCCATGTGTGATGAAGCAGTTATTTGATTTTGATCTTGATTGAAATGTGTGGAAATTCCGAATCACGCTCCCATCTTCGTTAGTACAGTATTGATGTCGTCCCTAATCTCACCTCGTACCCGAGGTATGTATAACCAGGTAAGTCATTCAGGTGAATGCTTTCCGTAACGGAATACAACGGGGATGATCTGCAACTTCAAGAAACCCATCCCGATTTAACCTTCCCGACTCAATTCTGGGTTTCCGAACTTGATGTCAGGGATACTGCGTGGGGAGATCTTCGGTTAGGCTTTTATTTCTTGTACTGCGCACATTTTAGACACGATTGGAATCATTGTTCTACTGGGGATCGTATCTGTACTTAATGTATAACTGATTTTCATGAGAACTTAGTCAAGTTTCATCTTTAATGACGTCTTTTTCGTCGTATTTGCAGAGGTGTGGAAGCTAAGCAGCCCAACTCTGCCATCCGTAAGTGCGTCAGAGTGCAGTTGCGAAAGAATGGCAAGAAAATCACCGCCTTCGTCCCGAGAGACGGTTGTCTCAATTACATTGAAGAGAACGATGAAGTTTTGATCGCCGGATTCGGTCGAAAGGGTCACGCCGTCGGTGATATTCCCGGTCAGTCTCCATGGATGTTTTCTGAATTCAGTTTGAAATCCTGGGACTCAATTTCAAATGCTCTTCTATGTGAGCCGCACTGATTGTTTTTCATTTCGAATTATTTTTCCACAGGCGTTCGATTCAAGGTAGTGAAGGTGGCAAACGTTTCGCTCCTGGCTTTGTACAAGGAAAAGAAGGAGCGACCGCGGTCATAATCTTGATGTGGGAATTGTTCGTGATGGAAGTGAATACATCGCTTTCATACTGAAACATTTGCAAATCGTTTCTATTCTGTCGGAAAGCGTGTTTTTCGTGTTGAATTTCCAATCATGGCTTGATATTTAAATTATCAGGATTTGTACGGGTTTCAACTTGCGGTTTCGAGTTTTTTGTGAGGGTCGATCGGATTTCCGGTTCGATTTTTGTTGTGATCATGTCCGGTGTGAAGGTGTTGGGTGACAAGAACCAGGCCGTGACCCCGAAAACTGACATCAAAAGCCACTTGGTGAGTTCCTGTTCGATTCCTCTTGCCTTTGTGAATACTTGACGTTGAAGCGCTCAATTCATTTTTCAGTCGCAACCGAACAAGGAAAACTCGACGAAGCGAAGATTATCTGGAACTACGAAATCTCGTCCTACATCGTTAGTGAAGTGAGTGCTTTGTTGTTAATTCACGAGAGAACCTGGTGAATTGAGAAAGTTAATTTTTCTTTGTGCACAGAGATCATGTGAAGCCCTTTACAATTTTCGAGGAGAACCCGGAAAAAGTGGATTGTGGTGTGCAAACAGTGGAGGAAACTTCGCTTGAGGATGTAGCTGACGTTCCTATTGACGTTGCTTACGTAACTTCGGGTAAGTGCGCGATTCTCACAGTTTTACTTTTAATAACCGAGAATGAAATTACATTAGCTACAAAAATTACGAGTTATTGCTTGCACTGACTATTTTCAAATCGCTTTTGTACTCTTCATTTGCAGAAAATCCTCCCCCCGATTACTGGAAAATCCTGAGCGAAACACGACGTCAGGCGTTGGGAGAGGCTCTGAAAGAAAACGAGGAACTCCACGCTGAGCTTGAGGAGAAGAATGAAGCCATTTCGGAATTGGCCAAAGAAAATGCATGTTTGAAAGCGAAGATGGCTGCTATGGCGGTGGAAATGGCGCAATTGGAAGAAATAGTTCAAGATGCCAAGAAGGTTTCGGAAATGCTGCAGTCGCTGTGTTCGGACGATGCTGAGCAGGAGTGAAATTGAGGTTTCATGGCCCGAGTTGGCGTTGGGATCTCCTAGATTTTATTTAGCTGATACGGGGTTGAACTTCTTATGTACTGTATATGTTTTGTACGACGCTGTGAATACATATTCTTTTTATTCCGTTTTTGTCACAACTTCCGGCCTTTTGATTGCATTTTATGAATTGCAGGATAAATCTTCAATCATACTTTGTCAAAGCAAAACATAAATGATGTTGTATCAAGGCAAATCGTCTAGCTTTGACAAATTGTTGACCACGACCACAAAACGGCGTCATCATTTTGTGATTGAAGACACTTCGTCAGGGCGATGATCAAACTTACTGATGCTGTGATACTCAGCGAACAGAAACGCAACTGTACTATTTAGCGTTTTACTTTTAAAATAAAGAATTTGGAGAGTTATGAGAGATTATAGTACTTCTAGTAGTGAACCTGACGGAATTCACCTGAGATCAGGCACATCTCAGTACTCCATCAAAAATGAATATACTGTAAGTTCAACACAGCATGGATTTATCTTTGACCCGTCGTAGCTGTCAATATGGCGGCTCACATTGTATCCATGACGTCAGCATGAGCCGCCGGTATTCGACTAGCCGAAATCGGTGAATTAAAGATCCTTCTACTGATCATCAAGAAACGATTTACCCGGAGATGATGTGTGTGTCGTAATTGGTGGTAATTGTTCGTTTTAATTGATGTTTTACTGAACTGAAGTGCCTAATCCAGTACTGAGTGAACTCCACAATTCACGCTATTGCCGACTTCTAAAACGCGTTGAGCTGAGGAATCGCGTGATTTGTGTAATCCTGATGAGTTTGGAATCGTCAGTTTTCGTCAGATTATTGTAGTACTCCCGTATCGACAGTTTCATTTCTTTCGGGAGTGGTGTTATTATACCAACATGCTTTCATGTCGCTTCTGTGAGTACACAATTCCAATATCACGACCCTAACTATCGAAAATAACATGTCTTTCAATTCAGTTCCGCTGTTCTTGCTTCTCGCCTTCATCGTTATAACGACCGGAATAAGCCCTTCTTCATATCTATCCGGCGAAGATAAAGCCCGGCTGAAGAAGGTGTTCGATCATGCTTGGGCCCAGAAGGATTTGTCGAATGTTCATTATTCGCTAGCTGGATACAACTTGTTGGGCATCACTGATGTCCCCGATGCACCGGTTAGTTCTAAGAGCTCGTTTTAACTGTTTTTTTGCCGTTTCGAATCGATTCATTGACGTGTTAAGCTGCGATACGAAGATTTCATCTTTCAAATGATCTCATGCGCGTGTCCGATCCACATGCCGAGTCGTTATTTTTTCTTGAGGAAGCTTGAAATATCAGAATCATAAGAATGCAATGTTTGTGGATGTCTCATCAAGGAAATGTTTCTCTTTATGAAGAATACGTGCAAGTTCCTCCAGTCAAACCTTGAAGCGGTCACCGAAGTCGAGGCTATTTTCCACGCCTTTTCCGCCGCTGCGGGATTGAAGAGCTGTCCATTGAAGCTTTCAGCTAATCAGAAACAATTGCTCAGTAACACGTTGCAGTCTGAAGAGACCTCCGTGCACAACATTTTCCAAGCATTCGAGGCCTCGAAGTTGTCAGGCACCCCCGTGGATGAAGCGAAGTTGATCAAATCTCTGACATCCGCACTGAAGAAGGATGACAATCTCCTGAAGTGAGTCGGTAGTCTCGAGTAACAAGAATGTCACTCAATTATTCGTTCCGATAGTTTGGGACTGAGTTTCCATGTAGCAGCAAAATTGGAATCGGATCCGAAGCAGTTCTTTGAAAGGATTGAAGACGCGATTGTTCAAGCTGATGAAGTCGACGGGAAATTTCTGCAATTCGAGGGTGGTCTCAGTATCACTGGTAAGTGGAAATTATGCGCCTATCTATGTAAGTTTTGAACTCATGGGAAATCCATTTATTTTACAGGAATGATCATTAGTGGAGCTTATAATTTGGCTGCAAAAATGAAGACCCCGCCTGCTATCACTCCGGACCAAGCTGTGAAGTTCGCCAACTATTTCCTCAGTCGCAAATCAGTCCAAACTGCCAAAGGAGCATTCTATCTTCTTGACGCCATGAAAGTCTTGACCGTGAATAATGTGAGTGTCCAGTTTTATGTTGAATATTTGCTGGCGTAGGTGTTCATCTACCCGAAAATTTACATGATCCGTTACTTTTCGGTAATTTCGGACTGCTTTCTAATTTATTTCCTCGGAAGACCTGATTTCTGATGATCGGATTGTCACTGAGATTCTTCTGATTTTTGAAAATTCGTGATTGGATTTGGTGTGTTCTGGAACGTAAAATTGATAAATTCGGAATTGTTAAGTGTGAAGGGATTCCGCAGTAACCAAGTGAAAGTATTTAAACGCTATTTTTTGGCATTTTGAAATCATCCTGACGACTCATGCTTAGATCTTCCTGAATTTCTCTCATCTTGAAGGCAAGATACTAATGCTTTTATTTTCTCTTTTTTCGTGATTTTTGAAATTTTTAGTTTCAGTTCAAAACGTTTTAAAATTTGCGCATATGCTGGACCAAGAAATTACTCACGTTGGATAATTTCGTAGTCTGGGTGATGTTCTATCCCCTAGAAATTTTCAAGATGCAAATTTTTTGTTGTATTTGGACTCACTGTTCTGGTTACTTCAGTTCCATGTTCCTGTGTCTGTGACATTGGCAAGTTCATTGTCAATCAGAGATGACACCCCATGGCTTCGAATTCGGGTCACCAATTTGCTCGGTGAAGCCCTAGGACCGATGAAAGTAGTCGCTGAATCAACGAAACGTCTTCAGGACAATGCTGTTGTCATGTCTCAGACTCCCTTCGCTACAGTACAGGGTGATCAGTATGTACAATATTGTCTCACATTTTTTTCATACGAACAATTGATGCAAGAAAAATCTTCATCTCAGGACCTTGTATGAGTTGAACATGATGAAGACGAGCATGACACGTGGATTTTACCAGCTGAGTGTCAAAGTGGATCCGGAAAAGGATGGAGAGAAGTTTGTAGGCAACTCGGGTGCTATCATCACTGTGAAAGTTATGAGTGAAATGACACTGGATCCACTCGAGTTGTGGGTCACCGACGCCGATGGTTCAGTTGCATCTAATGTTCTCAAGTGAGTTTTTTTTTTATTTTCCCCCTTTATGTAAATTAAGCGGTCGTTCATGAATCAATTTGAAGCCAGGCTCAAAACACAGTAAAAGTCTCACAGCAAGTAATCAGCAAAGAAATTCGACTTGTGGAGGATTTTGAGTTGAAGAAACGGCTATTAGTAGAGAGCGGATATTAGTAGAAAGAATTGCAGAAAAGTAAAATTCGTGACCGTTTGGGCCTTGAACTTGGAGGTGAGGTTGAACTTGCCCAATTAGCCACGCACTTCCTTCTCAGCAGCATTAAATCACATTTTTATTTTGTTTGTCGTTCCTGAGTAGTCGAAATAATACCACAAAGACCTCCAGAAATTTGAATAATGCAGGTTTGAGAAGGAGAGGCTTTTCAAATTTGTATTTCAAGGGGAATTAGACAGGGTCTAGAAGAAATTACGGAGCCGAATTCGAGTCATTGATGGCCAGCTTTTTGTCACGTTTTGAAGTCCAGAATGGCTCTTTTTACGTCACTTTCCAGCAGGGGTCGCCCGAAATCAGCGAACCCTTGAATATGTTTTTCGAGGAACCAAAGCTGACTTGTAGTAACTCAATTTAAAAAATATATTTTGTTCTGTAATGGGAATTTCGTAGTGTATCTTGAAATTCGACAGGATTCGAGTGACATCTATGCAGCTTTCAAAGAACCTCAGAGTCAGGGGGGGGGGCGTTCAAGTGAAGAGAAACCGACGTGTCGCTACGAAATTTTATGAAGAAAAATTGAATATTCTTTGAAAACCATGTGTTCTACTGTCAATTTAATGCTTGAATCTTTCTCTCTCTGTGTTTCCTTCCTTCAAGGGCTACGTATCCGAATAAGGTTGGATCCGTCCTCGAAGCTGATGATCACCAGAAAGTGATGGCAAAGTTCGTTGTCAAGGACAAGCGTGGAGGTGCGCCTTTAGTCGCTCATCAAGCATTTGTTCGACTGAATAGAGTTGGAACCTCCGAAGAAGTCATCTTTGTCGCTGAACCGGATTCTTCGTCAAAATCGTACAAATTTGATCTGGTTCGTTAATCTCAAGTTACGAGTAATCAAACATTAAAATTGTATAATTACTGTTCGTCTCTGAATCAAGGATGTTGGAGCAAAGGAGAAGACTTTTGGACGACAATCGGGATTATACACGATGCATTTGATCATCGGCGACGCGACTATTTCGAATCCGATCGAATGGGAATTGGGTAATGTCAACTTGGAATTCCGGTCTGGGTCTGGTGATCAGGTGAAGAAGTCTAAGTTTGACGAATACAAGTCGAAGCCGGAAATCAAAGTACGTGTCTCTTGATATTTTGCGATACGCTGGAATTCTGATGAGAGAATTTTTTTTTTTTTTTTGCGTGCTTTAGCACATGTTCCGTGAGCCGGAGAAACGTCCCTCCGATGTCGTCGCCAACGCGTTTTCATTGTTGGTTTTGGTTCCCTTGGTTCTATTGTTGGCATTGGTGAGTAGGAATTCTTTTGGACTACGATTTTGATCAGTTACAGAGAATAGGTCTTCAAATTGTTTCGAAACTGAGATGGTGTAAAATGGGAAATTTCTTGAATTTTCCAGTTTATTCGAAATTATGTCATCTCTGCTCTTCTGGAAATTTATCCGCGTACAATTTTTCATGGGAATTCGTTCTTCACTAATTTGCAAAGCGATAGGTGTGATGATATCCTTATTTTCCCCCCACTTTATTTCGACGCAATTTCACAACTTCCCGAAACGTTCACGATATTAAATCGTCGTGTTTGTATTCAGAAATTTTATCTGGGTTTATTCGTTTTCAGTGGATGAAATTGGGAGTGAATTTGTCCAATTTCCCTCTGAGTCTCGGCGCCGTCGGCTTTCACATCGGTCTCGGCTGCATCTTCGGACTCTACTACGTGTTCTGGGTGCAACTGGACATGTTCACAACGATCAAGTACCTGTTTGGTCTGGCCATTGTCACGTTCTTGTGCGGGAATTCGGTCCTGGCCAAGGTTGCCGACGAGAGGAAGAAGTGAGTTGAAAGTCTCAACACCTTTTTGAATGCTAAGATTTTTAATTTTTGAGAGTCACTTTGTTGAAAATGAATGTTTTTTGTTTTTCTTTTGCGAAAAATGAAAAGAGGGAATTTTGCCTTCTTTGCGGAACCTAAGGTGGTCACGCCGAAGAAAAGCGTCAGAGGAAGCATGCGTCATTGATTTATGGCTGCTGATGTTGTAATTAAATCTTTTCAGTCCGGTTTTGTGCTTTCCTTTTGCCGTAATATCAATTTTGTTTTTTAATCTGGGAGTATTTTTGGGTATGGAATTTATGTCTTTGCTTTCATCCGGTTCATATTCCACTCTTCAGTTGGAATCTCGTATGAAAAAATGGAAGAGTTTCTCATGTAGGTGTGTCGAGATTTTGAAAAAAAAAATGCGCTGTCTAAAATGTATTTCTTAGTACTTAATTTAGTTGTTGCGATTGTTGCTTTTTTTGCGAAGTAACTTCTAGTGGCAGTTCTGTATTGCGTAGAGAATACCCTGAAGAAATTGAAATTAAACGAAAGTGTGAAGCCTCATCGAACCGGATGGAAGGAAAATAACTGATGGTGTTTCTAATTAATATAATTTTGTCAGGGGTTTGTGCACATTTTCTTGCAATTGTCGCACCGGCGTGTGACTTTTCTGTTGTGATTTCGCCTCACTGATATTTTGTGTTGGTCGCACTCTAATTTTGTGTTTTAGCACTGGTATTTTATTTTAATTTATTATTACAGGGCTGGAGCAGCAGTGGATCCCGTTGCCTCGAAGCCAGGCAAAGTGGGGCATTAAGGCGACCGTCGTTGTTTTCTCCATTATTTGTTGCGCTTTGTTTCTTTCATCTCGTGTTTTCTGGTTTGTTTTCCTTCGTGGGGAAGTTGACCGTGTGAGTGCGCGTGTTGTGAGCCATTGTTTTTTTTTTTTCATAGGTCATAGTTTTCTTCCTGTGATATTTATGTTGAGATTGGGGAGTCGCTGTTGCTGCGAGACGGTGTTGTTTTTTTTTTCTCGGTCTATTTCATGCTTTGCACTCGTGTAAAAGAACCAGTGTGTTTTTTTTTTTCTGGGTTCTGCTGCAGATAATTGAAAGATTCATTCCTTGTGAGGGGTGAGTTGAATAACAGAGTTTATTCGAGGATGCGATCCTCGCACACACATTTTTTTCCGAATTTGTGTTGTTGATTTACTTTCGATCATGGCTTTTTTTACGTCTTTATGTATATATATTTCTGATGAATTTTTCAAGGAATTTTTTAGACGCGATGTACCGCTTGTGTGTGAGTGGTTTGCTTTTCTTCTTGGTGGTCTGCTCTGCTGAGACGAAGCTCGAGGATATTTCCGACGAGAACCTGCACAAGAGCTTGGAAACTGAGCCCTTTGTCATTGTTTTGTTCCGTGAGTTCAATTTGTATTCATTTGAGTATTACCGTATTAATTATTTTCCCAGTCTATCTTGTGGAAAACCCTTTTTTTTCGCCGAAGCATAAAATAAAAGTTTCCGAAAGAAAATTAAAGTACTCACTTTTTTCTTGGACGGAACTTGGAAAGAGATTCAACAGCTATTGTACTTGAAAGAAGATATTTAATGAACATTCCTTGGGATTACCGTATTATCTAAAGACTTTTTTTCATGCTGCGTAGTACTATTTTGAACGAATGGCAATTTTAATGTTTTGTTGTGATTTCATCATGTGATTGATCTGAAAGTCTGTTAGAATTTCGGGTATGATTTTTCGAAGTTGATTTGATCGAAGATTTAATTTTACGTTCACAAAAATTTGTCGTCGCGGAGGAAATTTCTGAACGCCTCGTGATTAATTTTTGTTGTTGTGGGTGACGTGAATGTTTAAATATTTATGTGATTGATGTGAGTTACTATAAATTTCGTTATTTATTTTTTATTCATGCTCTAGTGGACTCGAAGACTTGCGATGAACAGTGCGAGATGGCGGAGAAAGTGTTGGTGAAGATTCGGGAAGACCTCGTGGACGCCCTGTCGGTGTGGGTGACGAAGACCTGGGACTCTCCGCACTTGGCAGAGTTCGGCGTGGATTCCACACCCGCAGTTGTGTTCTTTCGTAGGAAAAATCCAATGGTTTATGACGGTAAGCTGAGAATAAATTCGAAAACCCCGCGGGTATCGCGAAGTTGTAATGCGGGAATATGAAGGCAATTACTGTACTCTCATAAAATTGCACCGAGGCCATGTAGAATTTGAAGAAATATTTTATACCGGATGATCAAAGTAAAATTTGACATGATTTTACTTGGCTCGTTGTAATTACAGGTGCTTTCGATGAGGATGAAATGTACGAATTCTTCACTGCGAACCGGGAGCCGACTTATCTTCGATCGTTGAATGATGATACTTTCGAGCACTTGACGCAGGCTTCGAGCGGGGCGACCACTGGAGACTGGCTTGTGATGTTGTGAGTGACCCCCGTTTTTTCTTTGCACGGATCAAGTGCGAAATGATGTCTCTCGTGCAATTATTGTGTAATATCTGCAAGTAATTTTGAACTTTGATGAAGTTGCCTTCGTCTCTTGCGTCAACGGCGAATTATAAATCCTACTTTCGTTCATGTTTCAGAATTTTAGCACGTGGCATTTAGTATAACCTCCAAAAATATTCCATTTCATAGAATTGAGAAAATATTGTCTATATTTTTCATAATTTTCAGTCTTATGTAAGATCTAATTTTCGCAAAGGGTAGTTAGTTTTTTTAGGAGGCAAAAAACTTTTTGCATGAATTAACCTGTCATTACGTTGATTTTTTAATGTAGATATTCTTATCTGCTGCATCTTTGACTAAATTTCTGAGAGTCTGACTTTTTTATTTGACCTAAGAAAATGAATTTTTTATAGGATATTCGAGGAAATGTCGTGAAGTACTGTTTTCTGTGTCGTGCTACGAATTCTGGAGTTTGTAACCTTACTTCTTCTGAAAAGAAATTTACGACTCAAGTTTTCAGGCGATTTCGATTTTGAACTCTAATCTCACTATTGGTTAATTTTCGCTGCCGAAAAGTTACTTATTCGTGTAGAATTCTTGATATTTTGCGTGTACTTTTGCGCAGAAAAACATGGTTTTTCGTTTTATCCATTTGTCTTTTTTTTTTTCGACAGTCACACGGAGCAATGTGAGGCATGTCCTGGAGTCAGAGCCAAACTCGAAACAGTTGGTGCGAGGGTAAAGGACAGAATGACTGTCGCTCTTGTGAACAGAGACAAGGATGGAGCTGTTACTGGGCGCCGGTTCAAAGCATATGCTGACCCCACTTTGATATTGTGAGTTTCTGCTTTTCAAATAATGTGCATTACTGTAGCACGGAAGTACTGTAGTTTCTTCACTGTGCAATACAATGCAGTACTGTACAATAAAATGCAGCCAAATACAATAAAGTACAATGCAGTACAGTAAAAATACAATACAATGCAGCACAATAAAATACAATACCATACAATTCAGTAAAATAAAATACAATACAGTACAATAAAATACAATACAGTACAATAAAATACAATAGTTCAATAAAATATAATAGTTCAATAAAATACAATATAGTACAATAAAATACAATATAGTGCAATAAAATACAATACAATACAATACAGTACAAAACAGTACCGGTGATCCCCGAGATGCGGACGTGATTGATGCTCAGACGTTGTCCTTGTGTTTGAATGTCCGCATGTCGGATCACGTTTTCCCGTAGACTTCAATAGTAACATATTCAATTGGTTCTCCCGTTTTGGCAATGAAGGATTTCTCGCAGCAATATTTTCGCGATCTTGTTGCTTATTCTTCCTTTCTCTCCTTGTAATTGGAAGTCTTATCGGTTGCTTTCCTTGTTTTATAATCGAATTTAACCAAGTGATTCCGTTTTATTTTCGTCAGGTTCCACTTGGGTGCCATGCACCAGTACACGTTACCTACCAAAGATGTGAAGTCGTTGTTGAAGTTTGCCCAACGGGGTTTCGATTTTGTTGCTGGCGAACCCGTGCCTGCCCCTCAATCCGCTGTGTGAGTTGTAATTTATTTTTATTTGGGCATCAAAATCCATCGCTGTTTATTCACGGGTTATTAATCACAGGTGTAAACTTGAATATTTTGAGTTCTGGTTTGAGTATCGTTCAATTTTTGAATATTTTTTCAAACGATGTCACGAAAACTACTGAAGAAAACTCTATACCTAAATTTACGCAAAATCAATTTGGTATTTTTCATATTTCTTATCATGGTTGCCCTTTTTAAAAAGCTACAGAACTAAAGATGAAAGTTGATTTTTGAACGTTTTCTGATCGTAACGTTTGCTGTTACGATTTAGAATTTCCTAAGGGAACTCGGGGGGGGGGGGGAGAATTTTTACGGCACACCAGCTTTAATCAGAAAAGCCCAGTCCCTCTTGTGGGTATATTTTATTCGCAGGTACAGTTCTTGTTCATCCGAAATCTTTCTCGATCGTTCGCAAGAAAAATGAAACTGGTTTTTTCCGAAAGACGAGATTCTGGTTTTCGAGGATTCGCAGATTTCCTCATATTCGAAAAGTTGTTCGGTGCGAAACGTGATTCTGCCCATTTGGCGCTGATAGTTACAAACTTTTCAACTAGATGGGGCTCTCAACCCCAACCATTCAATTTGGTTAAATTGAATGCCAAGTGCTGGAAATATGTACCGTAGAGTACTTGAAAAGTATTTCTAGCTTTAAATTGCATTTTTAGCTTATTATGGCCATTTTATGTCTAAAGAAAAAAATAAGTAACGAATTTTTGATTAATTTGTTCTGTTTGTCGGAATTGAAAATCGAATGGATTTGGTCAAATGGGAGAGAATTCGTTCAGATCTGAGGTAGTTCAAAAGAAATTCCATGAAAATATGTCTTCATGTGAATTTCTTCCATTTCTTTGGTCGAGCGTTTCTTAAATTATACAATGCATGGTCTTTTGTATTGACATCTTCTGTGTTTCATTTGCAGCGATGACACGATGGAGGCAGTGACTTATTTCTGTCGTGAAAATTGGATCTTGTTAACCGCACTCGTTGCGTCGCTGATTGTGCTGATTTGTGCGCTTAATTACCGAGCGATTGCGGCGTCATCTGGCGCGAAAAAGAAGAAGAAATCCAGCACCACCAAAAAGAAGAAGTGATTCTCTTTTGTTGTTGTTTTTTTTATGGAGCCATGGTATACCTGTTGCATGCTTAAGTACTGTTATTTATTGAGACCGAGTCTCCGGTGATAAGAGTGTTTTTTGGGAAGACGGAAAGAAAGGAAAAACTCGATTTTTTTCGTGGGAGAAGGAAGAGTGAATTTCGTGTTCTGGATTCCACGTGACGGGGTTGTTTTCGGGGGTATTTCTTTTTCTGAGGTGAATTTTTGACTCTGAAATTTGCAAGTTTCGTCCAACTTGGAATCTCCATTGTTGGGTTTTGGTGGTTGGGTATAAAAGTCAGTCGGTTGGGTATCTTTGAAAAAGACACACGAAAAAGAGAAACAGGCTCCTTTGGGAAGACTGGAATTGGATGCATTTGAGGTTTATGGAACGGGTTGGGAGGGAGCCGTGGTCCTCCTATTCCCTCAAGTGCAGTTACAGTATGATGCTGCATTTGCTCAGTTTGTACTGAATTCTTTATGGGGAAGCACAATACATGCCCTGCTGGTGTGGCTCTTTCTTTCTCTGGTGACAATTGAATTTTAGTTTAAAAGAGTAGAAACTGTAAGCAAAATGTATCTTGGAACTCAAATGGACCCAAAAAATTCAACTTCATGAGTTCTGAGTTTGGGAGGTCAGCATTTTTGCTAAGAGTGAAAAATAATTGCAGGATGGGCAAATTAATGATTTTATGGGCCTTGAAATGCTGGATGATTGAATTTTTGGGGTGCTCAACTTCATTCGCACATGGTTCCTTCTTCTTCTTGAAAAACATTGTTGGATTCTCATTTCTCTTCTTTTAGAGTATAGTAATACCAATTTGTTCTGAGTCCTCAAATTCATACCTAGCAGAGGACACTCAATATTTTATTAAAAAGGGTGTGAAGAGAATTCAGGCAGGGTGCACAAATAATTTGAATACAGGGTAGATTTTCACTTTCCCATGTCCAACTTGAAAGAAGAGTAATGCTGTTGATAGGCAATTCTCTATCTCTCCCTCTTTCTTCCTACAATTATTTTATCTTTATAATGATTCTTTTGGTCCCATGAAGGTCTCCATGTTAATCCCTTGGAAGTTCTCTGCCACACTTTTTTCTGGTCCAGCTTATGAATTTTATGCCCTTCTTCTGGGATGTGTACAGTGAACCCATTAGAACAAAAACAAATTATTAAATAAATACTGTAGAGAGAGTATGTCTCACTACAGCATTATTAGTAGCAGTAGATAGTATAATTTTTTACATTTGGATTTTACAAAGTCAAAATCCCCTTCTCTCTACAAGTTTTCTTCTACATATAGTGTCCTCTCTTCAACAAATTTTCTTCTGCAGGGGTGTATTAACTTTTGTTGAACAGAGATTCCATCTGTATCATGTTGATTTTTTGTCATGCAATTTTGAAACGGAATTGAACAGAGTTCTAAAAAAATATAAAGTGATAGGGAGGATGTCTCCTGATTCAAAATATGCTTCATTGGGTTTATGCAAGCGCATATTTGTGGCATTTAGGTGTAGTGAGTTTAAAACATAGGTAAGAAGTTTGCCTGAATTTCAAAATTTATTTTCGGAGGCGTAATATGTAATATGTGGAAAGCAAATTCTGATAAATACACAGTCAAATACAGCTTTTCTTATTTTACTTAAAAGCATTTCTCCAACTCCATAAGGCATTATCCCTAATATAACTATAGTCATGATCATCATTTCTTTGAGCTTGGTTGGAACTGACGTGGTGAGCTTTTATCAGCACAGATCAACTTATGTTGACATATTCGGAACTTCTGCCACATGTACTGTGAATGGTTATTGGAGGTAATAATCTAATGGAGATATGTGAACAATAGTGCAGAAAACGTATGTATGTTAAGTACTTATGATGTGCATATGTTATGGCTCACCAGTGCACCTAATGTAGATATATGATACAGTATTTTGTAATTTACAAAAATTGTTGGAGTGGTATACAAAATACTGTAGGCCACAGAGGTTTGTAGTATGGGTAATAGTGACATCTATGAAAGAGGTTTATCAATACTGTCACATGATCTTCACGTGCATCTCTTATCAGCATGCATAAATCGGCGGTTAGTTAATCCCTTTCTACGCTGCGTTTATTTTCCGTTTCTCCGGGATGAATTAGGAATAATCTTGGGTATTGGATTTGTCGTCGGAAAGTTCTATCCCCAATGTTCTGATTTGTTTGTATGAACATTTTACGTGTTTTGTCGATAGTATTAATCGTCTCCGGGTTTCTTCTCGTATACATTCGTGTGAATCAGATTGCAGTGGCTTAGTTACTTGATGAAATCCAGTGCTGTAATGTCTTTCAAGTGACTGTTTCGGAGTGAAGTGAAGGCCCTTGGCTCAGCTGAGGCGACCCATCTAACCACATGATGAGCATGGCCGGGTTTCGTTATGCGGGAGACTCATGTGACTTGTCCCTTGTGAGAGGTCTTTCTAGTGTCGCAAGACCCATGCAAATCGCGTCCCTTTTCGGTCTTCCCCGAGTGAGACGTGAATTTTGAATTCTTTAGCGATCTGGTCAGACGTTCGAACCGCTCTCCCGCGACGATGTGTTTCGTGGCTTTTCCGTGAAGTGTCCCGGAATTTTCGGTTCTATGAAATTGTTACTTAAGAGGTTTCCTGAAATTTTATAAGAAGTGCATCCTTTTCCTTGGTTCGAAGCGTAGTGCCAAATTTTTCATCGACATTGAAGTACGAAACAAACCTCGAAGCTTAATTCTAGACGGATTGCGGACTGTTCTGCCGAAATCTCGCTGATAATTGTGCGTATTGTTCCAGCCGGAGTTCATCTCACACAATCCTTTTTTCCTATATTCGGAGAATCCGTCTAGGATTTTAGTGTGAGCTTTAGACATAATTAATCTTAGAAGCGACGCTGCAATTCTGTTTTTACAGTGTATAAGTACATTGCAATTTCAGTGTCCAACGAAAAATTTGAATCACCAGATTTGGAAGAACATCGAAGAATTTACTAAATCTCATGATGCATGCCTTTAATCAGTATATTTCTTCTCTATCTTCAGAAATTGTGAACCATGGCGAGTATGCACGCGAAATTCGTCGCACTTGTTCTTCTTTCAATCTTTCTGGATAGTTCGCTGTCTGGGAGTCCTGAACCTGTCCCTTTGCTGATGTGGAAATCAGGGTAACGAAAATTCATTTGTTCGTTTTAAAATTCATTTTGAGACTTTGAATGACTGAATTTCAGTGGATCGGTGTTGCCTTCTATCTCTCCATCGTCTTGCAAACCCACGGCGAAAGATTTCCGCAATCAAGTCCTAGAGAAGATGGACGGTGTTTCCAACGTTCTTCTTTTTCTCCAAGAATCCGTAAATACTCTGGTTATGAAATTCTTGTCTTTTCATTCCATTGATTAAAATATTTCTTCAGTTAAGCGTCGAGGATTTCTCGAGGTACGGCAAAGGTGGATACGAGTACTTGTCATCCATTTTTGAGAAATCCGCGGATGGTCGCCAAGTGTTCTTCCCGAAAGTACCAGAAGCATCAGATGCTTGCGAAGAAGTGTTGGGAAGGAACAGGAGATCCGTTGAAGTCAATGAAGTTGCGGATCCGTCTCGGTTGAAGACATTGTTGAAGAGTTCTCCGCGGAATCTCATCATTATCCGACTCGCAGTTGATCAAGGTTCTCGTTTGGATAACGTCATCGACAAGGGTAAGCTTCCAGATCTATTCAAGTATTTTCAAGTCTGTAGACAATGGAATATTTTTTTCAAGATTCCGAAGTGAAGAAGTTTGTGGCTGCTGCTGAATCCGTTTCCGACGATGTCTTGACGATTTTCACTGGCGAAAAGCCTGCTCCGGTGAGTGATCTTTTCGTGTACAGTACTGTACTTTCAACAACAAAAATTACCTTAATTGTCAGAAAGCGGTATATTTTCCATCTGAATTTTCCTCCCCTCATCAAGCTGATGGATGTGAAGCGGCTGAAGCGAGAAGCAAAGGAGATCCTCATGGACGGCAAGTGCATCGATATCTCCACGAAGGCCATTAAAATCAAGGAAGGTCCTCGATCGGAGAACTTCCTTGCCGTGCAGCCACAAGAAGCTGATCCTACAGAAGAGTCTTGCGACAAAAAGGACTCCCGTTCTGTGTTGTACGATTTGACGACGAGTGATGGTGACGTGACCAACGTGAAGCTTCAGTGAGCGTGAAGTTTTCTTCTTTTTTTTAAATCTGGATGTGTTGCATTAATTTTGTGTATTATAGATTCAATTTCAAAGTGAATGGAGAGCAGTGGGAACTTTCGAAACTTCTCGCCGACACTGGGAAGGGCGAGGAGAAGGAATTGACTAGTGCGCAGAAAATAAAGCAGAAGATCGGCCAGAAATTCGCGGCCTTGAACGAGATCGAGTTTGTTTCTGCTGACAAGAAGCTCTCTGTGACTTTCGACACCATCAATGTGAGTTCAAAATTAACCTCGATTACCTCCCACGTCGACCTTTTTCCAAATCCCTGCTTGAAAATCCTTTTAAGCAATGCATTCGAAGCAAACGCAAAGGCTTTCCTCGTCACAATACCGATAACTCGAATTTTTCAAAGGTCTTCTGGCTATTACTGTATTTGATTGACACAAGAAGAAGAGAAAAAGCATAAAAATGTTAGGATGTGTTTTCAGAGGAAGTGAAAGACTAATTGGGGAATTGAACCCTTGCATCTGAGCATCCGCTCAACTCATTTAAGAAGCAATTTAAGGCCTAGACCCTAGAATATTAATAATCAAAATTTCGTGTAATTCCTCTTTCCTCCCAACACAAATACTTGTTTCGTTGGCTTGAATATTTTGCTGGTCCCGTGAACTTCGACTCGAAAAGGGTCGATTGTACTTTTTTTTCAAGTGAATGTAACTTATTCTCGTGGTGAATTCGATGTCGCTTTCAGGTGAATCCGTTCGCCACGGAGGCGGTGGTGCAAAAGACGAAAGTGAGGGCGGCCGAGCCACCGACCGGCGGTGCTTACTTCTCCATCCCGATCCTGTCTGCTTTGTCGATCGGCATCATGTACATCTTGATCATGATCTGGGCTCTCGACGGCATCACGAGCATCAAAACCATGGACCAATTCGACGATCCTCGTGGAAAATCCATCACCGTGCCTCAGTCTGACTGAAAGAAACCCTTCCTCGGAAACTCCTTCTTTGCTTGCGGGAAGAAAATGTCTTACTTGTCCGACATTCCTAATTTCCAGCCCATTATCCTACTGCTTAACATACTGTTTTTGTTGTAGAAATTTTTTTTTTGTGTGTAACGTCGGAGTGGGTTTCCATTTAAATTTTTAGCTCAAGCTCGGCAGAAAATTGAATAAGTTATTGAACATTTTGTATAAGCGGTGTGGGTGAGATGAAGGATGGATTCTGTGCAATGAGAACCGAGTTTCTCCCCCCCCCCCCCCCCCCCCCCCCCCCTACGATAAATATTTTAAAAATCATTTAATTCTTGAAGTGAAATGTAACACCAACACTCTGCCAAATAAAATTGAACCGGTCTTCGTCAACAAGTCCCTGCCAGCATTCATTCCATAAAATTGCATATTGAGGTGCGAGGTGAGGAGAGCATTGTTTGTGTTTTTTTTCATGCAATTGAGGAACTAGTCAAGTTATGGAGCTGGAGAGTAAAAATTGTCAAATAATTGTGCATTGTGACTTGTCTTTTCGTTGAGGATGTTGTGATTTTGTTGTTTGTACTGATTCAAGATCTGCGTGTTGTCCCACAGGTTGGAAATTTTGTGTGTGGGTTCTTTATACTGTTCTCAACATGTCTGGGAAGGACAAGATCAACGTTTTTCCCTCAAGAGGGTGAGTAGTCTTGAATATTGATGTAGTTCAGAAAATTGTTCAATGTTCACGCAAAAGAACTTGAAAAGCAAATGCTGGATACAAGCTGGAATTTTTAAATAATATGCCAGTAATTGCTCGTAATAGTTTATTGGTAAGGTAAAAATTATAAATTTTCTCTTAGTGGTTTCAGATGTTGGCCCCATTGGAATTTGTGTTATAATTTTAAGGAGTAAGAATGATACAATTGACTTTAATATAGACTTACACTAATCCAGCAATATTCTGGTGTTTTTATCCAAAGCTACTAAAAAAGGAAATAATTACCATACTCTATTTCTTCAAGTACCATTCATCCTTGATGGAGAAATGTTCCTTAATTTTTGAGCTATAAAATTAAGTTAGTACTTATCCTTGTGTAAGATACACAACCCAGTTTTCACTGAGAAATGTTTTGAATTCAGCAATTTACTTGTATGCTCAAGTAAAAAGGAGAATTGCATTAAGTTCTCATGTTTTTATTTATCTGTGATCCAAAGGTAGCGAATATATTAAAAAATTATATTAACATTTTATCGAAGTAATGCATTGATATTATAATTTTAAATACATTATTATTTATGTGATCCAAGGATATTGAACACCAGAATGTTGGAAAACGTCAAGTATGATGTGCAATAAACTTTTTTCTTCATTAAATACTTGGGTAAACATGGTGCAATGTTGAAATGAAATTTTTTGTTGCATAAGCATGTGTGAATATGCAAAACTAAACATTCCAGTTGTTTCTGATTTGAAAATGGATTTTTATTTTGTGCTTTCAAAATTTTTTGTGGTTCATTTTGTTCAGAGTACACATTACAACTTTAAATTTGAGATGAAATGCTGATTTTAAAAAGTTAACTTAGTTAAGTTAGTTTAAAAGTGTGAACGTTTCTTTACAGAAACAAAATGTAGAATTTTGTGTTGAACCTGCGTGTGATTATATTTTCTTTAAAAATGTAATCTTTTATTGTACAGGGCGCAGTCAATGATGAAGACCAGGCTGAAGGGAGCGCAAAAGGGCCACAGCTTGCTGAAGAAGAAGGCTGATGCGTTGCAGATGCGGTTCCGTTTGATCCTGAAGAAGATCATTGAAACCAAGGTGCTGATGGGCGAAGTCATGAAGGAGGCCTCGTTCTCGCTGGCTGAGGCCAAATTTGCCACTGGCGATTTCAACCAAAGCGTTTTGCAAAATGTGACGAAAGCGCAAATCAAAGTCCGGTCCCGGAAGGACAACGTCGCTGGTGAGTCCGTCTTCATTATTCTTTGCAAAAAATTTTAACTTAATTTTAATTTTAACTCAAGTGCCCCATCCCCAAAAAATTCAGGTGCACGTGATATAAACTCTTTTCTTGAAAATTTTCCAATATTCTTGAACTTATTATCCTCTTGATAAATTGAAAAATTATTATCAATTATTAAATTAGTCGGAGTATCCTTTTATTTGAGCATGAAGTGATAAGTGTTGTAATTATTTATTATTTTATTTTTTGTTGTCATAGCTGTTCCCCGAGAAGTGAGGTGTTCTTTTACAATAATAAGTTTTCAAATGATTTTGAAGCTCAAAAGTGTAGCTGATCTTATGGAAAAAGCTTATGATGCAGTACATAGTGGAAAAATTTATTTTGATAAAACATAGGGTTTTTATAAATTATGCCCTTCACTTTCTTTGATTGCATATTTTTGAAGAAATCTTTATTTTGTCAACTCTTCGCTGTGGGCTGTAAGAACTCTTCTAAGTCAGGCAGTGCATTTTTAAAAATTGGAGATTTATCAGGAAATAACCATGAAAAATTAATTCTGAATGTATAAAGGCTGTTCTGCAAATTTGAACAAGTTTTCTCAATTAAAATTAATGCTTCATCAAAGTTAATGTGAGGCTGTCATGTTCTTGCTTGGAGTAGAGTCAGTTAAATTTGAATTTCTTTTTTTAATACAGCATGGTGTGGTACCAGTGAGCCAAACAAATAGTGCCGGATGTTGGACGCCATTTCATGGCTGATTTTGTGCCAAATTGTGCCAGACAATTGGGTCCCCCATCTTTTCAAATACACCATGCGAGGGCAATACTGGAGATCATTAATTTATTTAGCAATATTACTGCTCCAAGCATGTGGGGAAATAATGGAGTAAATCATGCTTAGTTCAACAATAATGAATTTATTTCGAAGGAACAGAAAGATATGATCCATTGGGACATCTTCAGTATTGCCCTTTAATTTGATGAAGGAGGCTGGTGGACCCAGGTCTGGCACAATTTGGTACGGTCCGACATTCGGCTCTATTTGTTTGGCTCACTGGAAGGAAGAAGACGGATGTGCTTACTAAAATGTTATTTCATGCTTCACATAATATTTACTGACTCTTTTTGCGAATTATTTTACTCAGGCGTGAATTTACCAGTATTCGAGAGCTACCAAGATGGCTCAGATACTTATGAGTTGGCTGGATTGGCGAGAGGAGGCCAGCAGTTGGCAAAGCTGAAGAAGAATTTTCAGAAGGCCATCACGTTGTTGGTCGAGCTCGCCTCTCTTCAAACCTCCTTTGTCACCCTTGATGAAGCGATCAAAATCACCAACCGACGTGTGAACGCCATTGAACATGGTGAATGATGCATTTTTTCTTAGCGTCTGACATTTATAAATATTACAACTTCGAAAATGTTCGAGTTGAATTGCTTTTACCTTTTCCCGAGTTTTTTTGTTGTTGCTGGTCAATTAAGTTATTTTGTAACTTCGTTCAGAAATTCTGTAAGTACTTGATCTCAGTAAAATGAATTTCGAAGTACTAAATTCCTCCAAGCCTGAAATATTTACTGAAACGTTTTTTTTTTCATTTACAGTGATCATCCCCAAGATTGAACGCACCTTGGCTTACATTGTCTCTGAGCTGGACGAGTTGGAGCGAGAAGAGTTCTACCGACTCAAGAAGATCCAGGACAAGAAGAAGCGGTTGAGGAAGATCAAAGAAGCTGCCGAAGCTGCCTTGAAAGCCAAGGGCATCGCCGTGGAAAGTCAGCCAGCCAGCATCCTGGAAGAAAGCCACGACGAAGACCTTCTGTTCTAAACAAAAAGCAGCTTTTACGGTGTGTTTTTTTTCTTCGCGTAGGTTTTTTTGGTTTCTCAGAGTGAGGTCAATTTGCGTGCGTGTCTACGGTTGACCTCGCTTAGTGATACAAATGGGGCGGAGAGAGAGGAAATTATGTATGGGAGAAAATGAAAATTGCATTCCTTCTTATGCACCCCAGGATGTTCGGAATTATCGTTAATCTCTCAACCGAGTGCGTATCTTACATTTGGAGCCATTGTAAAAGAGAGAGACCTTTTTCTTCTGGAAGTCACCTGACTTACGGTCATGTGAGCTTCAAGGTTTCGCAATTGATAGCCCGGGCTGACGTGCATTATGGATGAGGGAGATTCTTTTTTGTTATTGTGATTTAATCAGGTGCATGTTTTACCCCAGGAAGAATCTGCATCCGGACTGTTATCAATAAATAACTGGGTGTTTTAATTCGACTCTACCACAATTCCATAGTTTCTTTTGCATAAGATAAACCCGAAAATGCAAATTGATGATTCAAGGGCTTAAATACTGTAGATTCTATGCACAGCTATTCGAAGTAAGTAAAAATTTGAGGCACAAATTTTTCCAGCCAATTGAATTTTGAAGTACAGTTGCTGTGCATTTATTTCTTTGATGTTCATCGAAATTGAGACAGACGGATAGGCTGATCTTATCTGACAGAACCTGTTCATACTACTTTTTAGTATATATCTATTATTGAGTTTACTCGATCTTGAAGACAAAAGAAATTGGCATTAGCAAATGTGTTTGAAATTTTTTCTATAAATCCTGAAGCTGCAAAAAACAATCGGTCTTGAAAATACGAATAGTCTATTGAAGAATAAAAACGAATTACATATTATACTTTCAATTATAAATTGAATGTTTCATTCAATTGATAATAAAATAAAATTCTGACACTTTTTTGTCAACAGTTGAAACTTGTGATTAACCGAGTCATTGGAAAACTATCCATTCTCACTAAGAGATGAACTGAAAATCCTTTTTAAATATCAAAAAGAAAATGGAAGCCTCAGAAATCATCCATCAAATGTAAAATTAACATTTTGTACTCAACGAAACTGATTATTTTTGTCGATCTAATCGGGTTCTTCTCAAACAAGGAAATCGTACATACCACTCGCACGGAAATTTCGATTTGCAGACATAATGTAGAAAAAGTAGATGTTTCAGGACTTCCATAGGCCAGGAGGAGATCTACAGAATCTCTGCCAAGCTGTGATGGTGGTAAACGTTGAGGGCTGAAAATTCCCAGGTTGGTCACAGACTTGGTCAACAGACCGACACCTTGAATCCTTGTAAAACTGATGGATCCACAAAATATTTTGTCAATATTCACTATCCCCCAAGGACGGAATTCTATTGGTAAAATTATACATTCCCTCCCACACTCTCAAGTAACTACAATCACTACAAAGAAAACTGAAAGGGTGGCTTGAAAAGGCATTTCATCATTTCTCTATTATCCCCATCCAAGCAAACAACTGAATTACATCATTATCTCTACCAGGGACGAGAAGAATATCTTGACCGCAACTGGGATTCCGAAAAAAAAAAAACACCAACTTCTTCTTCACACATGTTGTCTCCTGCGGCGGTGACAACAATTACCACAGCAAAATAAAAGTTGACCAGCTGAAATCCTCAGGCTTTCTTTTCAGCTTCAGGCGCTTCCTCGGCTTCAGAAGGGGCAGAAATTCGATGGTTAGGGAAAGTTTCCCAGGGCGACGCTAAATCGAATTTCCTGAATTCCTGCGCCAGTTCCAGTGGCTCCACCACGCACCTCTTTTGCTCATCATCATACCTCACCTAAAACAAGAAAAATCAAAACAATTACAGTAAAATTTCATGTCAAAACATATTTCAGCATCAAAGACTTTCCAATCCCCAACAGAAACCCCATAGAGAACATGCTACAAAAAATATTCATACAACAAACTTTTCAATTTCAGTACAGCCAAAAAAACTACAGTACACTACAGTATTTTCAGGAATGTTTTACAGATTCTCCAGGTAGAAATTTCCTGACTAGGGCAAGCACCAACTTCTGATCTAGGTTCTTGAAGTATGGATGGAAGCTGTTATCAATGACACACATCAGTGTTCCTAACCTTTTCAGGCCTACAGACTGGTACATTTCCATATATGTTTCTGTGGACCACTAAAGTTTCATAAAATTTTTACAGAAAAGAAAAAAGCTTAGCTTGAAAGACTCACTGGCAGGCTTTAAAAAAGTTTTTTTGTAACTAAATTCAAGTTAGGAACAATTGAAGCAACTACAGTGGAATGCCTTAAAAAAATTAGAAAGGTGAAGTGGAAGAAAGGTTTCTCAAAAGAAAAAATTAATGTAATTCATTTCTGGTGAAAATTTGTCTGAAAAAAATTTTTTTTATCAGAAAATTCCAACTGCCATTGTCTTTCTGACACTTGAGATCAAGAGAACAGCATTTTTTGCTAATTTTGATGAGTGCATTATGTTGAACATTTTTCCATGGACCAGCAAAAAAAATCTTCTGCAGACTGATGCCAGTCCAAGTACCACAGGTTTGGAAACACTATCATACATGTTTCTCTCATGTGGTCCCACACATCATCCTCCATGAATGAGCAACAAATGATATGCATGATTGAAGCTGATTTCAAGTTTTTCAAACAAAAATAAAAAATCTGAGAATGCCATTAAAAGCAAGATCTAATTGGTTACTGTAGGCTTGATGTGAGAAGTCATTACGTTTGAAAATCTTAATCATAATAATTACAGTGAGACCCCCACATGCAGACACCAAAACATGGGGACAATTTGACAGAGGGGCATTTATTTTTCAATAAAAAAATCATAAAAAAGGCCCAACATATGAGATTGACTAGACATGAGGTCATTGCATGATAAAATTGCCAAGAAATTTTAGGAAAATTGACTTTTATTAGGCTTAATTGCAAGAAACAGATCTTTCCAACCCTAAGATATATGCAAGGAAAATTCTTTGGTACTTTTCCCATCACTTTCCCATCCATTCAGCTGATTTAAAAAAATTACCCATAGCACAGAGGGACTTCCTTCTCTCTTTGTGACATGGATGTTAACATTTCAATGAAATGTACAGTGGTATACTATTCAATGCTCCAAATGTTCTTATTGGGTTGAAAAGATATTCCTTGAAACAAATTCAAGTGCCAAACAATTTTTTTTTTCATGGAATTCTAAAAAAAATTTCTTCCATAAAACACCAATAAAAAATTATAAATGTAAGTCTATGGGAAAACAAGGCTCAACTTATGGACACTCTTGATGCACCAATCATGTCCGCATCTGAGGGTCTCATTGTATTCAATACAACAAACTATTTCCGAAGTCTCCAAACGTTTTTTTTTTGTTTTTTTTTTTACAGAAATAAAACCTTTTCAAGCATCCGAAAAGCATCAGCGACCTCTAGACAAACAGTCGTCAATAAACATCAGCTCACCTCCACATAACCGGAAAGAGGAAAGTCCTTTCTGAAGGGATGTCCCTCGAAGCCGTAGTCGGTGAGAATGCGTCGCAAATCCGGGTGATTCGCGAAATAGACTCCAAAGAGATCGTAAACTTCCCTCTCGTACCAATTGGCACCCGAAAACACTTCACAGGCCGAGTCCAAGGGAGTCAGTTCGTCAGTGTAGGTCTTCACGCGGATCCGGGAGTTGAACCGCAGCGACAACAGGTTGTAGACCACCTTCAAAGTAGGAATCATACGCAGTTAGTTGGGTGAATTGAACTGCACCTTTCATGGATGAATCACAGAAACTCTGCTTAAAAAAAAGGGTTTTAAACATGGACTCCAATGATTGGGCAGACATGGCTTATTTGTATTTCATCTACTATATTTTTTCATGGGGTGAAAAATATTTCAGGGAAAGGCATCCAGTAAAAACCAAAATGGGGGGGATCTGTTCCACAAAGCAAGGGTAGCTCTTAATTATGGGCACAACTTTCAAACCCCAACGGCTCACCTCAAAGCGATACGTTCTAGACGGACAATCCATTCCACACAGATCAGTAATATTGGTAAACTGGGCCGTGTGATGATCTTTCAAAAAGTGCAGCACCGGGACAACCCCCGAAGGGGCAATGAGAATCTCCAACTCGTCCCCCGCGGACAGTTGCACTTTCTGGACATACTTGGGCATGCATTCCGCAACATAGGCACCGAAGTCAGTCAAATGCTTCCTCGCCACAGCATCAGGTTTCCTCACAGTGGCTGCCATTGGAAATTCAAGACAGAAACAATTAAAAACACGAATTCTCGCAGTTTTTTGAAATTCTCATGAAGTGTTCGAATTACAGTAAAAACTCGCTACAACGAATTACCGTATTTACTCGAATAACATACACAACCTCGATTAAGACTCGCATCCTATTTTCGCGACTCTAAAATTACAATATTCTAAAAATAAAAACGCTCAAATTTGAATTTGGACATGAATTAAAACTAAATTCAACAATTTTTGAATTTTTTCCCAAGAAATACGTTTTTTTTTAAGAAAATATTTCAAAATTTCCCATGAGAATCGAGTATATCGCACTGCTTAATTTCTTAAATTTTTGAGAAATTTATACCCAACTATGAAACGCACCCCCATTTTTCCTCTGAATTTTCTGAAAAAAAAAAAAAGGTGTGTGTGGTTTGTTCAGAACAATTTCATTTCTGGGATCCCTTCATTGTAGTCAAAATGTTATTCAAAGCTTGATACAGTATATTCTTTTTACAACAAACTTGCGGGGACTCCAGAAAAAGTTCGTTAAAACAAATACTTTGTTTTAAAAAGATTTTCAAATTTATTGACTGATGGGAATATTTTTAAAAATTAAATCTTGCTTATATTTAACAACTTCCTTTTGTGGTATTTTTAGATGTGTTTCAAAAATTGTAATCTTCAAAAAATCACATGTTAATAGACATTTACTCTGGATAACAGGTTAGCTCTAACTTTTTGTGGAATTGTAAGTTTTCCCAGGTAATTCCTGTGAAGATGGATGCTCCAAAAAAGTGTACAGCTTTGAAGCATCACTAAAGTTTCTCAAGCATACAAACCCCCTTTAAGATGAGTTTTGCTGAGTTAATTTTCACATCTACCCCTGGAAACATTTGTTGTAACGGTATTTGTTGTAACAAGATTTTACTTTAAGAGATTATTACGGTAATAACCAGTAAGAGATTATTAACGTAATAATCAGTAAGACATTAATAATGTAATAATCAGTAAGAGATTATTAATGTAATAATCAGTAAGACATTATTAATGTGATAATCAGTAAGAGATTATTAATGTAATAATCAGTAAGAGATTATTACTGTAATAATTTCCCAAAACATGGACCACTTACGTCTTGTCTCCACTTTTTCAGCCTTTGTTGAGGCCAAGCGAGTGCTCAGAGCTCCCACAGAAGCATTCAACCCTGAAATGTAAAAAAAGACAACAAATGTCATTCATCAAGACACACTATTTTACAATACACATGATAACCAAAAAGGTACCGCATAAACAGAAAGTAGTGACATCTAGTGGGATTCTAAGCTTGGGAAATGTTCAAATTGTTAACTATTAATTAATTCAAGCAGTTTTCATCAGGGATTACAAATCAGAAAGGTTTTGGAAGTGCTAATTAACATCCATGAAAATAAATGGGTTAACTCAGGACAAAATGAAATGCTGTTATGACTGCCAGTGACATCTACCCACATAGAAGCAATATGGACTCATCATGGACAAACACGGAAAAATCTACACAACAGTTGAACCTTGCCAAGTCAAACCTCTATAAGCAGAAGACATCCCTTATTTTGATTTCCAATTAATCCTTGGCCAATTCTCTCAAGTTTATTTATTTTTATTGGGGTTGAACACTGGCTCAAGAAAATGGTGATTATTTTCTTTATTCTCATCACGAGGGATTATGAGCTTCTTCCTGAAGGGAATCATGAACATTTTGAACACAGTAATTTTGCCAGAAAATAATTTCTATTAATTGACCAAATTCCCTAGCCTGAAAAATATTGTTTGATTTTCCTTCTGGAGTTTCATCGAATTTAACTTGGAAGGTTCATTGTTTTAATAATTTCTAGCACTGTACAACAATAACTTTTGGAGCACAAACCATTTTTGAACTTGTCGCAACGGATGACTCTTGTACAGGAAATCCCAGGTCGCAAAATTCCTGCTAACGCGGAAATCATCTTTTGAACACAGTTCACAAATCTTCACACACAGGAAAAAAGGAAAAAAAACGTCGTCACGTTTCAACAATAGAATATTTTCGCAAATTAAAGAGAAACCAAATTTTTTTTTAGCAAACGACAACACAATTTCCATTCAAAATTCTCTCAAAACCAGCAGTGGAAAATGACAAAAAATACACTCAAAAAAAAAAAAGAAATCTTGCCCTTGAGGTGTCGAACAGTCAGATCAACATCATGGAACACCATTCAACTGGAATAAAAAATTCCCCAAGACCAAGAAAAAACAAAAACTACCATCATTAAAAAAAGGAGCCCAATTCCAGCAGCTGTTCTTCAATGCACAACACAAAACCGTGTAAATTGTTCTAAAGCAGAAGTCCAGTGATCCAAAATATATATCTATAAAATTTGTTTTTCTACATAATTTTCAGACCGAATCATCCCATTAAAATCCACCCTTTGCTGAATTTTTAGCCCTTTCCTCAAAAGGCGTAACACAGTTTCCTCAACACTGGATATGAAGAACATGTCTTCAGCTAAGAAAGCAGGTTCTGATCAGGATCATGGCAGCCTAATCTACAACTGATGGGAATGGTGTTCAATGACTAGACACAGTACATATTTTACAGGGAGTAAGTTTATCATGAAAAAAGCAAATTAACTGATTGCCTAAGTTTTGTTAAAATAATAATAAGAACGGATTATCGGAAAATCAAATCTTCCTTAGAAAACTATGTCTAATTAAATTATTGTAACGGATCTCAAAAATGTTTCTGAATTTTAAATCTCAATTTCACACCTTTTAGAGGAATTTTTACACTCAAATATTGTTAAAACTGGTGATTATTGTTCTTAGAATAAGTTTAAACTTCAATTAAATTTTCAGTGATCATTATTAAATCACAGCAAGGAAAGTAATAGAAGAAAAAATTCAGAATAAATATAACGAATAGTAATAATTAACATTCTTATAATATTATATCGCAGCTGCGTGAATAAATTTTCCCCATTATTCTGTCACACAAGGAGATTTTCCAGATTCTTCAAAATAATTCACGGCTCATGTTTCAGTCCGAGTAATTTCTACATCTTAGACTAAGGAAAAAGCTAAAATAAATCTTGAAATTTCATTTTAAAATCGATCGTCATTTAGAAGAAGAAAATTTTCCAAGGTCCACCAGAAAAAATCCATGGAAATCAAAAGCTATTGCACATGAAGCTGGACCGAAAATCGTTAAATTACCCGTTGATTGAAAATGACATCTCGCTCAGAAACGAGAAAATTTGCGAACGAACGAAATTCTGAAAACACAGCATGGAATGAGCAAAAACATTGAAATGAACCGGCCACAATTTAATTGTGATTTGAAACCACGTGTGATTTTTTCACGGGGAGGTTTCAAACGTTTCCAGACATTTCTCACATATTTCCACCGTTTAAAATAAGTTATGCGTATGCTGATCAACAGAATAAATTCGTAAATAAGAAAATTGCTGTAGGAAATGAAGAAAAGGATTTTTCAAATTTAATTCTTAGCCGTCGGAGAATTTTTGAATAACGCTCAAAAACTATTTTGATTAAAATTTGGATCTGGTCGAACAAAGCAAAAAACCTTTCCTGAATTAAAATCCTCACCTCGTCAAAAAAAAAAGCCATTCGATTCGCATACGAATATTTAAAAAAAGCAGTCAGATTTGGCAACTGATAAAATTGTCATGGATTATTCGAAAAAAAAAAAAAAAAATATTGCCCGCTCAAAACAAACAGTTTCTTGCTTTTCACGAACCCTCCCTGAACACGGATACTCTTTGTACTCAAAACAATTTGTGAACGTATCGACAATCATTCAAATCTAGATCACCCACATGTCAACGATTTCCTCATTGATTTTGTTTTCTTACAAAAACACGTCTGCTTCGGGGAGGATCAAATCACAAATTCCGGTGATACGATTTCTTCAATCGGTGATCTGAAAACGGAAGAGAAAAAGCAGTGAGTACCAGCTGACGATTGCAACAAAAAATTCCATGCAAACAGGTTTTCATCCACGCAAAAGTGTGCAAAACTTGACATTTTCTGAATAAATCACCCAACTTCCAAGAAGATAAGAACATTTTCCAACAACGATAAACTGAATGCCATACAGCACCAGCCTTTGTATTCTACAATTTCACTTGTACTCCATGTGAAAGCGACATCTTGAAACATTCATACATGAAACTTGATTCATCCCAACGTAGATGTCGCTTGTATATGAAATGTAATGCACATGCAATACTTCCTGGTGAAACCAGGAAACCTTTCAAATTTTTCATCAGGTAATTTCGGAAAACACTTACAATGTCTTTTCAAGAGTTTGCTGTTTCTCAATTTCAAAATTTTTTTCCCCAATTTATTTTTCCACAAGAATTCACTTCTAGGAACCACGCAGAGAAAACCTGACGACTCACAAACTCGGGAAACGTCTTGTTCATCAGGAATTGAGCAAGGAACCAAAAAAATTCTACACCAGTGCCGCCCAAATCGAGATTAGACTACAGAATCGTACTTAATCCGATGTTCACTGAAGTTAGCGATTCAGGCGACATCTCGCTGACAATGAATCAAGAGCTCACCTGATAGAGCCACTCCAACGTCTTCATTTACCACAGAGCCTTTGAGAGATTCAAGACACCTGCTGGAGGATCCAGAATTTGGCACATGGCTGCCAAAGCGGCTACTATTGCCATTCTGCACAGCTAACAAGCTTGGAATACTACCACGCGACATTTGCTGCGCCCTGGGGACCAGCAAAAATAATTTGTAAAATCTCGTTAGAACGAAGCTGGTGTGAACAGAAAAATGCGTCTTCATAAGGAAACATTCATAGTACAGGGATTTTAATAACATAATTACTATTGGACAGGGACCAAAAAAAGACTTTATTGAATTCCTTATCACGATATTCGTTTCAACAAGATTCTAAGGTAAAAAAAATAGTTCGATACCAAGAAATGCAAATAAAACGCTGGCTATTTCCGCGCAAAACTAAAAAAGTGATCAGTTCTAAGCAACAATTCGTCACATGAGATTTGACCGAAATAAAATTCATCGGAAATAAATCGCGTCGTTCTGGAGGTCCACAACTGACTATAATTTTGTAACATCAACACCGTCTATCCCATCAATCCGAAAATTTAACTACTGTATTAGAAATGGTGTATTGCTCAATATTTGTAAAAATTTCATTAAAATACCCCTGTCCAGATCACATCCGAAATTATGACATCAAAGTCAAAAATTCCACGCCGTTCAATATATAAACTCACTGATCATATTCCGGACTGGAGTCATCACTGTCACCGGTTTCAGTTTGATCCACTTGCACACCATTCAACCTTGAAAACAGGAAAGCGATAGCACAATATTTGAAATTTTGTTCTTTTAAACTTCATCTAAAATGTAGAAGAAAAAAAGGGGATAACGACATAAATTCAATTTTCAGACCGAAAACTGATGTCTAAAAGAAAAGGTACTTTCCTGTTACAGTATCTCAGCACCTACTTTCTGTGCACCTACCAGAAACTGAATTTCATTTTTCTGCATTCAGCTGAAACTGATTTTGGGAGGTGGTTAGGTTAGGTCAGGTTATGTTAGTTACAAATATCTTTCAATCAACATAACCTGACCTAACCTAACCTAACGAATACTGAATTCACGAGACAAAGAAAAATGGGTACTGAGATAACAGGAAAGTACCAAAAAGAAGTTAAAGAACCCCCCACAACCAGACTCACCCGCAATGAAAACTATCACTCTCGACACCGGCAATACTTTGCACGGCCTGATCCAGGGCTAAATCCGACGCCAATCTCGCCTCTACATTTTCCCTCGTCTCATAATCGGCAATCCGTTTCACCGCATCATTCTTCCGTCGTCGGCCCGCATCCCCAGATTCCGCAGAGTCACAATCATCCGCGTCGTGCTCATACGGTCTCGTACACTGAATCCTCCCGTTTCTCCGATGCAATTTCAACGGCTTCACAGTTTCACTCTTGGGCAGGGTCTGCTGGAACGCGTAACACAACCCACTCGACGACCCGTTCGTGTCCCGCACAAATTTCAGCGTCAAATTCAAGCGATGATCCGTCGTGGACTCGCTAGCTTCCGAGTCCAGGTCAATAAACGGTGGCTCACACGCAACTTGTTCTTCTTCCGGGAAATCCGGGGCGGCTTTCGACGACTTCCGTTTCCGGTGTCGCTTGTCCTTTTTCCGCCGGTGTTTCTCCTTCTGGTCTTCGTCCGACGCCTTCCTGCTCGTCTCTTCGGACTCGCTCCGGTCCCGTTTCTTCCGCTCGTGCTTTTGTTTCTTCTTCCGCTTCTTTTTGTCCTTTTTCCGCTTTTTCTTCGAGATGAGTTTAATCGAGACTTCTTGGGATTCTTCCTGGGATGATGCAGAGGAAATGCTTCTCTCGGGTTTAGGCGAGTCCGGAGGCTGAGGTTCTGAGGCAGGCCTTGGTTCAGGTTCTAGTCTGGGGCCGAAAGTTGGAGTGCTGGACGAGCCGAAGGACTGAGGCGAGATTTGACTGAGAGACGCTGATGATGAGGGACGAATTGATGGTATGTCGGGGCTTTCAAACGCTGGCAGAGAACCTGGGAACAAAAATTAGTAGAAATGAATCTCAAATAAAACTGAACGTATTCATCACGTGATTAAATCAGGGTAAAGTAGCACCCCGGATAATGGACCACTTTTAAAAATACAACGCAACTCTATCGTTGCATGACAGACTGCAAAAAACAGAGAAAGAAAAACCAAAGTTACGTTGGAAAATGTTGACATAAAGGACATATTAATCATGTGATCCAGTCAGGGCACAGAAGCACCCCGGATAACGGACTGTGTGGAAAAATGAACGCACCTTTAGCATCCGACAATAGACTAAATGCACAAAAGGGAAAGAAAAATCCAAGTTGCGTTGGCAAATATGGCCCAGTCTTTTTTATATTCTGGGACAGTGCGAAGAATAATCGCAAATCTTTCCTCACCAAAAGTTTTTCGCAGTTATTTCAAGATATTTCACATTGAACCTCTCCCGAATGAATCATAAATCCCACATAATATTCAGGTGCACAACTTTCGGCAGTCAGAGGAACATTCCATGCATCATTACATTCAAGGACTTCCCAGGATAAAACACTCCACAGTCCACACTTCGATAAAGTCCATTAACCGGGACACCACCGTAAGTTTTTCAAGAGACAAAATAAAAGTAACTTACCGAGCTGGGCAAGCATTTCTTGATCTTGCTTCAATTTCAGTTTCTCCTCGGCGACGTAAGCCCGTCCAAGCATGACTTGCTCCGACAACGGCGCAGGATGCTGCAAAAATCGCAATCAATAAGTATTTCATACCCACCCACTTCTGAATCACTCTTCAACAAGGATTAAAAAAAAAGGGGGATGGTCACACCTCGTTTACAATAATGCTGTATGTGAACCACCAGCCTGATACCAACGTATCACCGCTTCGCATTGTATTCCCATTCAAACATTTTTTGTCACGAAAACTGACACAGGAGTACAGTCGACTTTCAATTTGATTGTCAAATGCATAGAATTAATTGAAAGCGCGTCTCACAATTTTTGCGACACATACGAAAAAGAATCGCATCTGCTTATTGATGACATCATAAATTCAAGCAAACATGTAATACATATAGTAAAAGCTCGCCCAACGAGGAATTGTTTACAACGATTCTTATTGAAGTTCCAAGCGCAATATCTATAATATTCTTCTAGTTTCTTCATAAGTTCATAACAAAATTTTCTTTCACAGAGAAGCTATTTTACTGGTCTCAGTGGATTTGTAGTAAAAAAAAAAAAAAAGAGGGAAAAAAAGAAACAATTATCTCACCATGCTTTCCTTCAACAGCAACGTCTGGTATTTAGACTTCATGCTGTCAATCCTCGCCATCAAATGTCTGCATTTGTCTTCCAAAACTTGATTGAACTCAACTTCTTCGCGAGGATCCGCAGTATCTTGGAAAACATGGTAAGGAGTCAATGCGGAATAGGCCTCGGAAAATGTTTGGAATCCGCGTAACGGAGTATGAGAACAATCGACGACTCCGCTGAAGTGAGGATTCCGAAAGTAGGATAAAGGATCCATCACGCGTTCATGATCAGTCTTCAATCTTTGTTCAAATCTGAAAAAAAAAAACAAGAGAACCACTTTCGAAAATGAAAAAAGAAACTTTTCAGGATAAATTCAAATTCAGACCTCTTGATTTGAGAGAAAGGGAAGGGAATCTTCGCTTATATACACCCCCACTGATTTAGGGGTCGTTGATTTAATTTTTTCGATAAAAACAAATTCGAGAAACGGAAAATTATATCACGAACTGAATAACTGATAATAGTTTGTCAAAATGTACGAACATTTCGATAATCCCAGAACAAAAGAAGAAACATTTCAATTAGTGATTTACGTGTCACCAGAGACACCTGTCGGATACTTCAGAAAGCGATTCCGGACATCATAAAAAGAGGAACCCCGTTTTTATTTCCGTACCAGCTGGAATACCTTATCCTAATCGTCGTTTCAAGTATTTTACCGCATTTCCTCGAGTTCCACGCTCGTCTTTTTTTCTCAATTCAGAGAGGAAAAAGGGGAGGGGTCATGTTAATAGAAGGTACACATTTTTCAAAAAGTCTCAAGAAGTTTTGCCGCGCATTGTATTTGATTCTAACAGAAAAATTTGGACCAATTTCAACAGACAAACTTGTTGCAATAGAAATGAACGAAAATTAGTCGAATTCAAGATCAATTCATTTCTAAATTCAGATGTGGACGTTCTTATTTTTAAAATATTGCAGTTTCGAGTCACTAAAATGGGGTGTGCGTCTTACTCGCGGATACAGTTGTAACAAACTTTCAGCATGAAAAAACCTGGGGCGTGTTTCACTCAAGGAAGCGTGGTACTCGACTAAATACGGTAATGTGGGCAGAGAGGGTTGAGACAGAAGCGACACCTGTCCATTTAAAAGCGCGACAATCGGGAAGAAAATTAATTTAAAAAAAACAAAAAACAAAACATACAAAGCTTGACGTTCAGCCATCACAACTGCAGGATCCACAACGGGTTTCGGTGGAGAAATGATGGCCTCGACTCCCAGAGATCTCACGACGGCGACACCACCGCTATCATCAGCAGCAGAAAAAGCACCTTTGTCTGGAGGCGACTTGACCGGTGAGATTCTAGTGGCGGCTTTTCCAACCGTTGCTTTGGTCGTCTCGTTCGATGGCAAGGGCGGCGCTTCCAAGCGTGGGATCTTCGAGGGTGATGATTCGCCGCCAGCATCTCGCGAGTCAGCTTTCGGAGACATTGGGGCGGCAGGAGGCGGCTGGAAAAAGTTTGGAAATGAAATGGAGACCATTCAATTAAAGTAGAACCTCGATTCAGTTCACCCACCCTCGCAAATGTCTCTGGAAAAAATATCCCTTCATTTCTCCAGAAGGAAATTCCCCATTTAGGGACTCCTCACTTTTCGTCACACCATATGTATTGCCCACCATGAAAAATGGGCGAAAAATATAAGAAATGGCGTTTCCCATGGAATCGTTGATTTTGAGATCTTTAATTTGTCAAAAAAGTTTGCTTCTGTGCTGTTCAACGCCGTTACGATCAACTCAAAATTAACGTTTTCGTCTCATAAATCCATCAAAAACACAGAAGTTGCCAAAATTGTTATTCTAAAAAAGACGGTTATTCGAAAATCATTACAAACTAATTATTATCTACTTATTATTAATTTAGATTCCTAAATTACTTTCTTAAAAAATGGGCCAAACATCAAAGAAATTAGGGACCTTTTCCATGGATATCAAGTTATTCTCGAGAAGCGCATGACCAGGCTCAAGATAATTCTTAAAATTATATCTCTGAATTTACATGTTATTGGGTTATATTCTTTGGATGTCCTCCACAGCAAATAGAATTTCCATAACTGAGATAATTTCTTGAAAAAATGAGAATAATTTCACGCGACCTTGGATTTGCATGCTTTCACTGAATGGTCCACGCAAACATTTCAAGAAACTGCTCTCATTTTTTTACTTGACACAACATGTGCAAAAATTCAATATTCTGTATTATACAGTAGATGTAAATAAATCAGAAAAACCATTAGATTTGAGCTCCAAATTATTTCTCGCGACTTTCTCTCTCACAAAAGCGACTCATTGACCTAAAGATTTTGAAAACTTTTTAGCAGAAGCACAGAATTTAACCTTCCTCTTGAAAAAGTTGCCAAAATTTAGCGCCACCCTCGCAAATAACGGCACTAAATCTGACTATAATTGAACACAATTCCCGGATTATCAAACGTGACCATTTCCCCAAGGCACACAGAAATAACCGATTTAAAAAAAAATGAAAGGAGACGATAATTTGGTCGTGATCAAACACTAAAAAATTCGGATATAATCATTGGTATTCGAAAAAACTTACAACATCCGGTGAAGTGAGAAGCGGCATACTCAAAGCGACCTTGTTCACCGAAATCGACAATGGGCCCAACATGTCACCAGATTTCCCAATTTCAACCGACTTCTCTGCAAATTCCTTCGAATTTGATTTCGCCACAGATGTCGCCTGCGGTTTCGAGGATCCCGGGCCTTTTCTCCACGAACCATCGTCCTTCATTATGGCATCGAAAGCTTTCTCGCACGCCGACAACGGCTTCATGACCACCTCAGACTTCCTCTTCTCGGCCGGTTTCGATTTCTAAATAAAGGAAAGGAGCAATCATTAATAATTTAAATTTAATCATTTTTTACAAGAAAACGAAGAGGAGCAAGGAGCGAAAATTTTAAAGATGGACTCTCACAATTCACAATTTTTTCTGCATAACGAATTTTTGTGCGTCATTATGTTCTCTCCTCATGCTATAGAGGTTCTCCACAATGAACAATGTTTTTTTGCTGATCCCTTGAATTCTGTCGTAGAGTCCAAAGAATTGCTGTACAGTATGTTGAAATCCTTTTGATACAACGAGGTATTTATATATACTGTATATAAGGTTTTTTTAATCAGCAAAAAATCGACTAGAGGAGTTTTCGAGTTGGAGCAAACTAGCATTTTCGCAGAAAAAATTGACGGAATTACAAAAAATTTGAAATTTGTGATCTCCAGCGCCTTACAATTTATCCCACCGAAGAACGATGAGTCAGACTAAGAAGCTCACGAGAAATAATCGAGTTAATTGGGTTCTAGACCTTTAAACTGTTTCTGGGACCACGCGTTAATCACAGCTCATCTTTTCGCCAAGTGCATAAAATTCTCAAGAGAAAATTGTTTTTTTTTTTAAACATACAGGGTCTGAACTGAAGTTCGACAAAAATGACTTTGAATATGGGGAGGTTTGTGTTATTTCGGTTGAACTGTATTGAGGCAATTTATGTTGAACATCTATTTCAAATACTATTTACTATACTGTAAATAATACATTTTAAAATATGTACTATTAGAACTAGCAGGTGAACCTCGCTAAGTCGAACCTCCTCAAGTCGAATACCTCCCTAACTCGAATTTTTTTCAAGTCCCTGTCTGGATTCCCATAGAAACAATGTATTAAAAACCTCCCTAACTCGAAATATTTTTCTCTAAATCCTCTGTAAATCGAATTTTCTAATGCCTTTCAGTTATCAATTCCTCGAAATATGAAAGATAAAATCAACAAAATAAATTATTTCATGCATTTTGAAATAAAGTGAAGGACTAATTGAACAAATTAACCCCTGCCTACAAGTTCAGCAAGCTTTAAACTCATTAAGAAGCAAGTTTAGGCCCAGAATATCCCCATCTACAATTTCCCATTTTCCTTATGTAGCAAAAATATTTGTTTCCTTTACCCCAAATCTCAAAAAATGTAAACCTCCCTGAGTCGAATTTTTTTTTCGTCCCTAGAAATTCGAGCTAGAGAGTTTCAATATTATAGTACTGTACTATTATTTTAGTATTATTTTTTACTAATTTTTAACTACTATTTTGAAATTTTAAACTATCTTTTCAAGTGATTTGGGATGAATCGATCATTTCATACAGCTTCACAATACAGTAGAATACTTTTCCGGAAAGAATTACCCATTATACAACATGTGGCTCTACAATGCAGGTGTTCGGTTAATTGACTTCCGAATGACCGCATCAAGCTCTTGAACAAACTCCATCAAAAAACTAATGTGATTCGCATCAGAAGACTCACATGAGCGAGAGGCAGATGGATTTCAGAAACTGGCAAACTTCTCTTGTGATCATTATTGACAGACGACGCGCGGTTCCTTTCTTCGGTCGCAGTCGTCGGTTTGACGCCACTTTCCGCGTCACACGGGCGACACTCCGCGTCCGACGGCGGCAAGTTGACTTGATTGCACGAATCCGAGACCGCGACGAAAGAATCACGAACAGGGTCGGTGGTCCGAGTTGAAGAGCTATTGCTGTGGCAGGTTTTCCGTTTCGCTCCTTCCGACAAGTCACACGTGGACGTGGACACACTGGCTGTTTCTACGCCGAAATGAGGGTCTTCAGAGTAAGACGACTGCATTGAAGGTGGGGACTGATTGTCCGAGTCGATCGTGATCACTATGCCTTCGTCTTCGCCACCCGATCCGCTTCCCTACGAATTTTCGTGATGAAAAGAAATTATAGCAAATTTTTCTCAATTTTCATATTGCTCAAAAAACAAACAGGAAATTTTTTCATCTACCCACGAACTCGACACAATGAATTCCGCAACCGTTTCTAAGAAGCGTCTAAATTTCTTTATTTATTCGGTAGATAGATGTCGCTTTACTTTCCACAGAGGTTTTGTCAAGAACAATTTTCAGGGGATCAGAACGAATTTTTTTACACAGAGGCCCTATAACATGGGTAGAGAACCGTATGAATGGGACACATAAATTGTTATACAAAGAAAGTCGTTTTAGAAAGCATTTTTGTTGAGGGATCCTACCTGTAATACCTTGGGTCCCTGTATACTGAGACTCATCAGTTCCTCGGCAAGTTTTGCTATCCAAATTTATGTCACGTGAAAAGTAATTTTCTCAAAATTACATTGTGATTGATTTAATTGGTTCCCGCCACTCGGCAAAAGACCATCAATATACCAAACAATTTATGTATTCCTCAGAAGAAAATCGTGAATTTAATATTATTTAGCAAAACATTGAAGTATTCCTCAACAACTTTTGCTTTTAACCTACTGAATTTCTCACATTTCAAAAACAATAAATCTGTGAAAATGTTCAAAGTTCAAGTTTCAAAAATTGTCGAAATTCCCGCATTTTTTAGGGCCAACAAATTTCGGATTTACTGTATATCGGTGGCGCATGTAAAGACAAAAAGTAAAACTATGCTTCTCTTTAATCTCCCATTTGGATTTTTGAAAATTTATCACATTTCATTGTAATTTGCGCATTTTTTGGGCCAAAAATAAATCTTCACGTGAAATAATTTAGTAATGAGAGACATGTTTTTCGACTTTTTCCCCATAAAATTTTTAGTCATGCGGAAAATCGCTGAAGTCAGAATTCCGTAATTCTCCCACTACGGGACACGAGTCAATCGAGTTCATTGTTCCTTAGAGATTGTGATGTCGAAAATGTGGTTGATCGAAGGCATTCGGTTCCAACTTGACTACATATAACAGCATTGATAAAAAAAAAAAAAAAACGGAAAGCGACACCAATCTGTCGAAAATATGTCAACTACCGAAATTCCAGACAACTGTCACTGCACAGGAGAAATTTCTCTAATGCAAAACACAAAACCTCAATTACAAATCAAACGTACCACGGACGCCGTTTTCACTGAGTGCGCATCACTCGAACGTTCAGCTCTCGCTCTGGAACTGGTGTTGAAATCTTTCCCGGGGTAAACGGATTCAAACAAAACATCCACTCCCGAGGAATCTTCGGGTTCATCCAAAAACAAGTCGTCGTCTCCGATCCCAGCTTCTTGCACAGCAGCCAACAAAAGCTGATCGGCACTCAACGGAGATTTCCCCGGCAACTTGACCAACGGCTCAGCAGCAGATTCCCGTTGTCGCGACTTGATCAACCTGTTTCTCTTCTTCCCGAGTCTATCGCTTCTATTGACTTCGGTATTCGACGAGTACATTATCACAGGATTACTAGAGAAAGTGTTGGTGCTGCCGGATTTCGTCTTTAGCCCGCTGCTCGATTTCGCACCAGTTTCCAAGTGCTGCACAGAACGACAGGTCGCACTGAGATCATTATCCAGTCTTTTCGGAGATCCTGATGCCCCAGACAACTTGAGAACCTTGAAGGAAGTTGTTCCGGATCCTTGAGCTTGTGCGACGGGTTTCACGGCTTGACTCGTCGGGATCCCAGCAGCACCCGACAAATTCAGTTGCAGCGAAGGACCCGGTTGAACCAGGGTGGGTTGCAGTCCAGGAAAGGACATGTGTTGTCCACCAGACGGGATGGCGACTGTCATCAGACCGTTGGGGGTTTGAATTTGCTGCAAATGCACAGTTGTGCCAGCAGCTAAGTGCAGAATTGGCGGAGCATTCGGGTTTGAAAGAACGCTGGGTTGGCATTGAGGGTTGTTGGATGCGGTACCCAGCATTCCAGATGGTAGAAGCACTGCTCCTGCAGAGCCCGGGATCATTACTTGATGTCCTACGCCTTCGGAACTGTTTCCTTGTTTCAGAGGCAACTGAAATGTGTGAAAAACAGGCTCGTTGAAAAAAAAATTGCCAGTATTGTGACATAGATTCAAGTCGAAGATGTTTAAAAAAAAAAAAAACAGGTCACAAAACATAACTTCAAATAATGCCGAATCTTTGATTCGGTGGAAAATATTTTCTCATCTTCAATTGCGCAAACAATTCTGCGTTTGTGCTGTTAGGAATTTATGCTCAACTTGAAGGCAAGGTCTTCGTCTCATAAATTCATCTAACAAAGCACTGCTGAAAGGCGAACGTTGTAGGAAATTTTGTCTACATCCAATCAATAAATAAAAACAAACAAAATTTCCCAAGATCAGAAAAATTGTCATTTTTCATGAGAAAATGGTTATATGAAAATGACAGCAAATTAGATTCCTCAATTTTTTCCTCAAAAACGGGCCAAAAATCGAAGAAATTAAGGCCCTTCTCCATGGATACGTTAGGTTATTACTGAGAGGCGATGCCCATGCTCAGAATAATTTTGAAAATTCCATTGGACGTCCTCCACATCAAAGAACATCTCCATTCTCCAAAACTAAGATAGCCTCTTCAAAAATTAAATTGATTTTACTTGATCCTTGATTTGCGGGCTTTCATTGAAAGGTTGAATCAAAACGGCTCTCATGCTATGCCGCCAATTTAGCGCCACAAAATTTACCAGGTCAAATGTTGGCACTAAATGGAGGTTTGATTGTATTACGCAACCAGCTGCAAGTTGACTATATATTCTTAGGGACGAAGGGATCCTGCCATTCGACCGAATCCATGAAAAAACTCATGCAGGATCAGATTCTTTTCTGTGAAAATAATCTCCGTACCTGGGATGACCTGATACGTGCATGAATGACAAACAGATCGAACACTATTTTGTATCAAACTAGATCGTGGGAAGATTTTCACATACCTGAGCAGACAATGGAAAAGACAACAGCGAACTCGGAGCGGGAGCAGTAGGTCGAAGAAGAAACTGCATGCCAGCCCCAGTTTGCGATAGGAACAATTGCTGCGGCATCATCATGGCTTGGTTCATCAGAATGGGACCCATAGACGGATTAGGAGAAGCGCTCTGAATTTGCACAGAACCCGCAGAGCACGGGATCGCACTGGGAGATTGTAGAAAATGTTGCAACCCGGGGATACAGTTAGGTACAGCATTGGTAACACTCGGAGACGAAACTTGTTGACCAGGAGAAATTGAACTAGCACCACTACCGAGAGAACTCCGCTTCTTCAAATCGCCACCTTTCGACAGTATCTTCGCAGATGGGGATGCGTGGGAAGGCTTTGGCTGAATCGGACGATGAGACACTGGAGAGGACTTTGGACATGCCGTGCTTTGGCTGAGATTAATCATCGGAGGTCGTCCAGAGACCATCATGATCGACGCATTGGAAGCCGGAGAAGTGAATCGCAGAGGAGAGCTGCCAGGAACCACGACATGATTGATTTTCGTCCCGGACCCATTGTGTACCGTGGCGTGTTCCGCAGAAGGTTCGGATTTAGATCCGCTTTTCCACGAGGGTTTCCTGCTTCCCTGCTTGGATGTGGTGTTACTTCCCCAGGGTTTTGGGTTGGGTACGACACCAGGCAATTCCCCGGGTGTCGAACCATTTTGCAGCGAAGCACGATTACCATTGGTCGTGCTGCTTACGCCGTTTCCGTGAGGAGTGTTTGGGCTGCCTTTTGAGATGTGGGTGCCAGCGTCCACGGAACCGTTTCCGACATGACAGATGTCTTCGGTCGGAGGATCTTCGATGTCGATTGTACTTAGAGGACTGTGATCCACGGGTTTCAGTTCCACCACAGTCGGCGCTTGGATATCAGCCGTGGAGCTGACATCGGATGATTGAGGGGATCTGACTCGGAATGGCAAGAATCCGGGAAGACCTTTCGACGAGTCATGGTAAGACGCTCCTTTACTCACGGAGCCGCCGAAACCAAGAAAGGACTCTAACGCATGAGGATCACTGGGGATACGTGGAAAAAGAAACGCATGAAAAAAGGGAGATTTTAGTTTTAAAAAAAACTTACTTCAACACATCTAGAAGAACCCGTCTTCCACCATCGTCGTCATCCATGGCGGAGGATTACAATTCCCCAATCGGAGAACATAGCTTATTTGGAAGTCAACCAATAAACCGAATTCATCACGCACCGCGAATTTTCGGAATCCTGAAAGATGATTCACTTTCGTTATCCAAAACTGCAGGCCATCCGATTCACATTTCATGCGAAATAATACCCCACACAAAGTCACACATCAAGAAAAACGGTCCACGAAAGCTCGAAGCAACAAACAAACCGCATCATCCCGAAAATTCCAGAATTGAATCTCAATCACATGAGACCGCTCACATCATTTGAAATGATAAATAAGACTAAGAATTTTCAATCATCGATCCAGAAAACCTTCGAATATTCACGAGTTCTTCTCATTCCGAAAGCACGGACACAAATTGAGTCATTTTTACTCATCTGTCATCACAACAACTTAGGCCTGACGGAATTGCTGAAAGATTCCGCAACGCACTCCAACGCACCGTGACATAACCCCGTGCAACAACTCCTGGAAATTCAGAGTAGTCAGCCTTTGGACGTATGGTAAAAACGCGCAATGTAAGCGCTTCCACGTTTTGACGGTAACCGTGAGAAAGAAGCCATTGTTATTGTCGTCCATGATACATCAAAGTGCGGATGACATACTCCCAGAGTGAAACGTGAAACCCGAGCGTTGCATTTTCGGGGATACTGTGAACTATTGATGACTTGTTGTTTGCATGTGACTTGATTCGTCGAACTTCACTAGCGAAGCTGGCGGAAGTGATACCAGTGTTGTGAATTCCCCCTGTGTTCTTGGGTGTGGTCAACGGAACTGATTCATTTCCCGTTGTGTTCTACGGAAAGTTGTTGCAGAAATGTCTACGCCGAACCCGCATGCACCAGTCGACGCCGCGAAAGATCCGATGAAAATTCCCATTACTTATATTTGCGGCGGTAAGTAAACTGAAATTGTTTCGCACACATCCATCTATTCTCTACCTGTGTTACTCATCTGTGACAGATTGCCACTCAGAGAACGAAATCAAGCCGAAAGACGCCATTCGTTGCCGAGAATGTGGGCACCGAATCTTGTACAAAAAGCGGACGAAAAGAGGTGGATATTTCTCTTGATTTCGAGCTAGAAATTTAACTGGAAATTTAATTTTCCTCTTTTTTTTCAGCGAGTGTCTTCGACGCAAGATAGTGAAGATGTGTTGTTCGTTTTATATGAAAGATTCTTTTTCGTGGTGAAAACGAATGCTTTTTCCCGTTTCCAGTTTACTAAGCTGTGTTTTAGTTTTTTGCGAAGATCTTCATATGTTTTTTTGTTTTTAGACAAATGCCGGACGACAGTAATTTTTAATTTGGTAGTGTTAGAATCATGGACAAAGTTCGAGTTGCAGTTCGTGTTCGGCCAATAAACCGGCGCGGTAAGTTGTTTATCTCAAAATATTGTATCTTGGTTTCATACACGATCAACGCTTATGTTTCATGTACAGAACTGGAACTCGAAACTGAATGTATCGTTGACATGGTGGACAAACAAACGTTTCTCGCGAAACCCGTGAGGACGAATTCTTCGCGACGTCGCACCAAGTGAGGACCATCAAATTTTTCTTTGGGGAAAAAAAAAGTGCATATGTTTGCATTCTAGCGCACAAAATGAATCTGCGGACGAAAGCACCCTTCGAGGCGTGAAAACATTTGCATTTGACGAATGCTTTGACTCTAAGGACGCGAAATCTTCGAACTATGCTAGTCAAGAAGAAGTTTATGATAAAATTGGAAAGGACATTACAGCGAATGCATTTGAAGGGTACAATGGATGCATTGTGGCCTATGGTCAAACCGGTGAGTTTTTCCTTCTATTTTGTGTACCCCAGTACAATCAGAAAACGTTTCAATGACTTCCTCTTCGTGTAATGTTAAAATGTCCGAACGATGAACCTTTTGGTCATGCCCGTTGCTTGAGAAAATATTTGTAAAATTCAAAGTGATTGTGTTAAGTGATGTAGTTAGCATAAATTGAAGGTGTGAAATTAAATTGCAGGCTCTGGTAAATCTTACACAATGATGGGGACGGACGCAGACAGAGGACTGATCCCGCGACTAGCGGAAGACCTTTTCAAGCAAATCGCCGAATCATCGGATTCTTCAAAAGTCGAGGTTTCGTACATGGAAATCTACAATGAACGAGTTCACGACCTTTTGGATCCCTACGGTCACCACCAAGCTTTGAAAGTGCGAGAGCATCAGATCCTAGGGCCTTACGTTGACGGACTGTCGAAAGCGGCTGTGACATCGTATGAAGTACGTACACTCATCACATTATATAATGAACGATAATGATATACCGCCTCATGTTTACAATTACGATTGTAAGGGACGCGATGACTTTTTTGGCGGAAAAATTCTGGAAATAAGTGGTGATGTGTTCGCGTAACGACGATTATGTCGCACTTGTAACTCACAAATTCTGCCCAGACTTCCGGACGATGTCTCAAGAAAATTTGAAAAATGTAATTTTATTTTGAAGCCTTGTCAACAGTACTCGTATTCATGTTCTCAGAATTTAAAAATGATTCTTTTCATAAATGTAATCCAATTTATACTGTCCAAAATCAAATAATGTGCTTCTCTCATCAGGCCTTCAATCACCTGTGTACAGTACAGTGAATCGAGATGTGTGCTTTTTTCCGGGCTCTTCTTCTGCGCAGTCATTTTTCTGTATCTTTGGTTAGAAAAATTTATTCCACTTTTTGGTACTTTTACGAGAATTTTGAGAAATTAGGAGAGTCGGTTGAATATGATTCCATTATGAAGTGTAGAGGAAAACGTGATTCAACATGCGGACGTTCCAATATAGGGACAAGCTTCATGAACGAATTATGTCCGCATCTCGGGCCCCCCGCTGTACGTTTCTGTATTTTCGTAGGATGTTGAGATGTTGATCCAAGAAGGGAATCGATCGAGAACCATAGCAGCAACGAACATGAATTCGGAATCCTCGCGTTCGCACGCTGTTTTCACGATCGTGCTGACCACGACGTTGATTGATCACGAAAGTGGTACATCAGGGGAACGAGTGGCGAGGATTTCGCTGGTGGATCTCGCTGGATCTGAACGGGCATCGAAGTCTGGTGCAGTCGGCGAACGTCTTCGGGAAGGTTCAAATATCAACAAGTGGGTATCCTGCTTTCGGTTGATTGTAAAAAAAAAATTATTTTCAAGTAAATAGAGTACGCGAAACGTTTCCTGTTGTGGGCGACACGCATGCGCGATGGCGGAAGCGCCAAAAAGCGGATCGCCCCTAAATCGATTATTTGTGCATTGATTCCAGAAAAAAAGTGTGAAAAATTAGTTTATTGTAATGTGGTAATTTATGGAAGTAAGCATCAAACAATTTTGAGGGAATTGCGTGCAAATTACATTTTGGTACAGGAAATATTGTCATTTGAGAGATATTTTCTGTCAACCCTCTAGAATATAAATCGTGATAATTTCAATTTTATTGAAGCTTATTCATTTAAATTTTACTTGTCAAGAATTCTTTTACAATGCGTCATGCCACGTTTTGGCCTCTTGATACCGTGTTGTTCGAATGAAAGCCAAAAATATTTACAATTCTGTCGCTCTTTTCAGAACTTTTTATCTGTTAATTTTTTTTTAACAATAGTGAGTTCAGATATTTGAAAATTGTTTTCAAACTTAATTTCGGCAATTTGGAAAGATATTTTCCTATTTCTTTTTCATATCTTAAATTTTTTTTCTGGTTTATATTTGAGTTAGTGTCACTGCGACTCACAGTTTCTAACACATTGTTCTCTCAGTTGAAAATGGGGCTTATTTTGGCATTGACACGATATTTCAAGCTCATGAAAGCTATATTATTTTCAAAATTTCGCTCAAGACTTTTTTTAAATGGTTTTGAGAGTTCATTGTGTCAAGATTTTGCGTTAATTTTTATTTTATTTCCATTTTTCCAGGTCATTGACGACGCTCGGTCTTGTGATATCGAAGCTTGCTGATCAAGGGAAATCAAAGGACGGTTTCGTGCCTTATCGTGACTCCGTGCTCACCTGGCTGTTGAAGGACAACCTTGGTGGGAACAGCAAAACAGTGATGATTGCCACGTTGTCCCCAGCCGGCGATAACTTCGAAGAGACCCTTTCTACGCTTCGTTATGCCGATCGCGCCAAACGAATCGTCAATCATGCCAAAGTCAATGAAGATCCCCGCGCTCGTATCATTCGTGAACTCCGTGCCGAAGTGGAGGCGCTCAGGAAAAAGCTCCAAGATGCACAAGTGAGTCAATTTAATTGACCCAAGTTTTCCATCAATTCTATTGTAAAGTTGTTCAACGTTGGTTAAATTGAATACTGTACAGTAAAGTCAAACCTATTTCAAGTCACACTACAAGGGACCAGAAACAAATTCGAGTTGGGGAAACACGCATTTTTGATCGGGAAAAGATAGGAGAATTGCAGGACATTGTAATTGATGATATTATGTGTCTCGATGTGCTTACTGAATGCATGGGCAGGATGCTGAACTCGGAGGCAAGGGTTAATTTGCCCAATAAGCCCTTCGTAACTCATCAAGTCACATTTTTATTGCTTTTCTGTTTCCCTTGTCAATAAAATAATACTGTAGCTAAAAAGCCTCCGGAAAATTCGACTTCAGGAGGTTGAGGGGTTTCTAAATGCGTTGTTGCTAAGGAAATGCTGGCAGGGACTTGTTGACGAAGACCGGTTCAATTTTATTTGGCAGAGTGTTGGTGTTACATTTCACTTCAAGAATTAAATGATTTTTAAAATATTTATCGTTACATTTCACTTCAAGAATTAAATTATTTTTAAAACATTTATCCTCGTTTTCACGATTTCGCTTTCTGTTCTGAAATAACACCAGGTTGGACGACAGCAGCATGACTTGGAAGAAAAACTCACCGAGTCCAAGAAGCTCATGGAAGAATACTCGGAAACGTGGGAAGAAAAATTGGCCAAGTCGGAGAAGATGCAGATTGATCGTCATCGCGCGTTAGAGCGTCAGGGGCTCGTTGGTGCTCCTTTGAGTGATTTAGAAAGTGCTGAAGAGTCGGGTCCTCCTTCCCTGACGTCGTTGAGTGTTCGCAATGCTGGCAGTGGCTTGAAAGTCAGCAAGGAGCTATTTTCTCTAGTCAACTTGAATGCGGATCCTTCTCTAGACGGCGTGTTGCTGTATTACCTGAAGGTTTGTCATTTTCATTCTCACCACGTCCGATCTCTTTTTTTTTTCAGGATTTTCGGGCAGGTGTCGCCCGGATCCTTTACATGACGTAAAACTATCTACAGTCAACCCTCGGATTTACAAATGTCCCTGAAATAAATATCAAGCCGTAGTATTTTCGAGGGAAAGTCAAATTTAATGCTCACTGTCTCCGTACCACGAAGTGCCTTGTCCTGGGAGAAAAATGGGCGAAAATCAAAGAAATTTATGTTTTTTTGACAAAGTTGATTGTGGAGTTGAGGACATTGGGTGTTGAATTAAAAGAAAAACCCTGATAATTTTTCATATGACTTTAACGAATTTGTCTGTCCCTTCGAGACGCGTTTTTTTTTTTTCTACGATTTTCATTATCGTAGAAGTGAGCTTGCAAACATTTTAATTCATATTGAATGACAATTTAAGATACTGTATCTGGAAATGAATTTCTGCGGAGAATGATTTTTCTTTGAATATTTTCTCTCGACTCTTTTTGAACTCTCCATGCTTGGAGAGTTCGAATTTTTACTTTTACCTGCTCTCTATTGGAATATTGTTTAAAATTTTTGAATGCTCCAATCAGTAGCTGATTAGTTGGAAGACAGAATTGGATGAAAAAGGCGATGCAGTTATCTTCGGTTTCTTCCTTAATCTTGAAAATTCAGATTAGTTGAGGTCAAGTGCGGAATCAAGGTCAAGTGATCGTTTTCCAGCCCGTGGGAAATTATCTCAAAATCTTAAAAAAAAATAAGTAAAGCTCGAAGTTGATGAAAAAAATCAATGTCATTCGATTTCAGGACAAGACTCTGGTTGGTCGTCGTGAAGCAGCTACTCGACAAGACATCGAACTAAGTGGTCTCGGGATCCAAGCCGAGCACTGCATCATAACCATCGAAGAAACCCTTCAAAACGGGATCCCGAATCGATCCCTTTTCATAGAGCCTTGCAAAGGGGCCCGAACCTGCATCAATGGGAAGCAAATTCACCAGAAAACTCAGCTCGAACATCGGGATCGGATCATTTGGGGGAATCATCACTTTTACCGCGTCAATTGTCCCGTACGAAGCGATGGGATGGAAAGTCTGGAGGTGGCTGTTCCTGAGCCTGGGGAAGGTGGTGAATGTTTAGACTATGATTACGCTCGCCGGGAATTGGAGAGGAACGAGATGAAAGAGGATCCCATTCAATTGGCCATTTCGAAGCTGGAAAAGCAACATAAAGAAGATAAGCAAGGTGCGACCTCTCTTTTTTTTGAAGACCTCGACTTGAAAAGATGTATATTGGTTGGTATGAACTGTACTGTATATGAGTGGTCTTAGAGATGTAAATTGAAACGGCATACAATTGAAATGAGAAACAATCATTGTTCAGAAAAAAATATTTTGCGCAAGAAAAATGATTCAGTCCTGTTTGACGCATTTTTTCCCGAATGCATCGCGTTTTTTCAGGAAGAAATATAGTTTTTGGAATTCCGAAATCTGGAGGAAAATGAATTCTTATTAAATAAATAAAAAAGGAATGTACTCCGGAAGAAATATTTATTCGGATTTTGTTAAATTATTTAAAAATGCTTTCCTTTCTGCCAATTGACGAGAAGAAAGATTTTGATTGTGACGTAATACAGGTCATAATGCAAGTCTTCGTCCCTGGCCACAGATTATTCATGAAAGAATGTTTACTGTATTTTTTCATTTTTTTAAATACTAGAGTGGATCGTGTTCTGCGTATGACTGAAATTCTTAAACGTTTCCACAGCCGCCCTACAGAAGCAACGCGAGGATTTCGAACGACAAATGCAGAATTTGAAGAACATCATTTCCCCGAACGGGACGCAGGGAATGAGTCCCCTGATGACCACGTCTCTCCGTGGCTCCACCTACAACCTGAGCATGATGAAGCTGGACAAATGGTCAAACGATCGAGACGAAAGATTCAAACACGGCCTCGCGATTCTCAAGGAGAAGATCTACGAGGCCCGTGGACGCGTCCGTGAGGCCAACTACATGGCCCAGGAAATGGCCCTGAATACGACGTTCAAGCTTACGTTGCGGATCCCGATTGAGTCGTTGACACCTTACGGAACCAAGGTGAGTTTTTGAGGCGCTGCTGACGATTTTTTTTGGTCGGACAGATGTCGCTTCTTCGTGTGACTGCATTTTCCATTATTGAGGAAAGGATTTACTGTGCAAGTAAAATCTTTCGGATTTGATTTTGTTTTTATTTATGAAATTTCAGCGCCCAAACTGTATACAATTATTGAACCTGCTACTTGAGAAATTTCCTCCAATTCAAAGGATTTTGAGGAAGATTATGTTGATGAAAATGCAATTGGAAGCCTTTTGAACTGATTTTAAAAAACAAAACAAAATGTAGGAGCTCAATTATGCTTTGAATTGAAAAGCACTTCTTGTCATGCGTGAATCACCTGGGATTTCGTCGTGCAGTACTTCATTCCTTGCACATGAAAACAGAATGAAACTTAGGGCACTGGAAGTTCTCGTAAAAATAATTATCTTCAAAAAATTCGCAACGAAGCCCAGAGTCTTCGAGAGAATTTGTTTTTATTTCGTATGAAAAATGAATAAAATTTAGGGACACTGGAGGTTCACGTAAAAGTAAACATTTTCCCCCCAAAAAATGCGTACCGAAGCCGAAAGTCTCGGATAAAAATTGTGCTAAAATGGTTTTACGTGCTGAATATAAATTTTTCTGCGGAAAATTTCAGAAAGGGGGCCTGATGAGCGAACCGGCTGTGCTTGTCAAACGGAAGGCCAAGCAGGCCCAGGTGTGGTCAGTGGAGAAACTGGACCACAAGTTGGTGGACATGCGAGAAGCTTACGAAGAGTTCCAGAGACTCAATCAACCTTTGGCTGTGTGGCGGGAACAGTCGCAATCGACGCCTGCTTTGCTCACCACGTTGTCCGAGCCGTTTTGGGAGTCGCAAGAAACCCATTCTCTGATTGGAGTGGCCAATTTCTTTTTGGAAATGCTGTTCCAAGACGTGCCGCTGACCTATAACGTTCCGATCATTTCTCAGCAAGGGGAAGTTGCTGGGAAGCTTTTGGTTAGTCACTTTGTTGGGGCTTTAAAGTAGTGGCGTTTCCCTTTTTAGCATTTTTCCCTTCTTCTTCATGTGCGTTTTTTTTTACAGTATTTGGATTGTGTTCAGAAAATGGTACATTAATTGAGCGGATCCGATTTTTTTTAGGCTCTGGAATGCCCAAAATTTCTGCTTGCGCGGGACGAATTTTTTCGGAATATAAATCGGAGCGGCGTACGATTGACCTGAGAAACAATTATTCTTCAGAAAAATATTCTTTAGCACAAGAAAAAATTGAGCCCCGTTTGACATACGTTTCTGAAACTTCGTTGCAAAAGTCACCCTGGCGGAATTTACTCGAAGGATGGGGGTTCATCTCCAAATTATATTGGGCGTAGCCCAGCTTTCACTTCAGAATTCTTGAAATTTACATGGCATTGCTTTGAGGTTATTCCAAGTTAATTCCTCCATTTTCATTTTAAGCCGCCTTCACAACCGCAATTTTGGATGATAATGTGGCGGCTGTTGATAAAAATGGCGGAATTTCCCTGTAATACCTCGAAGTAACGCTTGGAATTGATGCCGTTTAGAGACAGAAATTGAAACTGTTTCGGAACTGCCACAATATCACCCCAAGTGGCGGCTGTGAAGGCGGCTTTTAATGAAAATGGAAGACAGTTTAAATTTCAATCTCGAGAACCTTTTCTTGGACTTCCTACAATTATGTAAACATGAATGCATGATATTTTTGTTTCGTTTTTATCATTGGTTCATCGTATAGGTTGAGATGGCGCGAGTGGAAGGAAAAATGCCGGATTTGGAGTCAGTGGAAGCTGGTGGGAGCGAAGACGAAGACTGCGACGAAGACCGCGGGAAGACGTGGAGGAATCAGAGCATCGTGATCCGCGTGAAAATCCTTCGTGCCACGGGACTCCCCTTGCAACTCTCCAACTTTGTCTTTTGCCACTATTCCCTGTGGGGAGAAGACGTGGTTGTCCCGCCAATCATCCCTGATGCCGAACAAGAAGACGACACTCCGGAAAGTAAATTCCTGGCCCGAAGACGCCACGGAAAGGGTGTTTTGGGCAGTGGTCGAGACGAGAGCAATTTGGATCCCGGGGCGGGGGCTTCGTTTTACTTCGACCACTGTCGGGATTTCTGCGTGGGACTGAATGAGGAATTCATTGATCATTGCATCGGTGCGTACAATATCACCGAAAGTGGCGGCTGTCAAGGCGGCTTTCAATTAAAATGGCGGAATTACCTAGGGAGACAGTTTGAATTTGTTTTTATTTTTATTTTTTATTTTTTGGCGTATACAGAAGGCGCGTTGTCTATTCAAGTCTGGGGCCACCGAGTACCGAGCCATTCCAGCAACAGCAGTAGTGGGAGTCACCCTTTCGACAATGCAGCTGATGTTTCTAAATCCGTCATTGCTGCTAGGTCGCTTCAAGAGAGGTATTGTTTCGACATTCGGATAATTCAAATCATGGATAAAATCTGCCCATTGGCCATGACTAAAGATATGGACTCCCCGTTGCCAACATTGCCCGAAGAGTGGAAACCTTTATTTTTTCCGAATGTTGATGTCTCTCGAACAAATTACTATGGACGAACAACCGAAATATAATTTTCTGTATTAATTCATAAACAGGTTAATTTTGTGCTCCTCTTTTTATTTTTCTCCGTCAGTTGAGTAGAAATGTGCGCACTACTTATTTTTTTTGGGGACTCCTCTTCCCAAAAAGGCGGATTCTGCGTGGTTTTCTTCTGTGCAGTTCATTTCATGTACATAGAAAAAATATAAACTTTTCTGCGCAGTTATCTTCTGCATCTTGAAATTGAAAAAAAGGAATGCCTCCATTTTTTTTTTGGAGGACATCATTCAATTTTTGTCAAATGTGAGAATGACATCAACCTAATCTAAGCCAGTACTGTATTCTATAAATGAAGAATGGAGGTATGAGTGTGAAGAATCCATCTGTAATCCCCGGGTTTTTTATATTCACCAGATGGAACGAAGTGAGGCGTCAGCTCGAAGTGTGGGTCGGGATCCAGGAACTGAATGATGAAGGAGAATATGTTGATGTGGACGTGGAACCGAGTCGCCCCGACGTGATAACCGGTGGTGTGTATGTCCTCAAGCAAGGCCTTCAGCGTCGGTTGATCGTCAGTGTCGACACAGTTCCGGATTCCGGACTTTTGCCTCTGGTCTGTGACGAGATCACGAGCGTCAGCATAGGAAATGTCGTCAGCAGGTGGATTTTATTTATGAATTACAGTATTTAGAATCCCAACTTTACGCGAATGTCAAAAAAAAAAATCCAGTACGTGTAATTACAGTATTCCCAAACCTCTCTTGGAATATGCTGTGAGTCGTACCCCAAAAGAAGACCGTATGGCGTATTCAATCTTGAACCATATCACAGTTGAACTTCGATCACTTGTCTATCTCTTGAATCGAACTTTTCAAGTCCTTTTGGAACTAAGCATTAAAAACCTTCCCAACTCGAAAAGCTCAGCAATTTTATTCTTATTTTTGCTGGTCCCTTGAAGTACAACTTGAAGAGGCTCGACTTCTGTGAAGTTCAAAGTTAATTGAGCCTGTTTTCAAAATTTCAGACCCGCGTCAAAAACCGGATTGGATTCGTATCAAGAAGAAGATCTGAAGTTATTGAGGAGCAGATGGGCGCAGCTTCTTCATCGCCGGCAAAAATATCTGGAAAAACAAATGCAGGACTTGGTCAATAAATTAGGTAAGATTATTTTCGAATACCGCACTTCACGCAATCATTCTTCGTTCTTGCTCCGTTTGAAAATTCTATTTAAAAAAAATTGAAATCAAGATTTGTGTTCTGTATGAAAATACTTGGGGTTATCTAGAGGTCAGATTTAATTACGCGATCATGTGTTCGAAAATTTGACTTCATTTTCTCGGTAATGGCGCATATAATTAAATTAACGATGGAAAATGTTTCAAATTTAAAAAACTTCGAATCGCTTTGCTGGAATAAATGTAAGTATTCCCAATTTTTTTAATTTTGCAGACAAAAGTGAATCAGAGGCGGAACGTGAACAACACTTGATTGGCCAATGGGTTACGCTGACGGAAGAGAAAAACGGGATCCAAGTTCCGTCCCCGGGTTCCAACATACCCGGTGCTCCAGTTTCCCCGGGATACGAGCCGAAAATTGGGCTGGAGAAACATATTCCCGTGCTGTTCCTCGACCTAAGTTCGTCTCAGTTCTTTCTCTGCTTTCGTTTCCGCGTATTACAGTACTTGATAATCTCAACTCCGTGATTGTTTTGCGTTTCCATAGGTGTCGCCTGAAGCATGTCAAGTTCACTTAGGTTAGGTTGAATTAATTTTGCTCAAGTTACTGCTTCAAGCAATCTCTGTCTGGATCCCCCTATAAACAATGTATTAGAAACCTTTCTAACCAAAAGGCCTTTTCTCCGAAACGTTCATAACTCTTTGAAGGCATTTACTGTTATTTTTGTGACCTAGGACAAAGAAGAGCAATGAAAATGTTACTTGATGCTTCCGTTTTGCAAATTAACTGTAGGAAAATTTCTTCTGCTCGCTGAGATTCATGCCCTAATTATTTCTTTGCGTTGTACGGTATCCTGACGGTTTTTCTTTATTTTCTGTAGACGACTTTCAAGGACTGGAATCCGAGGACACTGGACTGGGTGAAACGGACGGGACGTTTGCTGGCCTGGGAGCTGTGATCAAGCATGAAACTTGGGGCCCGAGTATCCCAGTGATGATCGTTTCCAGGCATTATTCGGGAGCGGGTTTGGCTGGGGAAGAAGGCAGAGGCTTTCACAATAGTGCCCGTGCCGAAATGGGAGCTACGTGCGTCTGGGACTCGTCCATCCACGAATCGCAAAACTTGAATCGCGTCACTCCTGGTAACGTTCAATTATCCACTTCCATCAAATGAAGTGGATTCCATCGAACCATTCGCTATTTTTTTTTGTTTACGGAACATCCGATAAATTGGAATTTTTCCTGCAGTCGAGCCGCCACCATTTGTTTTCGGTGGTTTCACGGGAATTACGTTTTCAAGGGGTTGGTGGTTTAGCAAAAAAGCCAAAATATTACCTGCATGAAAATGAAGCACAGAACCGTTTAAAACACAATTTTAATTTTCTAAAAATCAATCATCGTGTACAAAAAGAAGATTATATATAGTGAAAATAATTTATCGATGATACTCACTGAAAAAAAAACTTCAAAAGTGGGCCTATTGTCTCAGGTTTCTTTTGTAACAGCACTTGCAAATCAAGAATGAATTTCAAAGTCCCACCTGGTTTCAAAAAGATTAAAATTGGTCCAAATGTTGAAAAAAAAATCTGAAAATTAAGTGTAATATGAAATACAAATTTTAATAAAAATGATTCTTAGTTAGGGATTCTTAGTTTATATCTAGCTAATGTTCCAAAAAACTAAATATGAAAAATCAATACCTCTATGAGTGATTTCAACCCAAATTACTTCACTGACAATTCACCTATTTTTGAGCGAGTTCAAGATGCACAAGATGAGGAACTGACATTTTTAGATATGCAAATTTGACCAAAGCTAATCTTGTTGGCTCAGACTCCCCCGAAATGTCCCATTATGTCCTTCAGGTGGAAGCAGGATAACATTTTGAGCATGTTTTTTTGTTTTGGAAATTCTAGTGAACATTGTCAATTTTTTCTCGCATCCTTTCAAAAAATACTCTTTTTTTAAATCGATTTTAGAGCTCTTCCTGTTTTAATTTCCAGGGGATGAACGAGTGTACATGATTGTCAAGGTTTGCGTGCATTTGGCGCATCCAGTCAGCATGGAGATCATGTTACGCAAAAGGATTTGTGTTCAAATCACGAAGAAAAACGCTGGTCTCACATTTTCGGGGTTGATGAAACGGTTCAACCGACACGAAAAGCTCTGTCGTACCGGTGTACGGTACGAAATCGTCTCCAACATCCCCAAGGTATTTTATTGTCTCGAAAAATTCGTATGCTTTCTTATCTTGTCCTTTTTTTGTGTGTGATGTTTTTGGAAGATTATATCCGGAGAATTTTTTTTTAACCTTGAGAATCTTGTTACAGGCTAGTGAAGAGCTGGAGGACAGGGAAACATTGGCTCAAATGGCAGCTGAGGAGGACGACGGGTTCAATTCAGATGGAGAGACTTATATTGGTGAACTTCTTTCTTCTATAAGTTTATCATTGAACATTTTTAAAGATATTCTACTTCAAAGATGAAAATATGAAAAGTCAAGTAATGGGTGAAAATTATCGCTAAAGCTCAGCTCAGTTTTCATACAAATACAGAACTGTACATATTTTTAACGAACAGAAGAAATTGGCAAAACGTACTCTTACAAAATTTGTCTGGTGCTTCAAATTTTGTCATAGAATCAAGTTAATTTCTCATGCAAATTTCCAATCTTCTAGCAATTTTATTACTTCCTCGACCAGGGAAATGATAATAACAATGATTGTGTCAAAATATTCTAAGAAATGCTGAGGAATGTGTGTACAATTTTCTGCGCATGTCAGCTTAATTTTAGTACGGATGTATATTTTGAAGAACAGGAGATATTGGAAAAACATATTCTTACCAAATTTGTCTGGTGCTTCAGATTTTGTCATAGTTTCAAGTTCATTTCTCATTCAAACTTCCTCTCTTACAACCATTTTATTGCTTCCTCAAGCAGGAAAGTGAATGTAAAAGATATTCGAGTTGTGGCTGTGCGAGATGTGCCATAATCGTTGGAGGTGGACTGTTATTATGCGATTCAAAATTTTAAATTGAATTTATTTAAATCTACGAACGATTTTTCCACTGTCGTAGGATTGATCAGTTACTGAAAAAACGTGTGGACTAGATTTTGAAAGAAAAAAAACCACGCGTATGTTTGTGCAGAGCAATACACGAAGGGGTTGGGTGTGGTGGAAAACCTGTTGGCGTTGGACCGACTTCGACAAAATTTGGCGTTGAAGGAACAATTGCAAGCCCTTGGGGCTACTCCGACATCTGTTTCCGCAGCTGGGGCTTTCAACTTGATGCGAAAGACTGTTTCTGTGCCCAACATTGCGATGGTGGGTCTTTTGTGTCAATTGAATTGAGGAAGGGGCTTTTTTTTTGAGTCCTCAATTTTTTGAAAAGAGTGAATTCACGTTTTCTATTGTAATGATGTATTTTTTCTTTCCCGTACAATTATTTTTCAAGTATTATTTTGGGTTATTTCAGCGACGAATTTTAAAATTTCGAAAACTCGAAAAAAAAACTTGACAAACTTCTAATTACGAATGGGGAAAACAGAAAAGCATCGACACATGCTTTTCTGTTTTCCCCATTCGTAATTAGAAGTTTGTCAAGTTTTTTTTTTGAAGAGCTGGAGGACAGGGAAACATTGGCTCAAATGGCAGCTGAGGAGGACGACGGGTTCAATTCAGATGGAGAGACTTATATTGGTGAACTTCTTTCTTCTATAAGTTTATCATTGAACATTTTTCAAGATATTCTACTTCAAAGATGAAAATATGAAAAGTCAAGTAATGGGTGAAAATTATCGCTGAAGCTCAGCTTAATTTTCATACAGATACAGTGCATAATTTTAACGAACAGAAGAAATTGGAAAAACGTATTCTTACAAAATGTATCTGGTGCTTCAAGTTAATTTCTCATGCAAATTTCCAATCTTCTAACAATTTTATTACTTCCTCGACCAGGGAAATGATAATAACAATGATTGTGTCAAACTATTGTAAGAAATGTTGAGGAATGTGTGTACAAATTTCTGCGCATGTCAGCTTAATTTTAGTACAGATATATATTTTGAAGAATAGGAGATATTGGAAAAACATATTCTCACAAAATTTTTCCGGTGTTTCAGATTCTGTCATAGAATCAAGTTAATTTCTCATTCAAATTTCTAATCAAACAATTTTATTACTTCCTCGACCAGGGAAATGATAATAACAATGGTTGTGTCAAACTATTGTAAGAAATGTTGAGGAATGTGTGTACAAATTTCTGCGCATGTCAGCTTAATTTTAGTACAGATGTATATTTTGAAGAACAGGAGATATTGGAGGAACATATTCTTGAAAAATTTGTCTGGTGCTTCAGATTTTGTAATGGGATCAAGTTCATTTATCATTCAAACTTCCTCTCTTACAACCATTTTATTGCTTCCTCAAGCAGGGAAGTGAATTTAAATGATAGTGGAGTTGTGGCTGTGCGAGGTGTGCCATAATCGTTGAAGGTGGACTGTTATTATGCGATTCAAAATTTAAAATTAAATTTATTTAAATCTCCTGACGCTTTTTCCCCTGTTGAAGGATTGATCAGTTGAGGGCTAGATTTTGAAAGAAAACTGCGCGTCTGTTTGTGCAGAGCAATACACGAAGGGGTTGGGTGTGGTGGAAAACCTGTTGGCGTTGGACCGACTTCGACAAAATTTGGCGTTGAAGGAACAATTGCAAGCCCTTGGGGCTACTCCGACTTCTGTTTCCGCAGCTGGGGCTTTCAACTTGATGCGAAAGACTGTTTCTGTGCCCAACATTGCGATGGTGGGTCTTTTGTGTCAATTGAATTGAGAAAGGTTTTTTGTTTTGTTTTCATGAGTCCTCAATTTTCTGCAAAGAGTGAATTCACGTTTTCTATTGTGATGATGTATTTTTTCTTTCCCGTACAATTATTTTTCATGTATTATTTTGGGTTATTTCAGCGACGAGTGTCGACACATGCTTTTCTGTTTTCCCCATTCGTAATTAGAAGTTTGTCAAGTTTTTTTTTCGAGTTTTCGAAATTTTAAAATTCATGTTGTAGCATTCTGAGTGACTCCGAGAAAAGGTGCAGAGTTTAGTTGTGGCCCAGTTCTAATTTTTATTTGTAGAAATAGTACGAATCCGATGTTCCTTATGATCAGTCGATTATTTTACCATTTTTGCATCTTTTGTTGAATTGGATTCCATTTCGACGTTGTTTTCCTGGGATTCCTTTTTTATTTCGTTCGAAATATCTTCTTCGGTCTCGTGAAATTTTTAAAGTTTTGAATTCAAATTTTTGGTAGAATTTATATTGTCTTTTATCTTTACTCGAAACTCTTTTTGGAATTCTTTTCTATTTTTTTTTGTTTCAAGGGTGTATTTTTTTTATTGAATTTTTTATTTTGTTTTTCGGGGGTTTCATATCAGAAGCGAAGTGTTTGAATCACGAATTTATCCACTCAGTCAAATTTTCCGAAACGAAAATTACAGTATTCCTTTTCTGTTTTCACAATTTTTTTTTTTTTTAAGCAGATGGGAAACCTTGCAGAAGGAGCGACAAAATCGGAAACTGTAGCGGATTTCGGTGCGTTGATGAATTCCAGTCCTAGTAGTACGGTTACTCTTCGAACCAGTGGAGCTAGTCCCTCAGGAATCACTCCGAAAGTATGATGTGTCATTTGCTTTAATTCTAGATTTTGGTTTTAAATTGATGATCTTTTCTTTTTTTTAATGCAATTCAAGGGCCAGTCCGCGACGAGACCAGTCTCGCTTTTCAGTCCCAACTTCAACCTCACGAAGGCGGGTTTCGCAGGTAAGGGGTGATGACTTCTCTTGTTGCCTTTTTTATTCGTTTGTTTCTTGGTTTGTGTTGTGTGTCATTTATTTTATTGTGGATATTTTATTTTCTGTGTGCTTTGCGTTTTTATTTGGCGTTTATTTTTTTAGACCGTGTAGTGATTCACAACGTGGGCTCGTGGCTGAATCGGTCGCCCTTCGCCAATGGGCTCGGCGCTGAATCTTACGGTTAGTTGTAGGATTTAGAGCAGAAAGATCATTTTCAATGGGGGAAATACTGTATTTTTTATCAAATTCGAAGTTTTTTAGGGATTGCGCTGAAAATTTGCAGTTCTTTTTGATGAAAGGAGAAGAAATTAACGAATTTTTGTTGAGAAAGCTCGTTGACAATTTAGTAAAGATTTGTTTCATTTTCGATGATTTGTCGGAAGGGGTTGGAAGTATTCGAAATCATACGAGATGCAAGTGATGATTTATTTTAGAGTTTTCTAGTACAATGGATTGTCTTCTATGATTTTTTAGAAGAGTTTTTCGAAATGTTGTAAGGCTTCATTTGACTTCCATTTTATTCTTTGATGTATATTTTTTTGGTTCGGCTTGAGAAGTGAGATTAATGTTTCCAATTAGAAACGAAATACTGTAATTGGATAACATCTGGAGCGTAATTCGTGTGTATTTTTTCATTTCCGATCGTAGCGCAGTGTGAAAAATGGATTGAAAAATGTTTGAAATTACCCAAAAAATAGGCATTTAATTAATGAATTTTAGTACTCTCTTGTCTTATTTGATTGTTGGATTGTAGAGAATACGTACATTTTCAAAATTTTGCACAAAGGCCTTGTTGATACGCCGAAGTGAGTGTGTATTTCCTTGTTTGCTGTAGCTTTTCTTCTTTTCCATCGTTCTAAACTTTTTTTCTTATTCTTTAGGAAAGCGTTATTTTTTGTACATGAAATCTTGAAAATTTAAGTTTTTGTCGAAGATTACATTGTACTGATTTTTTACTTATTTTTTTCGAAGGTGTGATGAGTCCGTTGAGCGTCGGCACAATGCGAATGTCGACGTTGCATGAAGAAGATCATCAGCGTGCTGCCTCCAGAACACATAGGGAAGAAAGCGAAGACTCTGTATCCTCCAACGGATACTGCGAAGACTCGGTAAATTCTTCCTTTTAGATTCCGTGTTTCTGAACATGAGATACGGTTTTTTATTTCTTTATTTATTTATTGTGGTTCGTGTGACGGTTACTTGGATAATTTTCTATATCTTTTGGACCTTCTGGATTTAGAAACATACGTTGGATCGACTAGACTTTTAAATACACTGGGGCCCCGAGATGCGGACGTGTTTACTTCACCAAGACTTGGTCCAAGCTTTGAAATGTCCGCATGTTTGATCAAATTTCACATAGACTTCAATTGGAACATTTTTAAGCACTGATCCGTATCTGGCAAAAAAAATAATTGGGAAATGGCCTCCAAAAAATTAAATGAACGATTAACTTGACTTCAAGATCCCAAAAATAACTTTTGGGAAGAGAAACGTATATAATAAACCCTTTTGGAATGTAATTGAGTCCAAATAGCAAATAACAAACATATTGATATATTTTAAACTTTTGATTTTAAAAAAACCATGAAAAGAGAAGCACAAAATTGGCCTGTTTTGAATAATGAATGAAAGTAATTTCATGGTGAAATATATTTTGAATATTTGTTCATGGAAAAAGCTCAATTTTTTCAAGAGATATCAACATTAAAAAAAATAAGATGTTTTCATTTTTTTAAATAAGATGTTTTCATGTTTAAAAATAAGATGTTTTCATGTTTAAAAATAAGCTGTTTTCGTTTTTGAAAATAAGATGTTTTCATGTTTAAAAATAAGCTGTTTTCGTTTTTGAAAATAAGATGTTTTCATTTTTAAAAATATGATGTTTTCATTTTTAAAAAGGAGATGTTTTCATTTTTAAAGAGAAGATGTTTCTATAAATTTTGGCAAAGTGTCTATATTTTGAGAAATAGTCCAGACGTTTGGGCAGCATTGTTAAAATTTAAAGTGTCCGTAAGTTGAATCATTTACGTGTCCAAATGTCAGGACTTTTTTGAATATTCTCTATGTTTTGTTCAGTAATTATAACTCAACTCAAAATTTCTCATTCAAAGTAAATTTTCTTACAGAACGAAGTACAGGTTTTACTGATGTTAGTCCAGATGAAGAATTATTGAGGAATAGAACTTGAGAATCACTAACATGGTTTTGAAGACTGATCAGATAGTCTCAACATTTTCTCTTTTTACGCCGCGAAAAAGATGGAAGACCCGAGTGTTGGGAAAACTGTTCGAGCCCCGAGTCAAGTGTCCTCGCCTGTCCCACCGTTGTCGTCCTCATCCAGTGGATACATGTCTCAGCAGTCGCTTTGCACTGTGCAGAAAAGTGCGAGCACGATGGATCCCTTGGGCATTCGGGAATTCAAAGTCGAAGACGAGCCCGGGGATGAAGAAGGAAGAGGACCTGAGGAGGAGGAGGAAGCTGTCGAGGAAGACGAAGAAGAGGCGGCAGCTGAGGTTCTAATTGCTGGACAGTGTTCCGCTAACGATGTGAACCTGCTGTCTGCAATGCCGGTTGACGGGGAATTGAGCAGTGGATCTTGTTCTTCCCTTGCTGGTGAGAGAAGTTGAGATGTGCAAAAAAAATTTATTTGCAGTCGAACCGGTTAGAATCGAACCACAAGGGACCCTCGAAAACCTCATCGAGTCGAATTTTTTTTCACGTCCCTCTCTGAATTCCCTTCAAAACGGTGCATTAAAAACTTCCCTAATTTGAGTGTTTTTCCTCTCAAACAAAATCGAATAAGTCGAATTTTATGTGGCCTGTTGGCCATTATTTTCTTGTTCCAGAAATTAAAAAACAATAAAAACTCAATTGCATCTGTTTTAAAGGAAGTGAAAGACTTACCGTAATTGGGCAAATGAACCCCTGCCCCCAAGTTCAGCAGCCTTGCAACTCATTTAAGAAGCCATTTAAGCCCCAGAATATCACCATTTACATTTTTCTAAGTTTCCCTGAGAAAAGGGCTTTGTATTGTACAGTGGTACAGTGAGACCCCCACATGCAGACACCTCAACATGGGGACAATTGACATAGGGACATTTATTTTTCAATAAAAAAAATCATAATAAAGGCCCAATATTTGGACACTGACTCAACATGAGGACAAGGCATGGTAAAATTACTTATAAATTTTGGGAAAATTGACTTTTATTAGGCTCAATTGCAAGAAACAGATACTGTATTTCCAACCCTAAGATCTGTTGTCATACACTCACAATTTTACAACCTTTAGGAGGATTATCTAAAGATTGTCAACTTTTTAGTCTTTAGAATTGCTCCCTTTTTACTGTGCGCATCCCAGACCAAGTACACAAAGTACTTAGGTAATTTTGAGTGAATAAACACAAGTAATATTGCTTTACAAGTATTTATTATATCTTTAATATATACGCTCCTAGCACAGACTCTGCTCATTTCCAAAGGGTTTTTACCACTGAATTTTATAAGATAGTTTTGGGCCTTTTATAAACTATTGCTGGCCATACACAGGGAGGTCATTGCTCAGAAAGTATAGTTGGGACAAATGAAAGAAAAGATATCTACGTTGTCCCGCAACAGAATTACACCTGTGGGTAATTACAGCAAGCGGACCGCCTGAGGCAATTTCCCAATAAAGCAGGAAAGACAGAAACAAGGTTGTGCTCAAGTGCTCAGCCATCCTGCATTAATGAGCTGGGCAAGGAAAAGTTAGAGCAATTCAGCTCAGCTGATAACAGATCTATGAAAGAAAAATTCTTTGGTACTTTTCCCATCACTTTCCCATCCATTCATTCAATTTATAAAAAATTACCTGTAGCACAGAGGGACTTCCTTCTCTCTTTGTGACTTGGATGTTATTTTTACAGATGCCAACATTTCAATGAACTGTTCAAATGTCAGGACTTTTTTGAATATTCTCTATGTTTTGTTCAGTAATTATAACTCAACTCAAAATTTCTCATTCAAAGTAAATTTTCTTACAGAACGAAGTACAGGTTTTACTGATGTTAGTCCAGAGGAAGAATTACTGAAGAAAATAATTTGAGAATCACTAACATGGCTTTGAAGACTGATTAGATAGTCTCAAAATTTTCTCTTTTTACCCCGCGAAAAAGATGGAAGACCCGAGTGTTGGGAAAACTGTTCGAGCCCCGAGTCAAGTGTCCTCGCCTGTCCCACCGTTGTCGTCGTCATCCAGTGGATACATGTCTCAGCAGTCGCTTTGCACTGTGCAGAAAAGTGCGAGCACGATGGACCCCTTGGGCATTCGGGAATTCAAAGTCGAAGACGAGCCCGGGGATGAAGAAGGAAGAGGACCTGAGGAGGAGGAGGAAGTTGTCGAGGAAGACGAAGAAGAGGCGGCAGCTGAGGTTCTAATTGCTGGACAACGTTCCGCTAACGATGTGAACCTGCTGTCTGCAATGCCGGTTGACGGGGAATTGAGCAGTGGATCTTGTTCTTCCCTTGCTGGTGAGAGAAGTTGAGATTGCGAAAAAAATATATATTCGCAGTCGAACCGGTCAGAAGAGGACCCCAAAAGAACCCTCGAAAACCTCATCGAGTCGAATTTTTTTCACGCCCCTTTCTGAATTCCCTTCGAAAAGGTGTATTAAAAACTTCCCTAATTTGAATGTTTTTCCTCTCAAACGAAGTCGAATAAGTCGAATTTTATGTGGCCTGTTGGCCATTATTTTCTTGACCCAAGAAAGAAAAAAAAGCAATAAAAACAGAAATGCATCTGTTTTAAAGGAAGTGAAAGACTTGATTGGGCAAATGAACCCCTGCCCCCAAGTTCAGCTTTCAACTCATTCAAGAAGACATTTAAGCCCCAGAATATCACCATTTACATTTTTCTAAGTTTCCCTGAGAAAAGGGCTTTGTATTGTACAGTGAGAACCCCCACATGTGGACAATTTGACATAGGGACATATATTTTTCAATAAAAAAATCATAATAAAGGTCCAATATTTGGACACTGACTCAACATGAGGACAAGGCATGGTAAAATTACTTATAAATTTTGGGAAAATTGACTTTTATTAGGCTTAATTGCAAGAAACAGATACAGTGAGACCCCCACATGCAGACGCCTTGACCTGCAGACAATTTGACATTGGGACATTTATTTCCCCCCAAAAAATCAATAAATAAGGCCTGGCATGAGGACACTGACTCAACATAGGGACATTTTGGGATAAAATTGCAAATAAATTTCAGGCCAAATTACAAGAAACAGTATTTCCAACCCTAAAATTGATGTAAGAAAATTTCTTGGGCATTTCTCTCACCAGATTACCATCCATTTAGCTAATTTAAAAAATTACCTCCAGCATAGAGGGACTTATACTTTTTTTCACTTGAATGTTATTTTTGTAGATACCAAAATTTCAGTGTACAGTACAGAGATACACTATTGAATGCTCCAAATGTTCTTCTTGAGTTGAAAATGTATTCACCAATTCAAATTCAAGTGACAAACAATTCTTTTCAAAGAATTCTGAAGAATATTTCTTCCATAAAACCAAAATTAAAAACTATATAATGTAAGTCTATGGGAAAACAAGACTCAACTTAGGGACACTTATAAGACATTTCAACTTGGGGACACTCTTGATGCATCAATTATGTCTGCGTCTGGGGGTCTCCCTTTCAAACCCATGTACAGTAATTCAAGACATCCCTAAGTCAAATTTCTGTCCAGGTCCATTGAAATTTAACTTCAAAAGCTTTGACTGTAAAGCAAATGTAAAAAGAGTAAAAAATATGTTGATCATGATGTTGATCTCCTGTCCTTGATTCTCATTTTTCACCCCTCGAATGATCTTGCAGAATCCCTGGCGAGCTCCAAAGACTCTGGCCAATCCTACGGCAAGAAGTTCGAAGTCGGAGACCGAGTCCGGGTGCGGTTGACCAACTCTGCTGGCGTCGTGTCCTTCATTGGCCAGACCGAGTTTGCCAAGGGAGAATGGGTCGGGGTCACGTTGGACTCGGCCCAGGGCAAGAACGACGGGACAGTCGCCGGGACGCGGTATTTCGAGTGCGAGCCCCGTCACGGGTTGTTTCTCAGGGCGGACAAACTGGCCAGGGGCAGTTGCGACGAACGACGCAAGCTGAGAGAAGGTTCGGTTCGCCAGTAGTCATTTTTTTTCTTTAGAGAGAAAGAACCATACACTAAGAAATACGCAGTTGAATTTTTACCTGAAATTAAAAAAAAATGATAGCCCTTCATAAGAAGTGCACCTTGGATTTTATTTACCAAAGTTACCAAAAACAATTATTTTCAATTTTCAATTTAAAAATCAAATTCAATGGTGATTTATTAATCCCTAATCAAAGCACCCTAATAATTCAAAAAAAAAAAATTTCGCTGGTCACTTGAATTTTAAAATTTCCTGCAATTATTTTATTATTCCAACAACAAAATGCTTGTTTCCCCAACTTGAAACCTCCTTAACGCGATTTTTTGTTTCTGCTGGTCACTTTAAATTTGAATTTAAGAGGGAGGTTCGAATGGAGATTTTTAAATGAGTGTCTCACCATTGAATTGAATTTTCAATTGAACTTCAATTTAGGTTTTTACCCAATGTGGTTTTTGAAGTATGAACTTGGGTAACTAAAATCCAAGGTTCACTTCTTATGAAGGATTGGCATTTTTTGTATTTCAGGTAAAAGACGTAGGGTTGTGTCTGTCTTGAGAGTGTGTGGTTCTTGAATAAATACAGTAGAGCATCGCAAGAAAATCCATTGTTCAAAATTTTAAAGAAGTAAACTTCCATTTTTAACTCCTGAAAAGTCTTCAGCAAACTGTAAAATGAGTGGAAAACTCTGTGCATGACTGAAAAGTTTTCATTTCTCCCTATTCAGAGTCTTGAAAATTCCAGAAAAAAACTAGATGCCCAAAAAATTATGAAATAGCTTTTACGTGTTCAACTATATTTTGTCAAGGGAATTTGCGGACTGTAACCTTGCCAGATTAGATTTACTGTAGTGAAATCTTGTGGCAAAAAGGACATCGGGACCAGAAAAATAGCTCATTCATGAAGCATTTTTTAATGAAGTACAAGTAATATTTTGGCAATTTGGGCTGGGACTTGAAGAAAAAAAATCAAGCGATCATTAGTTTCAACGCGATTTTACTTTTTGATTCACAGAGGCCGTGAATGTGCGGAAAACGTCGTCAGGGAGAAAATCGCGGTATCTGTCGGATCGGCTGAGAAACTCTTGATTCAAGGAAAAAGCTACTTCTGGGATGCAACGAGATACCTGCAAGTGATCTCATTGGATCTTCACACGAGAACCACCTTCCGAAAACTGATCTTCAATCGTATCGTTACCGATCGTTCCCCCCTTATTTTCTTCTTCTTCTTTCTAGCTTAGATGAGTTCATGTGTTACTCTGGGTTTGATGTTTGTGATATGTTATTATATTGGGGCAGTTTTTGTATGAACGAGCCAGTGGAGAGAAAATTTTTTTTTTTTAGGGTAAATTGCAATTTTTCGGCAATGAGGTGCTTGACTTCATGATCTTCCAGGAATGTTTTTTTGGAACGCACTTTCCCCCCTCGCGTTTATGAGTGCTAGAGCTTTTTTTTGGGTTGTATTTTTAATTTATTTTTTGGTCCCAAAAAAAAAGAAGAGGTAGAAAACGCATTCATTCCCATTGAACCGAATGTGATGATGGTTGCGTTCCTGTATGAGGTTGATGAGAGATGGTTGCTTGGATTCATGTTCAGCCGCTTGTCGAGGTTATGTTGGGCAGGAATTCCTCGGGGAAATGTTGGAAGCGAAAAATTGTGTTGGAGTTCAAGTACGGTACGTCATTGTTCAGTCCACGGATATTGTGCTTGTCAGCCACTTTTAGTGCGTGTCAACCTCGGATTTAGTAATATTATGTGAGGCATTTTGATGAATCTGTGGTCTGATTGGGTTATGCTGCAGTCCAATTTCCGAATTCGTGGGCTTATGGGGGAATTGTGGTGGAAAGAAAATGCTCTAAAACCATTAGTTCTTGTGTCCTGCCATTTCTTTCTTGTAGCTTGACGATGAGTCACTTGGACTTAGATTCTTTTGAGCATTAACATTCCTAGGAAGTTGTGATGATGTAAAATTGAACTTCATGAACGTATACAAAGTACACACCAATTCAAATGTCTCAAGAATACGTAAGCCCCCTGGTTTTTGGAACGGGGATTCTGCTTATTCTCGATAACGACAGTAAAATGAATTTATACAGTTGACAGTATAAAATGAGAACTCAATACTCTTACCTCTACAATTTTTCCATATAGTACATGATCCAGACATTTGTTCGAAAATTGGCAGAGTTTTAAATCAAGTAAAACAAGGTCCCGTGTGAAAGTGCAGAAAGCGAACATTGTGAGTGAATGATTACTGTTCACACAGGTGATTTAAGAACATCAACTCTTTGGCAAAACCACGAACAATTCCGAAGGTTGTAAAAGGGATCAAATCTTGCAGAAACACGCCAAATATTAGTGTTATCCAGTACAACAACGCGGTCGAACATAATTTTTACAAAAAATGGGACGAATATGAAAATCACTTCCACGAATATAATATCCTTGAACACAAGCAAATCACCAGTAACTCAATTGAACACAGGCAAATATTCACCATCAATATTCCGCAGAAATTAAAATGACGTAATTCGTTTCGAGATCAAAAATTTCCTTACTCACAGCGAACTAATTTTTCTGCGAACACATATTTGACGAGATCTAAGTATTCTAACACACACAATACGTTTGAAAACAATCAAAATTTCAGGTAACATGGATGATCCGAACAAAAACGAAAAATGATTTTTAAAGTTGCATAAGCGATTGCTTCGAGTACTTCTTAGACTAATATACTCATCATTTCTCCCACAGTTTCCGCATCAAAACGGGTATGGGTTCCAATTTTACGGTGCAGCTATCATAGGAGGCATCTCTTGAACGCCGTCTTGTTCGGCACTGGTGGAACTGGTTTGATCCAAACCAGATCCCGAGAGAACAAGCGGTGTAGCGAAGCTCATCAAGGCGCTCAGTGTGGGTGCAGACAAAGAGAGTAGGCCAGGTTGACGGTTAAAACTCGGTAAAACGGTTGGGCGCCCAGGCCTCTGGTTCCGGGATAAGCCGCCCTTGGGTAGTTCCAAGTCTGCTCCGGTCCACGATAGATACGTATGTCTGCATGGAAAATAAGCAAAATAAAAATACTGTACTTGTTGGTAAATGAGTACTGTGCTTGAAAGGGGATTCAAGTACTGTACATCAACTCTTCGGCAAGCCCAATAACACTTCTCAGGGTTTGAGAATACTGTACAGCAGTACTAAAAACAGTCGAACTCCCGCTTTATGTAAGACCCGTAAAACCAAAATTTCGCACCGCGAAATTTCGTAGAGGGAACAAGAGACAGCATAAACAAAATCGTGAACAGAATAATTTTCAAAAGATGGCGATTTTTAAATGATACTGTACACAATTTCTGTATTTCAAGAAAATTGAACAAAATGAGAGAAAATGAATTTTGTTTTGCCTCTTCTTGCTATGGAAATTTTATAAATCCACTACGTTCAACATCATGCATGCTTACATTTCAAACTAATCAATTTTATGTCCCTGTCCAAATTACCTTGGAATCAATAATTTAGAAACTTCCTCAACAGAGGTTTTCTCCCTCAAACCTCCATAACTAGAATTTTCTGGAGGCCTTTTGGCCATTATTTTACTGACACACGAAAGATAAAACCAATAACAAATGTAAGGATATGTTTTGAAAGGAAGTGGAAGATTAATTGGGCAAATGAACCCTTGCTTCCAAGTTCAGCATCCTTTCACTCATTCAAGAAGCAATTAAAGGCCCAGAATATCACCAATTACAATTTCCTGGATCTCTCTTTCACACAACAAAAATGCTCAGTTCTCTTGAACCTCCCCAAGTTGATTTTTTTAAATGCTGGTCCCTTGAAATTTGATTTTGAGAAATTCCGCTGCATCAGTACAGTGAAACCCCAAGATGCAGACATAATTGATGCATCAAGAGTGTCCCTGAGTCAAAATGTCCCCAAGTTGAGTCTCATTTTCCCTTAGACTTACATTATATAATTTTTAATTGGTGTTTCATGTATAAAATACTCAACATAATTCCATGTAAATAAAAATTGTCTCCCATTTGAAACTGATTCCAATCAATATATTTCAACACAATATTGACATTCGGGAAATTGAAAACTGATACCTCTGTACAGTACATAAAAATGCTGGCATTCTCTGTAAAAAAAATAATATTCAAGTGAAAAAGAGAGAAGGAAGTCCCTCTCTGCTGGAGGTAATATTTTTTAATTAGCTAAATGGATGGTAAATTGGTGAGAGAAATGCCCAAGTACTTTTCTTACATCAATTTTAGGGTTGGAAAAATCTGTTTCTTGTTATTTGGCCTGAGATGTATTTATGCCCAAGAACTTTTCTTACATCAATTTTAGGGTTGGAAAAATCTGTTTCTTGTAATTTGACCAGAGACGTATTTGCAATTTTACAACAAAATGACCCTATGTTTATTCAGTGTCCTCATGTTGGGCCTTTTTTATTATCAATTTTTTATGATAAAATAAGTGTCCCCTTGTCAAATTTTCCACATGTGGGGGGTATCACTGTACTTTGCTGCACGGAATCACGGAAGAAAAAACCCCCCACTGGCCTAAAGCAAGTAGACTCACAGCAATAACGAATCATCGGTCCCCTTCCGGAGATTGGGATTCGCACCCCGAGGCTTAGTGCGACGTGAGCTCATGTACGGCTGCTCCACCTTTTCCGGACTTCCAGTCCTGCAATTCAATACCATGCGCATTGAAATAACACCAATCAATCAGGTCAAATCCATGAGAACCAATAATCGACTCACGCATTGTCGCTATTCAGCGGAGCAATGGCCAAAGGGGCACACGGGGCCCTTTTCGGCGACGCCGTCGGAGATGAGGACGTCGTCGTCTTCCTGGGCAAACGTGGACTCAAGTGCTTGGGACTGCCGACGGCTGTGAGTGCTGCGAGTTCCCTGGCAGCCAGGATGGCCGGGTCCTCTCGTTTCTTGAGCCTTTCGCAAAAATATTGTGGTTCAGACATCATTAGAACGAGTAATTTTTCGGGGCAGAGTTTTAAAATGCAAAAATTAAATGCTTCATTGCAAATTAGCTCTCCGGTGACATCCGGTAATACAGTATGAACTCGTTAGAATGTAATTTGAATTATATTAATGAACATTATTTAATTTTTTTTAATATTATTTTGTTTTTTATATTTATTTTAATTCAATTTATTTGTATTTGGCTTTAGGACAGGAACCGAAAAAGACAAATTATTTGTGAGCATGAATTCATTGGAAAGAGACTCGTTGTAACGATGCTCTTTTGTAATGCGTCTATCAACTATGGAATTTCAGGTTTCGGTTAAAGTTCTAACGCATAACATGGTACCTATTAGGAAAAGAAATTTCTTTATTCAGGCAATTGTCTAAATAAAAATTAAATTCGGGCCACGAGATAGCGAAATAATCGCAGACGAACCTCATCAAGTCAAACTTCAAGAGACCCGCAAAAAAATCCCTTGAGAAATTTTGAAATGGCATTCAAGTTGAGGAAAATATCTTTTTCTTTCAAATCAGTTTCACTCAGAATTCATTGGGAAAGTTTTTCATAACTTCTCCAAATGTGCAGAAGAACTTGAGCATTAGGAAAACATATTTTTCTTTTAAATCAAAGTTTCACTCAAACTTTATTGGGCAAGTTTTTCATAACTTCTCAAAATGTGCAGAAGAACTTGAGAAATTTTGAAACAGCATTCAAGTTGAGGAAAATATCTTTTTCTTTCAAATCAGTTTCACTCAGACTTTATTGGGAAAGTTTTTCATAACTTCTCAAAATGTGCAGAAGAACTTGAGAAATTTTGAAATAGCATTTAAGATGAGTAAATTATCTTTTTCTTTTAAATCACAGTTTCACTCAAACTTTATCGGGAAAGTTTTTCATAACTTCTCAAAATTTGCAGAAAAATTGTGAAAAAAAGCTTGGAAAATAGTTTTTTCTTCAACTCACGCAGGATCTCTCTTGAAAACTTCGATTTCCTCCATTTCTTGTTTGAGTTTTAAAATGCAAAAATTAAATGCTTCATTGCAAATTAGCTCTCCGGTGACATCCGGTAATACAGTATGAACTCGTTAGAATGTAATTTGAATTATATTAATGAACATTATTTAATTTTTTTTATATTATTTTGTTTTTTATATTTATTTTAATTCAATTTATTTGTATAGACAAATTATTTGTGAGCATGAATTCATTGGAAAGAGACTCGTTGTAACGATGTTCTTTTGTAATGCGTCTATCAACTATGGAATTTCAGGTTTCGGTTAAAGGTCTAACGCATAACATGGTACTTATTAGGAAAAGAAATTTCTTTATTCAGGCAATTGTCTAAATAAAAATTAAATTCGGGCCACGAGATAGCGAAGTAATCCCAGTCGAACCTCTTCAAGTCAAACTTCAAAAAATCCGTTCAGAAATTTTGAAATGGCATTCAAGTTGAGGAAATTGTCTTTTTTCTTTTAAATTCACTAAATTTAAAAGAATTAATTTAAATTAATTTAAATTTTAGCTTCAATCAGAATTCATTGGGCAAGTTTTTCATAACTTCTCAAATGTGCAGAAGAACTTGAGACATTTTGAAATAGCATTTGAGTTGAGGAAAATATATTTTTCGTATAAATCACAGTTTCACTCAGAATTCTAGCCCTTTCAAAAAGTATTGAAGAGTTTTAAACGTCTTTTTAACACTTTTTTTCGAACCTTTTATCAAAAAAGAAGTTGAGTGCGTCCTAGAGAGAACTTTTGAAGCTAAAGGAGGTAAAGAACAATGACGTCATTCAGGATTTTTTCTGCTTGGTTCGGATCATAGTGAGTGCTCTCCAAAGCCATGTTCAACACCGTCACGGATATGTTGCGGTATTTCTC